TTTTTTTTTTCTTTTATGTTAAAAGAGAATGAAATTTTAGATTGAGAAAAATTAGTAGGAAAAAGCACACCTGAATCCAACTTCGTCGCAAAAAACTCCTGGGTAGACAGCACGATGCAAACACCTCAACAGTCAATCAACGAATCGTTACACCAGTTATTATGACAATATGTCCGAGCTGGATATCATGCATGTTCGAATTTCAGTCTTGGTTATTGTGACAATCGTTTTTCGTCAGTACTTAATTTTTTGTGCCATATACGCCATCTCCATCTCTCTTTGCGTCGATTACGTTACACGTGTCTCTCACTCTTACAAACATTCACCTCTATCCGAAACATTAATTCTTCCCCAAATCTAAGTATATTTTCCTATCTTCTACAAGGAAATGACGTTACAATTTCTGTAACATTCTACAAGTAAAATGAATGAATCAATTTCGTTCCCGACAAAATAACCGCTGTAAGTATCGACCATTCGTAATCGTTTCCAACATCTTACGTTGGTGTCGAGGCAATGTACAATGTCTATCACGCCGACGTCCTGGGTTCAAATCTCATATCGAGAAATTTTTTTTAATTAAATTTCACTTAGCTGCCGATGATCACTAGGACCACGTGACTGATGCGCGACAAGGGGGCTCAGGGGTGAAGGCCTAAGAAGGCCCGAGGGGTGAGGCACTTTGAATCTCTCCGATACTCATTCCATCCTTCTCTGCAACGATTACGTCACACGTTTCTCTCTTCCACTCACTGAAGTCTCTCCAAAACACTGACCTACGATGCATGACCTTGAGGTGCCTTCGTACATATATTGTTCATCTACTGGGATTTTTGGTACTAAACGGGTGTACAAAATAACGCTCTTCATTCAGACAACTCATGAGAATATATCTTATTGTTTCAAAGTCAGATTGCAAACTCTTATTTATTCAAAATAATCATGGGAAATTATCTGTGCGAATACTTACCGTCATTAACACTCCATGCGTCATGTTTCCAAAGGGTCCAGCTTCAAGATATACTGGCTTTTCACTCCGCATCATAACCATCAAGAGTTCCTTCTGTAAATTATTTTCAAAATTGTACCACTTCGCGTTGTATATAGTTTCACCAATTCCAGTGCTCTGAAAAAATTAAGCGCACATTGACAACTAGAGAGAAATTCCACACAATTGTTTCATGAGTGGATGTAAACTTTAACGGTCATAAATAACTGCAGGCCGGGGGCTGCAGGTTTCAACGTCTGACGTTTCGTATACATTTGAATAGACATAATCAAATACGGATGAAGTGCTCACAGCAGATACTACATCGTTGGTTTTATTCAATTGGTGGTTGTAATTAATGTGACCGTTGTGTCTGAATTGGCGATCTCTATATACTACTATATACAGTTATACTCGCACCAGAAAAATACACCCCCCTGTATATAGGATCGTTCAGCCGAAGGTATTTATTTTTTAATTTAGTTTGGTAGTGCGAGAGTTGCTGCCACCAGATCAGAAAAAGTTTGAAATCCGTCCTGATCACACGGATTGAGAATTAGTGGGCGATTTGGTCAACTGTTGAAATTTTTACATTTCTATCTTCGTCGAGCAATGGCTTGGTTATATCACCAATTATATCCTCAGATACTGGATTTGGCCACGTCTTAAATGCGTGGTCTTTTAGGGGTTTGAGGAAATGAAATAATTTTAGCAGAGTTTTCACAAACCAACTTTATTGATGAATAAAGTCGGCGGAATAATCGGATTAACAATTGATAAAATAAAATAAACAAAATTAATAGTGGAGTTTAACCTACACAAAATAATATTGAAACTATTCTTTTATATATGTTTTACTGTTTAATAATCTTGTCCCGAGAAAACTACATTCGTCTGTGAATTCTTTCGTCTTCAGAAAGTCACAATTTCTTCTAATCATTTCCAGCATCCAATTGCAAAATTCAAGACGGTTCGGAAAGTCTCGCGGTAACAGTGCCTGTACTCGTTGCAGATGGTAAGGGTATAAGAGTTGTTCCTTCAAAAATTCGAAATACCGTCATATGATCAACATTTAGCTGGAAATCAATCTTTCTAGTACTGGTAGTAAGTTGTTTTTCAATCAAATCAGGAAGGCTTCCTCAAGTTGTGGTGTTCATACTTCTCGATGGCGACCACAATCCTGCGTTCTTTTATCGAATGAACCATATTTTCGTAATCGTTGATGAAGTCGAGCAAATATTTTATGTGAAGGATGCTGCCGTTGAGGATACATTTCAGCATATTTTCTAGAAGCTTCTAACCCATTTCTCTACGACAGACCGTAAATGTGATGCATTTCCTCATTTGTGTATGCCATTTTAGTAACAAGTGAATTATTAAAGTAAAAAATTAAGAACAGATCTACAACACACAATTAGTATTAATTCAATTTCGAAAATTCACAAACTGACAGCGTCATACCAATTCAATTGTCACTATTGCTAATAGCGACCTACTAGATTAGTTTGGTATTTTCGCATTTATGACGATGTATCATTCCCAAAATAATTTTTTGCTGCGAACTGGTAAACAAATGATGAGACGAAAAGTTACATTGGAAATACATTTTGGGGTTGCGTTTTCCACCCCTTACAACCATAGGGTAAACCAAATAAATGTCTGACTAAGTGTCTTTTTGGTAGTAAAAAACGTCAGGTTAATTTCAATATTGTAACTTTTTTAGTGCTTGTGAAAAAAATTGTTATACAAATTTTATGTACCCCATTTAAGGGGCTGTATCTTAACAAGGGACGCTGAAATGAAATTTCTTCATATGAAAGATCCTATTTTTTTCGATGAGGAATCACCTCCTTGAATGTTTTACACTTATTTAGTTACACCCTGTATATCAGAATTGTTTTTAAATACGCTCACCAAATTGACGTAGATGGACTCTCCTGAAGTCTTCAACAAAAGCCACTCTTTCCCCAAAAACTGTCCCAAACTCTCACCAGGAACTCTAAATCAGCTAAATTGAATCAGACCGCGAATAATAATCAAAACCCCCATCACTTCCTGAATTCTCTCAATAATTTCACAACTCTGTAGGAAGTCCAACCGACCTACTTCTGAGTTCAAAGCTTCCTCAAGAATTTCAAAACTTTGTAGGAAATTCAACTGAACTAGACAATTCTCCGCGCACGACTTCCTTTACCTCAATTCAACTAAACCGCGAATATTTATCAATTCCGAAACACCTCGCAAAACGGTGCCTGGTACTACCTCGTATATCAGTACCTTCAGAATTCACTCAGAACTTCGTAGGAAGTCCAACCGACCTACTTCTGAGTTCGTACGCTCCCGACTCTTTACCTCAAGTCAGCTAGCCACTACTGGAATTCCCTCGCGACCCAGTTTTCTAAAACACCTAGCACCTCAGTCCCTAGAATAGCTTTCTCAGCAACCTCCCCAAAGGGGCCAACTGCCCCATACGACCCTGGGGTCCGTGCACGATTGCCTCAAATTTTTCCCAAAGATTTTTCCACCTTAACTCTGTTTGGGGATGTAATTCAAATAATCTTATAAAAATTCCCACCAATCAGAAAGTCTGAAATTGTTTTCGAAACTGGTACTCTCAACGTCCTCTACATGTTCAGCGAATAAGTCCGCAAGAATTCCCGTCTGGTATCCGATATTTCTAATGTCGTGAGCCTGCTACTGACATATAGATGTCACTGCAAGGGTTATTTTGATATTTTCTCTGTCTCGAATGAGAGGTATACCAGACGCATGTCTTAATTTTATCATGTCGTTAAACCTTTGAACTCATAAAATAAATTTCGATATTTATTATACGTTCAAGCAGTTAGAGTTCTTATATTTATCAAATTATTAATTTAGTGAGTGCAAGAAAGTTCAATAATATACGTTTTGCGCACTTGAAAGTCTGATGTGAATGGAAACATGAATTTCTGACTTCGAGATTGGAATTCTTCAAATATCATTCAAATTGGATTCCGCTTAAGGCTTTGTAATTTAAATTGAGGATGATCAATACCTTATACAAGCTCAGCTTCCAGGGATGGCTCCTTTTGAAGTGGAAATGGAATTTTTTAAAAAATTCAGAAATTCCAATAAGTATCCTTCCTTTTTTTAATGTAGGTACTTTTTTTTCCTTTTTTTTATCAAGGATGTATGTTGATTGGTTGCAAAATAGGACTGGTATTTCAATTTATTGGGCTCTTCAAAAAATTTGTGTGTAGCTCCTTCCCAAACACACTTTTTTTCTCTTTTATTGATTCTCCCATGGTTACACAACAACTCTCCTTTTTCGATGGCAATATTTTTTGAAATTTTTGAATTTCCGTTCTTTTCACTATTTTCACTGCTTATATTTATGAACTATGTTACCCAATATACAATAATAATAATAATGATTAACTTTTATCACCTTTCTGTACATTCTGTTTTCAATTTGTATAATTTTGAATTAAAAATTCTTCATGTTCAAAACTGTTGACACCTCCTTTCCAATTCATTCATCTGATTGGCTACTCTTTAGTTGCACCTAAATTATGTACTGAGTGTTCTAATTATTTTTCAAATAACAAATTCTTGTATCAGTGTTAACTAACTTTTTTCTTACAAATTTGTAATTTAAATCTGTTCCATTATATTCTATTTGTTTTATTCTATCTGTTTTATTAATTTATTTACTGTTTTCATTGTACTTTTCCTGTTGATTGATGGTTTCCGGTTAGTTACGCTGTTTGGAAATAATTTGAAATACACTAATACTGAAATGTAATAACTTGGATTATAAAAATAGGAACTTGAATCAAGGTAAAGTATCTGGCCTTTTAATAATAATGAACATCGAAGAATGAAACTTTGACTTCCCCAAAACTTCCAACATTGAACTAAGAAAAATCATAACTTTTAACAAAAACCTATCATAACAATATATAAGAGCTTTTAGAAAAGGTATCACAAGTAGGGGGTTGCCATTCAAGACTGTGAAGTTGGGGTGGCTGGGAACGAAGGGGTAGGTGAAAACAAGTTACTTATTACACCATTTTGTCTCCCTCTCCTTATTATGGAAGTGTTTTTCAGCGATTTCTTATATTTTATTTGGTTGCTCAGATATGTCACCCTGTATACATAATGATACGCGCATTCTTCTTTGAATAAGAATAAGAGATACACTCACAGTGCGGTCTATAAATCTTTACACATGCGTCATCAATTATTTGTGCCAGGTTACCATTTTTTGTTAATTCTTTCATATTCATCTTTATTAATTATACGTTCATTGCTGAGATTTCGATATATAACCTTCGTCCTCGCCGACAACGCACATACCACAGATGATGTCTACTTCAGGTTCCATTCGAACCTGGAAGTTACTACCTGTTGAGTATTGAACCCAAAAGAGTTCCCAGTGGGAACGAATGATTTCAGAGTTAAATATCTTACCTCGTTTATCAATCGTTGACCGCTATGACACACTATAGCAACAGAAGTCGCCCATAATATGTACAAACATAATCCTCCTAGAGAAAAATTCTGAAATGGAAATCAGTTATTATTCTTGATTATGCCAATAATGTAGATCTTACCTCAAACACTGCATAACTGAGACAACCAAGGACAATAGCTGAGAAAAATAGGTTCATAAAAACACATACTCGAAAAGAGTTATTGTAAATGATGGCCATGCTGTAAAATTGAAATGAATCAATATTTAACGCCATATTTACCTAAGAAACAAGTAATACATAACTGGGCAAGCAGACATGTATACAGGGCAGTGATAGATGCTTGCTTGACCAGTATAGCCGGTATTGCTTCATAAGATAATAATAATAATGATAATAATAATGAATTCACAATGATTTAAGGAGCCAGCCACAATTCGCCAGCCAGCCACGATTGGTGTTTCTTGAAATTTCTCTAACTAAAAAACCTGCCTCACGTAAACCAACAATTCGTCCTTTCTCAAAATCACTAAGTTGAGGAATACGACGAACTTGAGGCATAGTGTTGACAATGCAAAACACTTTACAATAAAACTCTTTAACAGTTGAAACACAAATAAGAATAAAAATTGGAGATATGGTAAATGCTCACACAAAAAAACAGTTAAAAACCTGGCCAATATAGCTTCAGATACGGCTGAAATTTTACTGGCTTTTTACTGGCTTCAACATAAATACACATGCAAAACATTATTGAAATATGATTTGAAAGGGTTATATTTTTAGGAGTGATTAATTTTTGGGAATGAATAGAGAAAAGTATCTTCTGTATAATTCAGTGTTCATATAGAAATATTTGTTTCGAAAGAATTTTTTTTCTTTCGTGTAATTCAATGTTTATATGAAAGTAGCTGTTTCAGGAGGACTTTCTTTCAGTTTGTGTCTGAAAGTTACTTCTTTGCATGATCTACACATCCATGTATAGAGTTACTTATTTTCAAATTGATTACTTCCTTCCTTTCTTTGGAAGATTCTCTCATCCATTTTTTTGTATCAGATGGAGTAGTAGAAAGCCAAAAACTTTCTTTCCCAAAAATTATTGAAATATTTTCAGTATGGATGGGTGTTTACCTTTCTATGTCACTTAGTATATCTACTTGATCAATGAGGGATACGTTTAGCTGCTCTAGCTTTCCAATGATTGATTTATACAAAAATAATACTTACTTCATAACTTCATTGTGGTATCGCACGGTTCTGTTGAAAAATTCTTTTCTGTGTGTAGGATTCTCGCATTGCAGAGCTTCCAAAAATAAAAGTCTCACATGTTTGAATCTTAAGATGAGATGTTCTGTCAATTCCACGATAGTAAATGAGGTGGTCGAGGTCGCATAATATATGAGAGAGACACTATACATTTGATAGGCATAATATAACTGTTTATAAGGGAATCTACCAAAATCAAATGGCCACCATGCTGCTCCCATGATTCCGCAGACCTCGTCAAGGTTTCTCCTGATATTTTCCTTCTCGCACCTGTACAGTAGAGAGGTAGGAATATGTTTTAGCTTAAACAATGCTTTGTAGTGAATATTACTGGAGTTTTTTCCCAAAACCAAATCGTTATTTTAACACCTCGACACATGTTTCGATCACCAAGTGATCATCTTCAAAGAGCAAGATTAGAACTAGAAACTAATGCGAGCTAACCTATTTATACTATATAGGTATCCCATACAGGTAAACCATCCAGGCGTATCACCCATACAGGTATACCAACCTAAATTAATTTTACAGTTTTGCCTTATCTATTATTTTACAATATATGTTTCAATTTTCAGCGATATAAAAATTAATTTCACAATATTCCCCATCCAAATTTATTTTTGCAGCGTGTCCTTATGTAGTAATCAGTAAACCCAACATTATTTTATTTTAACAAGCTATATAGTATGCTCTTTGGTATATGTCTGTCATCGTTATTCATAATATTATTGTGTTTACTTATTTCTACACTCTCATAGGCATCTAGTTGCCTGCTGTTGTTAACTTGTCTAACTAATCTTAATGAACTGAAGTCTATGGAATGGTTTTGTTGCAAAATATGATGGGCGACTGCTGGTTTTTCAGGTCTTCCATATTTTAAGTGCGCTATGTGTTCCTTATATCTTACTTCAATAGATCTTTTTGTCTGTCCATAATATTTTGCATCGCGGTCGTTACATTCAATTTCGTAAATTCCAGACTTTTACGAATTCTCGACTTTGTCTTTTGGACTTCCCAAAAGGCTCTGTAGTCTATGACTTGTTTTAAAAATCACCTTCATACCTAGTTCCTTGAAAATCTTTCCAAAGTTCCTCGTATATTGGTGGTATGGAACTGAGATGTATTTATTTTGGTTTTTGTCCTTTCTGAAAGTCGAGATTTCGTTCATTCTTAACCTCGCAGAACCACGTTTTTGTATGTTGTATGAACTCTAAAAAACTCTAAAGAAGGTGAGATTTTGGTTGATTTTGATGTTAGTTCCTTATTTCCTAGCGTCCCAATTCCACAGACCTTACAATACCTCAGGGAATTACTAGAGAAAAATAATTTCAATAATAACGAAATCGATGAATTTGTTTCTCTTACTAATTTGTGTATGAAACAAAATCGGTTCCAGGTAGAAGGTTTCTTTTATGAATAACAGAAAGGAACGGCCATGGGAAACCTCTTGTCCCCCTCTCTGGCAGACCTGTTCATGAGCATATTCGAAATGGAAACCAAAGAAAAGTCGAAGTATTTTCCTAGTATTTGGCTAAGGTATGTGGATGATATTTTCGCGATATTCAATACCAAAAAATCGAATATTGACGAGTTTGTTCCTATTTTAAATAATAGATGTCCATCAATAAAATTCAGGTATGAGTTAGAAAATAAGGGACAATTGCCATTTCTTGACGTTTTGGTGATGAGGAGCCAATATGGAGGGTTAGAATACGATATATTTAGAAAAGAAACAAGCACGTACAGGTATATTCCTGACAGTTCACATCACTGTGGACAGCACAAACGTGCTGGTTTGAATTTTTAGTGCATCGTCTTTTGACTTTCCCTCTAACACATAATAGGTTCACAAAAGAAAGACGTACAATACAGGAAATAGCAGCCACTAACGTTTTCTCGAGGGGTATTGTAGATCACATAAAAAGGAAGAAGTTTAGGTTGAGAATGAACGAAATCTCTACTTTCAGAAAGGACAAAAACCAAGATAAATACATCTCAGTTCCATACCACCAATATACAAGGAACTTTGGAAAGATTTCCAAGGAACTAGGTATGGAGGTGGTTTTTAAAACAAGTCATACACTACAGAGCCTTTTGGGAAGTCCAAAAGACAAAGTCGAGAATTCGGAAAAGTTTGTAATTTACGAAATTGAATGTAACGACTGCGATGCAAAATATTATGGACAGACAAAAAGATCTATTAAAGTAAGATATAAGGAACATATAGCACACTTAAAATATGGAAGACCTGAAAAATCATCAGTCGTTCATGATATTTTGCAACAAAACTATTCCATAGACTTCAGTTCATTAAGATTAGTTAGACAAGTTAATAACAGGCAACTAGATGCCTATGAGAGTGTAGAAATAAGTAAACACAATAATATTATGAATAACGATGACGGATCTATACCAAAGAGCATACTATATAACTTGTTAAAATAAAATAATGTTGTTGGGTTTACTGATTACTACACAAGGACACGCTGCAAAAATAAATTTGGATGGGGAATATTGTGACATTAATTTTTATATCGCTGAAAATTGTTTTATATGAACATATATTATAAAATAATTGATAAGGCAAAATGTAAAATTAATTTAGGTTGGTATACCTGAATGGGTGGTACGCCTGGATGGTTTACCTGGATGGGATACGTACGTTTATAGCATAAATAGGTTAACTCGCATTAGTTTCTAGTTTTAATCTTCCTGTTTGAAGATGATCACTTGGTGATCGAAACACGTGTCGATGTGTTAAAAAAAACGATTAAGTGTTGGGAAAAAACTCCAGTAATATTCATTACTACACCAAAGGTTCCAAACAGTGCATCATAAATGCTTTGTAGCTTTAAATTATGGAATGAAATACATTCAGGTGATCAAGTTGAAACATATTTTTTACCAGAAAGGTCTTATTATCTTTACTAATATAAAAAAGCTCAAGAGTATTTCTTTGTGTCATTGAGCGCACTAATAAAGCGAGTCGAGAAGTATATATTAAGAAATTTTAATTCGTCATAAATAATGAAAATCTTACTCTCATCATTATCATACTCTCGAGATACTAAACTTATTTTCACTGAATCAGATAAACGAAAACTCACGAATATGAAACCCTCCTGCCTTAAACTATATAGCCTAATAGAAACACATGAAGAAGATAACCCCAAGAACCGTATATAAACAGTCCGGTAAAAGAACTAGGAATACGGCTTAAGTTGTTCAAAAATATTACCGATTTCGTCCCACGTCACAGCATAAAAAATTCGCTCACTTAAGTGAAAAAAATAAGGAACAAAACCACGTCACATAATTCAATTTTAGTTTCATTCAATGTGAAGAATATGTTCTCTAACATAAAACGAATGTTAAGTCTCTCATTTCAAATATATTAGATCAAGCCAAAGTAAACCATGTCACTTCTCTTGAAATTTCGACAGCTTTTAATGTATTCCTAAATCAAAATTACTAACAGTTCAATAACAAATTTTATGAACAGGATTGAGGATTACCACCTCTTAGTCCACTTTCAGCAGGGATATTTATGAACAGCTTGGAGACCACTATAGTGAATTTTGACCTGGGTAAAAAACATTCATTTTTGGTACAGATATGTAGACGATATTCTTGCCTGTCTCAGAGGTTACTACACGACAGCTGAACCAATGTATGATGTTCATGAATAATCCTAATATCCTAATAATCCTAATACAGTTCATACTTGAAACAGAGATAGAGAAACAGATTCATTTCTTATACCTGATTATCACACATAATCATAATAAATTTGAGTTCAATATATTCAAGAAAACCGAGATATACATATATTACAATCCCAAGTGCTTCTTTCCATCCCGAGAGTCATAAATTAGCGGCCTAAAATTCAATGTTACACAGAGCATTCTCGTTACTTTTGTATGCTAACAATCTGGATAGCCAATCATACTAATATACACAACATACATACTAATATACCCCCAATTATCATCATACTAATATACAATCATACTAATACTACAATCATACTAATATAGACCCAGATCAAACAATCAGAAATCAATACATTTGTAACGTTAACATATTTTGGCAAAAGAACAGAGACAATTGCGGGATTTAAAAAAAAAAATAATGTGGGAGTGACACTCAGACCACATGCCAGGTTATCTAATTTCCTTTTCAATGCCAAAGGTAAAGTAGTGGACAAGATGGAGAAATCTGGAGTTTATGAGCTTAAGTGTGTCCGGAGTGTAATAGTGTTTATGTTGGACAATGTGGCAGACATTTCTCAAAACGGAATGATTCCCCCTTTTAAACCAATCCTTGGAATGCAACCACAAGTTCCCGAATCTAAACGATACGGAAATTTTGTACTATGCAAGTAAAGGTTGGAAACTCAATAATTTGGAATCTTTAGAAATTCATGAACAGAAGCATTACGGATGTAAATGACCAAATTATCTTGTCGGTCGGTAGCCAGCCGGTTCAACGCGGGTGCTTTGTTCATTCACTCGAATTGACTGCCGTGTTGGTCGGTGGTTCAAGCCCTAGTCTGAACGATCGATTTTCACTTGCTATCGCCCAACCCCTGTTAGGAATCACACGTTAAAAGGTAAGACATCGTTAATCCTTAGCTCGCACAAATTTCGACATCTGAGGGTTGTCGTTCGTAGGGGTGCGACAGCTGGTTAACAGAAAAACAGATTTTTTTCACTCGCCGGTTTTCAGATTAGCGTACCCACATTGTCACAGGTAAATGAAATTCAGATAATAAAGTCATTAAGAACCGTCATTACCTGTTGTGGGTACAAAGATATATAAGGGTGCAAATTGTTAAGTATCTCAACTATCCTGTTCCCAAAACCTCAAATAGACCCCACCAAACCTGACTCCTATAGACCTATCAGTCTCCTCGATGTCCTCAGAAAACTTCTAGAACGTCTAATCACTAACAGATTAAATAACTTCATCCACGAAAACAATATCATTCCTCCACACCAACACGGCTTCAGACCCGAACACTCCATACAAAACGCACTGTAGTCGAATTAAATACACACATCGCCCAAAACATTAATTCTTCCTTCAGTATTGTCGCCTATCCTCTTAGACATAGAAAAAGCATTCGACAAGGTCTGGCACGCGGGCCTGATCTGGAAACTAATTTGAATCCTCCTCAGTTCATCAGACTAGTCGCGTCTTATCTTACCAACAGACAAATCCGCATCAAAGTAGGCGAAACCCTCTCCGCCCCGTTCATACCCAGAGCGGGAGTCCCCCAGGGCTCAGTCCTTGCACCCTCTCTATTCTTAATATATATGCACGATTCTCCCCCCACTCAAAAAATCCTACCATTCGCAGACGATAGAATCCTTAATTCCTCCGCCACCTTCAAACACAATCCCAAACAATGATCAACCACTTTGAGCAATGGTGCAACAAGTGGCGCATCAAAATGAACCCCCTCAAAACCCAAACAATTCTATTTAGACACCCTAATACCACGATCCGTCCCAAAATTAATAGTAACGACTTGAACCTCAGACTGTTTGGAGAGAACCTCCACCTCCAGGACTCGGTGTCCTACCTGGGGGTCACTTTCACGCGTACCCTCAACTGGGCGACCTAGAGAAACCCTGGACAGAGTCCGGAAAGGGGCGAATCTCCTAAAAGCGCTGAGAGGCAAACTCGGTAGATGTAACAGTAAGACTCTCCTACACACCTACAAAACCTTCATAAGACCGATCGTGGAGCATAAAGTCACACTCTACTGTACCCTCTCCCAGAGACAAATCCTCCGTATACTAAGAACTGAGAGAAGAATCCTAAGAAATATCCACAACCTCCTATACCGATATCACTCCCAAGACTTATATAACCAAATAGATATTTCACCAATCAATTTGAGATTTCAGGAACTCCATGGCAGATACGCATCGAGAACCATAAGAAGCCACAACACCGCGGCCATCGGGACCTTGACTATCCCCGCCAAGGTGCCAAAAGGATACCACGAAAAAAGCTCCCCCAGCCAGACTCCTGGGGCTGTTGAAAGACCCTTCGGAGCAGATCCAGAACATCCTAGAGGAATATCCATTGGCTATCAGATAGCGGAAAGTCCACGCTCTGGAATACCCTGAAGACATCCTGAACAGTCAACCACACCACCCCAGGCTCATCACAAACCGTCACCTCCCAAACAACGACTACCGCCATGGACCAGAGCATCCGAACAAACTAAGGAAAAATTAACACTAACACTAACATAGAATAAAATAGACAACTATAACCCTGTATAGGCATAAGCCTATAGCAGGGCTCTACCATAAATATACTTTGTGAATTACTAACACTATTGTTAGGATCTTCATTCGGGTTCGAAGGCCGTTGTGGTTTGGAACTGTATCCTAAAGTTTCGCCAGCACAAGTGACTGGCTTCTTCAGAGGTTTATTCATCTTGATGGTTCACCGATGGTCGAACCCGAATGAAGATCCTAACAATGAAAATCTCGGCCGCGAATGCCTAAATCAATTTACTAACACTAACCCAAAAATTGAATAAATACTTGATCAGTCAGTAAGTATTTCAGTTTATTCTATTCGTTTGAAAATGTCCGATAGGACGAAACTGCATACCACGGAGTAACGGCTCCATCTATCAATTTACTTCGTTATTGACTTCCAAAAAGTAACTCGAATGCTTGTAGGCTAACACATAGATGGCGCTACTAGTATTGAATCCATATGTCGGACTATTAATTTGTGAGATAGAATATTCCGAGTGAAGCAACTTTTGTTAGTTTGAAGCAAATGGATAAAAAGGAATTTCGTGTGTCAATAAAGCGTTGCTTTTTGGCGAAAAAAATACCGTTGAAGCCACGGCTTCACCAGGAAAATCAACCATTGAGAAATGGTTTGCTAAGTTCAAACGAGGTAAAATGAGCACCGAAGACGATGCACGCAGTGGACGCCCCAAAGAGGTTGTATCCGACGAAAACAATTGAAAAGTCCACGAAAAAGTTTTGGATGACCTCAAAGTGGAGTTTATCAAGATAGCTGAGGCTCCTGAAATATCAAAGAAATATGTTAGACATATCGTGCTTGAATATTTCGGTATGCGAAAGCTCTGTTCGAAGTGGGTGCCGCGAGAGCTCACAATCGACTAAAAACAACAACAGAATCGCGAATAAACGGCCTTATTTGAAGAAAAAGTAAGTGTTGTTTCACCGAGACAATACACCGTGTAACAAATCGATGAAAACGATGGCAAAATTGTATGAATTGGGCTAAGAATTTCTTCCGCATCCAGATTATTTTCCAGATCTGGCCTCCAGCGACTCATTCCTGTTGTCAGACCTCTAGAGAATGCTTACTGGAAAGAAATTTAACGCCAATGAAGAGCTAATCGTCGAAACTATTTTGAGACTATACAAAAATTGTATAACCGCTATAATCGTTGTGTCGCCCCTGAAGGCAACCATATTGAATAATAAAATAGAATTTCATAAATTTTTTTTTCTATTAGCCTATGAATTTTTCAGCCTAACTCTCGTGGTGTTGTTGTGTTCTTTCATTAATTAGTATTCAGTTTTTTGTTTCGACTAGTTGGATTATAGATCAGTTTGCTATGATGAGGAATAATATAAAAAATACGATGTCCAAGATAATTTGTCGTTACTAAAACTTCGAGACGAAGGTTATCGTCCTCGCAGTTAACGCACGTACCACTGATGATGTCTGTCGCAGTAGCAGACGAAACGTTTGGTAGTACCAATTCCATTCAACCTTTGCCTACCAGCCTGGATTTTGTTTTCTCTAATTTGAACATCGTTACTTTATAGTTTCTTCAGAATTTAGTCATTTAGTTTGTTTATTCCTTGAATAATATTTGTGATCGAACATTTCAGTGAAAATTATTCAAAAATGTCAATATAACATTTACCTTCCTTTATCCATGAGTGGCGTTACAATAATAGCCAGCATTGCCATAATTCCAAAAATTTGGTAGACGACTGAAAAATAGTTGAGTTTTTTGTTTTCTTTGTCGAAATCTTTCGGTTTGCCGTACGTTCGAAAATCGGAGAGTATCCGGCAGAGTTTGAGGGTGTTTTTAATTTTCGCTACGAAGCAGGAGTTGAAGTAGTAGCATCCAGCTATGGATACTATCAGAGCTATATCCAGATCTGTTTTTATGTACGTATGTTCTGAAATTTGTAATTGAAAGTATTTTAGATCAACATGAAGTTTTAAATTTGGTACCATAATAAAAAGTTGCCACTATGAATATCTCGGAAATGATAAAGAAACTATTCAGAGGTGATAACTGCGTTTGAATATACAAACTAAAGAGTTACTACTGTTTCTATTGAGGAACTATCTAGTGTTGTGAACCAAAAACTGCACTAAACTCGAGAAATAAACAAAAGAAATGAACAAAATATAACAAAAAAAGTTAAAACTGTACCGAATTTCAATTCTGAATTGAAAGATAAAACAGATACTACAAAAAACTCAAATGTAATTCATAACATTTCTTGTAACAATTGTAACTTGGATTATATTGGAACAACATCTAGAATTCTCAATGATAGAATCTTGCTCTATTGAGAATGAAAAAATTGAAACAACGATAAAAATAAAAACAACAATAAACATTAATTGGCGCTCCGGGGCGATTTCATTGATTCCAGTGGCGCATTTGCTTTTTCAGCTGCAGGAAAACCCGGAAAAACCTGCAGCACCACATCATCTGAAGATCTGGATTTACCAATGTCCTCTTTCTTATAAAACAAAATGTAGAGTGTCTCCAGAGGCTCCAATAGATTCAATGCATCGCCAGAACAATTCGTGACACGACTATCGTCAAACTTAAACCAGTCCGTTTCGTCTTTGACCAAAGCGTAATAGTGACCAAATTCAACGCCAGAACCACACTGAACAATGACTGCATGAATATTATAATAGTGGTCTGCTAGATTGAAATGTTCATCTATTTCGAACCTTCCAAAGAGTTTCTTGCTTACGTCAGAGGTCGAGTCTTGTTTGAAGATCATCAGTGTCATTCTTAGATTGACTGGTGCCTCAGATATACTTGTTTCCTTATAACAGTCAGTTATATAGTTTGCCGCATGTTTGACAATACAGGCGATCATCACCTGTTGAACATTTCATTTTTAGATGATTTAACAATAAGATTTGCACGGACTGGTTATTAGTCATATTAGGAAAAGCTAGATGAAGTTCCAGAAATTCACTACCTACTACCTCTTGAACATTTGCTACAAAGTGAACAAGTGAGGATTTTTCCAGCAATCTGTACAGAATCATTCAATCCAGAGCGGTCAGGAGTATTGATTTTGCTATTGTTTTGCTCATGAAGAGTATTCAACAAGAAGCCCAAGAATTCGGAACAATCCCCTTATTGTCCTAACGAGTATCTAGTGGACTCCAGGAAATAGGTTGGAGGGAAAGATGATACATTCTTACGAAACTGCAGCTGCATGAACAGGTGTTTGAGTTTGATGAATAAATAGGAAACATTCGCGTTCTCGTTCGTCATAAAAACATCGTTTTTGAAATTCTTCGTCAAGAACAACACTTGTAAAACGCTATTCATGTAGCAAGTGCTTCCTAAATCATCCAATCCAATTTTCTTCTCTAGATTTTCAGGACAACTATCTACTGATTCGTAAGGAAGAACACGTTTCACAGAATAAAATCACATGAAAGTGATATAAAACTCAATAAGAAATCAAGTGTTTTAGCACAACTAATACCAAAGTTTTACGTACAAAAACTATTTCCAAACGCTAAAATGAGAATTAAAATTTCCTATGTTTTTTACCAATTGTATTCGTAACTAACGTTACGGTAGTTTCGTCCTATATGCAGGGCCGTCTTTAACCTATTGGAGACTCTGGGCATAATAGGATAATGGGGCCCCTATGACTTTGGCAGCACACTATTTTGTTAGAATAGACAAAGAAAGTAGATAAACAAGGTTAAATATTTATTTTCATTAACAATCACATGAAACGAATAGATAAATGTAATATAGTCCACAAAAGTAACGTTTTAGCATTTAGATTAGTGCTTAAAAATCTATGTTATTTGAAGAGGAATACTTCTAGATTTCAGGTGGTCAAAATCGTTAATCATTTCTTCAAAATCTATGCATTTTAGCACTTCAGATTCTATCGACATCAGCGACAAACTGGTTAATCTCTCTTGAAGCATTGTACTTCTTAATTCATTTTTAATTCTTTTCAATTTGGAGAAGGAGCGTTCCACACTGCAGTTAGTTACCATCATGCTTAAAAAGATTCTCGATGCGATTTCTACATTTGGAAATGCGTCTACAATTTTGTTTTCTTTCAAAAGTTGATATGTTTTTAATATATAATCCTCATTTTCACTGTCAACAATTTTCCAGTATTCTGTTAAATGCAAACATTCTAACCCTTTCTCATTAACATCCTCATAATAAAATTCAGCAAATTCTTTGCAACTTTGTCTCAATTCTTCAGAATTCAGAGTTTTCAAGCGAAAAAATAAATCAAAACGTTTACTGATATTCTTATACGAACTTAATCGCTTTTCAATGAACGCTGAGGGTATCAATTATGGGAAGAAAGGTTTCTATTATGAATATCTCTCTTCCATTCAGTTGGACTGACAGCGCAGAGCCATCAACAAAACTCTGGCGAGAACTTCTGCGTGTTAGGAATCACACGTTAAATGGTAAGACCTCGTCAGTCCTTAGCTCGCATAAGTTTTTCAACTTCTGAGAGTTGTCGTTTGTATGGGGGCGACAGCAGATTTACGGAAAAATATATTTTAAACAGATTTTTTTAATGTTCTTTGAGATAGGTCCTTGTAGTCGGATTCCGGATTTCTTTCTTTGGCAGACGATTCAAAGTAATCAAATTAATTCCTGAGGTTAATAATAAAATCATCAAGTGAAGTAAACATATTAGTTGCAACGTCTAGTGTTATTGTTTCTTTCTGATGATAATTACTTATACAGTGTCACCGATAAAGTCCGCATCAAATGGGAAACTTTTTTATTTATCGTTTTATGTGAAATTTGATTTCGGCAGTAGATTTTGCTTAAGAAATGATGTCAAATGGCGTCTACAAAATAGGTCACGTGATTTCCTTAACCTGTCAAAATTGACATTTAAAAAAAGAAACATCGAAAAATGACATTATTCTTCAAAATATCCAAAAATATCAAAGGATAAAAACATTTTCTTTTGTAATTTTATGCCAATACAAAAAGTTTCAAACCCATAATAAGTATTTTATATTTTCACTATTTTTCCGCATTCCTGCTTTTTCTACTTATCAAAATTTAAGCACACCTGTACTAAATCATTTATTTTAACTAAACTCGTCACCGAATTTCTTTTTTTGTAATATAATAATATTTTAAGAGCCTCTTTGATGAAAAAAAAAACAAATTTTGAAAAATAAAAGTTGTCAAACTTGATGCAAAGTTCATCTAGTTTCAACGGGGCTTTCCAAACTATACAGTACTTGAGTTTTTTAATGAGCAAATGGCCTCACAATATGAATTAGAACAAAACGGAACATTAGGAAACAATATCTTAGAGTGTTTATTGTTTTTTTAACAAAAAATACAGTGGAATTTAATCTTAATTAAAAGGAACTGAAAATAAACATGTACCTATACCTGATGCCGATACTCACAGGGTTTATGTTTAAAATAGAGTTTCTAATAACAGTTTCTAGGTGATTCACGTCACAAAAGGGTCTTTGTTTATAAACGATTTGTTTTAAGTAACCCCACAAGAAAAAACTATAGGAGACGCTATAATGTACAAAATTGTAACAAGTTATCTTTCGTACATTTTTATCAGTCGTCAAATGGATTTCGCTTTGAAAAAAGTCTTTCATCGTGTTTATGGCGTAGAAATAGGAAGAACGACCATTTTTCGAATAAAATGCTTTTTCAAGAAAAACTATTTAACCTAGCCATAGGGAATACTTAATGAAATTTGTAGAGGTTTCGTTGGCGTTCCTTATGGATCAATAATATACAGGGTGTACCATTTAAAATTAGGAAGATTCTGCAAATTTTCATTTACAATATGTGGCAAGCGGTTTTTTATACCCTGTATATCACAGGTAGATTTCAGATATATCGTTTGAGATAGTTACCAATGTAGAATATTTGACCAAAAAAAAATTCAATTGGACTTGGTACAACTTTATAATTTCAAATATTCTGAGTGACGAATATTGGAAAAAAAAAACCTGTCATGCAAGATATCTCGAAAACCGTCAATATTTTTGATGTGAAGATATGCATAAAGTGTCTTTTATTTTCTATGTAGAAATCGAAAAAAGGATAAAAAATATAGGTTGCCACTTGGAAAAACACAGTTGGGATCCGCCCAGAAAAAATTTAACACCCTGTGTGACCGCCAATATTTTCATTTTGTCGAGCTCGAGTGATAAGGTAATATTATGGAAATTTAGATCTCTATCTGTTTCCTAAATAGAGATATGGAACACCGAGCCACTGTTGCAGGACCCTGTATATATGTTAACTCGAAGATTCTCACGGACAAAGTATGATGAGCTGTTTTTTCGGGTTTCGTTCCATGTTCTGTGTATTTTATCCTCATAAGGATTATTTTCACAACGTTTCGGCAAAGTCTCATTTGCCATCTTCTGATGATGTCTGGAGTTGGAGTCTGGAGTCTAGTTGAAAAACTCCAGTCATCATCAGAAGATGACAAAAGAGACTTTGCCGAAACGATTCTTATGAGAATAAAATACACAGAACACGGAACGAAACAACGAAACCCGTTGTAGATGTCTTGATAAAGGGAATAAACATTTTCGAAAGCTCGACCATATAACAAAGAGTATTCTTTAAACACCAGTACTTTGACTGCATCCCCAACAATATTCCGTATTTCTATATACAGGGCTATTCATATTCGTTTTTGTACATGGGGATCTCGTAAACGGTAAGAGATAGAGTGTCTGTTAAAATTGTATTAGTAGACAGTTGAATTAAAAATAAGATAAATGTTGAAGAAAAATCTTTGTATCGTATGATTATATGATGATAATTATTAAATTTAACATTTCATAAATATCCATAACTCCTAATTTTGTTCAGGATATTGAGAATGTGAATTACTATTTTGGGCAATATTTTGGGAATATAAATTTTCTATCTCGCGACAAAATGAATTCAAGTGACCTTACAAACCGATGCGACACGCCTGATGAAGAAAGGTTGCAATTGTTTGGGTCTTGTTGTACTTGGTATGGTGAGTTCGCATTTTTTTGTGTTTTCTTTAGGTAGATAGGGACTTAGTAGATAGGTAGAAATTAAAATCGTTAGTTGTGAACATACTTTTGTTTGAGTGAATTTCATGAGAGAGCATTATTATTAGTTACAAGTGGATGTGATTTACTTGACTCAAACTAAATAAGAAAGAAACTAATAATTAATTTTTTTGAAAAGCAAAGATATTAGTAGACAGTTAAATTAGAAATTAGATAAATGTTGGAAAAAACCTATCTATTGTATGATTTGTTAGACTCAATCTTACAATAATAATAAACATATAATCTCACATATAATCTAGCTAGCACTAGGCTGCCGTTATTCGTGCTTCGACTCGCAGAGATGACAAATCCCATTTCGTAACAGTCAGAATCAGTCATCCTCCCTTGCTTCTACGTTCACAGGGTGTTTTGTGATACTGGGTATCTTACAGATTGTATAATAATAATTATGAAAAATTCTACATTTTTGTCAAATATTTTTTAGTTATCATTTATTTCTAATTTTGTTGAAAATATTGAGAATGTGAATTGTATACGTTGACTCCATCAGAACGAATAGTTTTTTGTCTGATATTGGTTATTAGATCTCAAGAAAGTGTACTGTTTAATGTAAGTAAACAACATGCAGATTATTTTTATGAAAATGGTTAAATTTATGCACATACAAAAAAAGTATTTGAAAAGAAGAAAAGTTGTTCAACCCACCTCTGACATTTTTAATTAAATGTAAACTAGATCCAATCGGTACTCCAATCGTTGGCAAGTAAAATAAAATATATTTGATATAAAATAATTTCCCAATATTTCTCCATTCTTCTTTTTTCGGGAAGATAAACACTCTGGTGAGATATTTTAAAGAATTCTCAAGTATCACTATTTCAGTATCCATTTTATGATAAGTTATTACAAAAACAATTCAAGGACGTCCTGGAAGGAACTAGTATTCAACAATTCCTTGCATCGCTTTTTTACCTCAAGGGGTACCATTTTTACTTGCTCCTCCCATTTCATCCCCAAGACGCCAATGTCATCATGGCATTGGCGTCTTGGAGATGGCAAATAATGACGATCACATCACAGCTTCGTGATTGTTCCATCGGTTATGAATTTTTAACAAAGTTTTAAGAATATTTAATTGAATTGTACTTAAAACGGTAGTTATATCAGGAAATGATAGTCTGCACAGGTATAATATTACAGATGCATGTTCCCAGAGATGGCCGTTCGCCGATCCAGGCTGTTTACTCAGCATTACGTCATATGCGAACTTATTAATTCACTTTCTTTCCTCATTAAATTATTCAGTTGTCATAACAAGAGTTTACACTTGAGAAAGCTATTGTATAGCGAAACACGTGTCGTGGTTTTTGTAAAACCTTTCATAGTGAAAATCATCAATGAACTGTATTAATTAGTTGTAATATGGATTTTCGTCTAGTATCGGCCAGTTCTATTCAATTGTTATCAGATGGATCGGTGATTTAGTCCTCTGCTCCTTATAAAATTTACTGTTCAAACTTATCAGTCTTTTTTGCATTATTTTAAGGATTCTAAATTTTTTTGATTTAATATTCTTGACCCTTTGGTCAAGTTGTATTTTCAAAGTGTTTATTATGTTCATTTCAAGTTATTGGCATTTGTTTACGATGGTTGAATTTGCACACAACCCTCAATGAAATTATACTTCTTATACTTCAAGTTTATTCCGTAACATTAAAAAATCGTAATTAATGAATGAATTGTGTGTATTTTCTGTAATGTTATCCAATTTGGTACTGAAGAGCCTTGGGGCAAGTGTCTTAAGGCGAAATACCGATGTATACCAGTGAGGATGACAGTGTTCCATGTAAGTGCGATTTGTTACCATTCATTCAAAGTAGAACTCATGTGAATGATATCTGATTTTTATTCCACAACGCATGTTTGAAATACAAACTGAGTAGAGAAAAGTATCTTCTGTATAATTCAGTGTTCATATAGAAGTATTTGTTTCGAAAGATTTTTTTCTTTCGTGTAATTCAATGTTTACTTTCTTTCAGTTTGTGTCTGAAAGTTACTTCTTTGCATGATCTACACATCCATATATAGAGGTACTTATTTTCAAATTGATTACTTCCTTCCTTTCTTTGGAAGATTCCCTCATCCTTTTTTTGTATCAAGATGGAGTAGTAGAAAGCCAAAAACTTTCTTTCCCAAAAAATGAATCACTCCTAAAAATATAACCCCTTCGATTCTTATACTTCTATTGTTAACTTTCTTAAGACCGTCTATTTTATTTCTTCATGACTATATTATTTGGATTCAAATACCAAGATTTATAAAGTAACGTGACATTTCTCTGCATTCCTATCATTTTGAAATTATGGCAAGTATTAACTACAATCCTACTAATTTCTGTTTGCCGAATTTGGATCTATGCACCCTTTTTTCCAAGATGTTCGAGGACTACGTGACTTGACAATAATTCCAGCCCATCCTGATAAATAACCCTCTCCCAAAAAGAAATTTGGTGGATAGGACCAAGCACTGATGGCCTGTGCATTGGAGAACAGGGGAGGCTAAAGTCATAAGACTATATTGGAATTGGCCGCGGTGGTAGTGCGCCCTACTCACGATCGGAAGGCCGTAGGTTCGATTCCCAGATATTTTTCTTGAAAGAATTCATCTGATTGAAGCTGGGATGATTCTGCAACCGTGTTAGGAGTCACACGTTAAAAGGTAAGACCTCGTTAGTCCTTAGCTCGCACAAGTTTCTCAACTTCTGAGAGTTGTCGTTCGTATGGGGGCGACAGCTGATTACTGGAAAAACCCGCCGGAGGCGCGAAAATTTTTTGGGGTACCGCACCTATTTAAAGCAAAATACGTAATAGTTGCATAAATGCAAACAAAAATTGTGTATTGCCGAAAATTATACGTATAAAACTGACAATTGAAAAAAAACAAAAACAAGGAAAAAGAGTTGTCTTTGAGTTATTTAATATAAATTAACTCTTCTCAGTCATTAAATAATACTTTTCTCTTCTAATATAACAGTTTTGTAAAAATTGCTAAAAATATTTTATAAGCATAAGTAAGTACTTAATTATGCTTATAAAAACAGGTCTAAAAGTAAATTTTATTGTCCAGCAAGAACCAACGGGGAGGTGAGAGTCGTGTCTTGCCAGGAAAGGAAAGGAAGGATGGGGTAGGAAGGAAGGTTAAATCTGGTTTGTTTAAGCGAATTCACAAGGTACCCGCAAACTACTTTTAATCGACGGTCATTCAAGTTCAAGTAAAAATTAATGGTGAAGTAATGATACCCAAGCATTTTCAGAAAGAAATAATCATAATCATTTGTCAATATCTTTCAATTAATTGCGATGAATAGCCTCAAATTTTATGGGGAGGCTAAGCCTCCCTTGCCTCCTCTGACGAGCCGCCGCTGAGACCAAGTGAAAATAAAAATTCATTCTCCATCTGAGAGTACTTGTGACAAGACATACTGTCTTATCGCGTATTACAAAATACAGTTGATCGTTTGCAAGAACCGTAGAAACATCTTGTTGCAAGACATGCCGTCTTTCCAGATATCGGTTACAGTACCAATCTCGTCTCGTGGTTTTTCACCACACATTTCTTTGTTTTTATACATTAGGGCTTATACTATAAACTCATAGGAAATAAAATATTACATAGATATTAATTTATCTGGTCAAAAATTATGGGGAAATCTAATTATTTTTTTAAATTGTAAAGTTTGGATCAAATCAATAATTGAAAAACATTTATTATTTCAATTATTGGTTGCATGACATGGTCCATTTCAAAATGTTTGGATGCCAATGATTCCTGATGATTTATACAGTGAAATACCACAAAATTCCCTCATGTTCTATGTTTTAATTTGATTACAACGCCAGCCATGGCAGGAGCGCCATCCGTAGTTGTGATGTCGTTTATTGAAGTCAAGTTCATATTCTGCTATCAAATGCTCAATTGCAGAATAAATATCACTTGCTGTCAATGAAACGTCGGCAACTTTTGACATACAGCCTTTAATAAAATCAGCATCAGTGAAAGGTTTTGATCTCTTCGCGATTTCTAATGCAATCATCAAACTTGATTTCAGGGCATCTTCGCTCTCAGTATTAGATTTAGTAAACATCGATTGTTGAACAATCGAATTTTGATTTATGATTCGTATCATAGTGTCTCTAAAAGTTAAACTCCTTACAAACAGCAACTGTTTGATTGTAAATCAAACACAGTGATTTACCTTTTCATTCTATGAAAAAATATGCAATTTCCCATTAAGACTGAAAAACTCTGTACTCACTATCAACTTTACGTCTTTGTGACATTATGCCAAGATCGTAACAATTATGGAACTCGACACAACAATTATGGATATCGCACGCGCACGACACAAACACAATCACTACTTCGCAGTAGAACTAGAATCCTTCTCCGACCGTATCGCTTCGATTACTCGACTTAACAGACTCACGTTGCGCCGAGTTCTCTACGAAAATAGTAGAGTATTTTCGCTTGTTGCTAAGAGATGGCGTTACTGTCTATGATTGAGTTGTTTACTAGAACTAAATAAGTACCTAACTAACATTCTCTCGCATGTCTAGGCACGCGCTTCTTTTCATGACACATTGTGATTGCGGGCCGTAGTGATACGGCTGATATACTCAGGTGAGTGTTCGGTTGGGATCTTTTGCGATCACAGCCGGGCATTTGACTGTGTTAATCACATTCTGTTATATGTGTGATAAGCTAACAGCTATTGATATTCGAAGTCACTTCTTGAAGTGGATCGAATCATTTTTATCTGGACGCCAACAATACGTTAGTGTTTCGAATATTACGAAAAAAATCGGTAAATGTTAGTAAATGTCATCACTGTGGGTCACCTACAAGGATCTGTTTTGGAGACATAACATCTATAAGTTCACCAGTACATTTCACAATTTATGCAGGTTACACTTCTATTCTGATATCTAAACAAAGCAAATGCAGCTTCAGATACACGGTCCAATAATGTACTATCGAATCTTTATGAGTGGTTTTGCAGGAATTCTCTTTATCTCAACTCAGAAAAAATACATGTAGTACACTGTCATAATGAACAGAAACAGGTAGCCAATATATACATTAAAATTGGCAATCATCAAATTGACAAGGTATCATGTATGAAATTTTCGGGTCTATATGTCGATGAGTGTCTTGATTGGAGGAGTCATTGTGAGACAGTCGTTTCAATTATGAATTCTGTGATATATATGCGTTCTTAGTCATAACCAGTTGACTATGTTGTACTTTGCTGAGGCAGAATCTCGCTTGAAATATGACATTATTTTTTGGGTAGGATGGTGTCTTCAACATCTTAGTCTATCGCAGTCGAGTGATGGGTATGGAGGTTCTTGACACATTCGCTATCAACATGTCCAGCATATGCGATCTCAGGAGTCCTTTAGGAATCCTTTAATTAACATCTACGGCACTTTTACGGTATTGACGAAACACCGGTGTTGCCCTATGCTCCCCACCCCCAGGCCCACCCCAGGCTCACAAAACGTGGAGTTTTCAGCTTCCGCTGAAGCGAATATCACCGGAAAAGACGAAGAAAATTGGACTAAATATCGATATTTTCTCTCCAAACTCCTCAGACTCTACCCAGATCACTCTGTCGAAACAGTTGTTCTGATTGTTGAAGTCTTTGATGGAATGATGCCCTGTCTACTCCCGAAAATCCGCCATCTTGCGGCAAGGTTGTCATTATTGGCTCATTGCGTCTGCTTAGGGCATATGATTCTCGGACCCAATGTTCACTTACCCCACGGTGTGGGAAGTGGTCATTGGTTTATAATGCTGGCGCGCCTTCACGACTGTGTATGAGTTTCGGGAATAGGGCCCGATCAGAGCAAACAATAATAACAATGATAATAATGATAATAATGCATGAAGTCTGAGTCGATTCCACAGATAATGTTTGGAGTACAAAAGGTTTACAAAAAAGTGATTACCGTATAATTCAAAGTTCATATGAAAGTAGTTGTTTTGAGAGGATTTTTCCTTCCAGTTTGTATTAGAAAGTAACTTCTATATCTACCTTGATTGCTTTCTTCCTTCCGTCGTGAGTGTCCCCCCTTTTTTCATATAAATGGAGAAGAAGAAAGCCAATAAGCTTTTTTTCAACCTCCATCGTAATGACGATTTACCTAATTAACATTTTCTACGACACTGCTTTGAGAGAAGCATTAAACGATTTCCACAGTGTGCAGAGTATCTATAATGAGAAATCTGGAATCACTGCATTTTTTTTATAAACGACTGTATGTTCTGTACGGTCTTCGATCTTCTAGAATTAGTAAAAAAAGTACAGCATCACATAACACATTTAGGTAGAGTTTGGGTTAGGTCCAAAGTGAGTGGGTCTATTCGACCTTCCATCGCAGTTTCTAAACAGTTTTTCTGTTCTGAAGTGTACATTTTTAGGTTCGCTTCAGTTACACAGATTTTTGAAACTTTTCAGTATCTTTATATGCACCGATGGTAAATAATACAAAATAAAACTGTTCGCATTTTAATAATACATTAACCTAGCTAAAAGTACAGGATACATTTCTACATATCTTTTAAACATGGAAACTAATTTTTCTATTAGAAATGGTAATGGTAATAGTGAACAATAATTTCATCTTGATGATTTTCTACTTTGATTCACATCGTTTGTTTGAGTAACGTTATGTAGGAGTAAGAAGTTTTCAGGATCTGGAAAGAAAAACGTATACACTCTCGTGACTTCTGAAATAAGAAATTATTAATCGAACGATATGAAGAAATAACAATATAAAATTACCAACACTTTACTGTGCTTCTGCTGGAAAAATCGTCACTTGTTTAATTTGTAGTAAATGTTTCTTAATATGACTAATAACCAGTCCATGCAAAGCTTATTCTTAAATCATCTGAAAATGGAACTTTTAACAGGTGATGATCGACTGTATTGCCAAACATGCGCCAAACTAACTGCCTGTCATAAGAAAACAAGTGTAGCTGAGGCATCAGTGAATCTAATAATAACACTGATGATCTTCAAGCATGACTCAACCTCTGACGAAAGTGCCAAAGTCTTACGAAGAAGGTTCGAAATAGATGAACACTTCAATCTAGCAGACCACTATTATAATCTTCATGGAGTCATTGTTCACTGGGACAGAGGACATTGGCAGATCAAGATCTTCAGATGATGTGGTGCTGCAGGTTTTTCCGGGTTTTTCTGCAGCTGTTGTTGTTTCATTATTTCATGATTTGTATTTTGTAAGTGTTATACGATCAACATCTTTGGAAAAAAATTCACAAATCCGAAACACTTTTACAGAGGTGTTTAAAGTGGTGTGATATAGAAATGAGTAAATAAGTAGGTATGAGTAGTACAAAAATTGACACACGGGGACAGTTTTACTCAAAGTACCTGGGACAATTGCATCTTCAAATATGATCTATAAAAATTCTATAATTCGTCGTTTGTATGTAATATACGAATTGTTATCTGTCTTATCACTGTGTTTCCACGGAATAGTTTTGAACAACCTCTTCAAAAGAGGTATAATAGTTACCACAAACCAGATTCTGTAGTCTGAAGTATTGGCTATTTGAGTATAAGGAAAACTTTGGGTTGGATCAAGAATCAATTTAGATACAAATTCTGTAAAATTCCCACCAGAAAAATATTGTCAAACAATTGTAAATCGCACAAAACCGACACATACATGGCTGACGCTCTTTTGCTTGTAGACAGTTCTGATATAAATAAGCTTAGATGTTTCAATCGTTATTTTCAGAACGATAAAATAGTTTTTCTACACCCTTACTCTAACAATACACTTATATGACCATAATTCGTTTCATGATGATATCCATTATTTTACAGATTTTTCATAACGATACAGATTATCAACCAATAGAAACCCATAATTTTTCAATCAAGAATCCTGTTCCTTTGTTTGTCCTAGATTCTAACCTAAGTAACTAATTGCTTTATTTGTCAAAATCAGTTTTCATATTACCTACCTATATTATCAAAATGTCTGAAAACAGCGATATAGAAGGAATACCATCGACTCCAATATTTTTAAAAGATCAGATTAATTACAGTTGTTATATTCAATATAAATATAATTAGAATCTTTAGAGTTTTCATATATCCATGATAATACCATTAAGTTTGTGTTTTTTTTTTAAATATGAGTTAATTACTGTAAATGTGTTCAATACAAATATAATATTTATAGTTTTTCATTATTTATCGGGTTTAGAAAAAATAGCGTATGCAACTCTCATGTAATGGTTATTAATACACTCGCATATACCATACAAAACTCGCCTTCGGCTCGTTTCGTATCCCGGTTAATGCTCGTGTCTTAATAACCATCATTACATGATCGTTGCATAATGTACTATTTTTGTACACGGTACATTATAAATTTCGACATTTTATTGAAAAGAAGAAAGTAATATAAATAATGAAACAACAACAAAAATTAAATGGCGGTCCGGGGCGAGTTGATTGATTTCAGTGCATTTGCTTTTTCAGCTGCAGGAAAACCCTGCAGCACCACATCATCTGAAGATCTTGATCTGAATTGAAGGGGTTATATATTTTTTCTTTCCCAAATCTTGATCTTCTAGTGTCTTCTCTTTCATAAAATAAAATGTAGGGTGTCTCCAGAGGCTCCAATAAATTCAAGACATCGCCAGAACACTTAGTGACACGACTATCGTTAAACTTAAACTAGTCCGTTCCGACTTTGAACAATGCGTAACAATTACCAGATTCAACGCCAGAACCACAGTAAATAATATGATTGCATGAAGATTATAAAAGTGGTCTGCTAGATTGAAGTGTTCATCTAAATCGAACCTTCGTAAGAGTTTAATGCTTCCGTCAGAGGTTGAGTCATGCTTGAAGATCATCAGTGCTATTATTAGATTGACTGGTGTCACAGCTATACTTGTTGTATTATACTAGTCATTCAGTTTGGAGCATATTTGGGAATGCAGTTGATCATCACCCTTTGAAAATTCTATTTTCAGGTGATTTAACAATAATCTATGCACAAATTGGTTATCAGTCATATTAGGAAACGCTAGGTGAAGTTCCAGAAAGTCACATACGATAACTTTCAAAAAAAATTTGTGAGAACTAAGTCTGGTTGTTTTTTATAATCCTTTCATGTCAGTACTCAATATTAGAGAAATAAACGATCACATGATATGTATGTTGGAATTTTTCATATTTATAAGGATTAATTGAGATAAGAACTGTTCAATAACACTGAAGAGCTGAGGTTATTATCGTGATCTATTTCATTTGTGGGTGGTGCTGTCTATTATTGAGCCATTTTGCTTGATAGTGGCAAAGAAACAGTGTAATAGTTATTTTTTCATTTGTGGCAACTGAACTGTGTCCCATGCACGTTTGCATATGTTTTTTTATTGTTTCTACTGAAATTTCAATAGCGGTTAATAAAGTATTTTCTCATTTCGTGCTGTGCTGTATCTCTCATTAGTCTAAAGACGGTATGTGTTCGCTCTATTCGACTTAGAGTGGATCATGAAACTTGTTCACGATCTTGGCACATTTCATGGTTGTTTCTTTTGTGGTGATTGAGATACCAGCCAGTTCTGTTTGGACCACGCTGGTATTTTTTCCCATTCCTCACTTAATCCTTAGGCTTAGTGATCTGGAGTACACTCCACATGCTGAGCCTTCCAGATGGGGGTATTTTCAAAAGACAATTTCAAATGATAATTTTCATCAAATGACAAAAGATATGGTTATGGTGGTTAGACCAGTTTCAACAATAAACAGCGTCTTCATTAAAGTAGTTGTAATAACAATGGGCAATTCCATTTCATTTTTGTATTACGTTTATGTTTATCTCTTTTTGTCAGTAATTAATATATTAAACTTGATAGTTCGTTCTGAAACTTCAGGAGATCATTATCATAATGAAGGGGTCCAATTTGATATTACGTTTTAATAACTTTCTGAGCTTCTGTGATATGTATCAAATTATAGAGTTAAAAATTATAATGACAAACTTCTCGATTTGATAATTGCTAGTAACGAAAACAATTGCAAAGTAGTTACTGATGACGACCCACTAGTTCCGATTGATCGCCATCATCCAGGACTTATAATACAAACTTCACCAGGGCCAACACGAAAAAAATGTTCTTCTTCCATTAACCGGTATAACTTCAGAAATACCAATACTGAAAAACTTTGCAGATAACTCGGAGGAGTTGATTGGAATCAACACTTCAGCAACCTGAATGGCGTCGATCAAACATGCGAACGGTGAAGTCATACAAAATATAATAAAAAAGTGTGTACCCATGAAAAAATGCTGCTTCCGTAAGTACCCTAACTGGTATTGAAAAGATCTGATTCGTAAGCTGATAGTAAAAAATCACTATATACCTGAAAATGTATAGGCATCATTAACTACTTTTTTATCGTGAAAAGTTCAGAGAGATGAGGCATTCAGTTAAACGCGATATAGATATTTCATATAAACGTTTCATTGCGAACTCCAAACAAAATCTGAAAAAAATTTCCTCCAGTTTTTGGAGCTATGTGAACTCGAAGAATGATAAATCTCGAATTCCAGGACATATGTATTTTAATGATCAAATATTGTCATCACCTAACGCTATAGTCAATGCATTTGCAACGAACTTTGAAAGCGTGTATATTTCTAATAATAATCTAAAAAATTCAAACTGGAGTAATGGTGAATGTCTCAACATCAGTGATTACTTACATCTTAGTGAAATGTCGGAAAATGACATCATCTCGGCTCCCAATAAGTTGAAAAATAAATTGACAATTGGACCAGATGGCATTCCAGTCAAACTTGTTAAGAATCATATTGCTCTTTTCGCGAAGCCTCTGTATCACTTACAAGCTCATGCTGAAAAATTGTTACTTTCCGAATATATGAAAGCTATCGAGGGTATGCCCTATTTTTAAAACCGGCAAGAATTCGGAAATAGTAAATTATAGACCGATTACTATAATATCAGTGTACTCGAAATTAGTTGAAATAATTTTATCGGACCTCATTTATAAGCACGTAAAAAACACAATTTCCGAATTTCAACATGGTTTTGTGAAGTGTCGTGGCACTGCATCAAATCATTTTATTTTTACACAATATGTTTCTGACAAACTGGACCAACGTAAACAAGTTGATGTGGTGTATACGGACTTCAGCAAAGCATTTTATTGGGTTTCACATCATCAGTTGCTCATGAAATTATCAAGCTTTGGCATTTCGAGGAGCCTTCAATATCTGCTGAAATCATATCTTAGTGATAGAAAATTATTCGTGGAATACTAAGGAATTAAATCGTTTATATTTAATGCAACTTCCGGGGTTCCTCAAGGTTCAAACTTGGATCCACTATTATTACTTCTGTTTGTTAATGACATTTCTGATAATATCAATTTTGAAAAACTACTTCTTGCTGATGATATGAAGATTTTCAGGGAGATTGAAGACTACTCTGATTGTATATCAATACAAAACGATATTACTGAGTTACATGATTGGTGTCAGAAAAATGAACTATCATTAAACAAAGGCAAATGTAAAATTATGACTTTTGCAAGAAAATCCTCAGTACACATATATAAATACAAATTGGATAATATAACATTGGCAAGAATTGCCGAATCTTTGATGAAAAACTAACGTTCTCGTCACATATCGAAGAAATAACATCCCGTGCAATGAAAATGCTAGGATTTGTTATGCGTAATAGCAAAGAATTCTCATCATTAGAGGCAATTACTCCCTATTCTGTAATTGGGTTCATCCTGCAGAATAGTGCATGGAATAAACGAATAAATGAATAAATAAATAAATGAATGAATAAATAAATAAACAAATAAATAAATAAATAAATAATGATCTCTTGAGGGCACTAACTTGGTTAGCAAAACGTGCGTTGAGAGATCGTAATTTTGTTCTGGTGTTGGAAAATGTTTTTAATAGTATATCAAAATTTAAAATGGATCTTTCTCGAGAATTTCTGACGTGTTAGGAATCACACGTTGAAAGGTAAGACCTTGTTAGACCTCGCACAAGTTTCTCAACTTCTGAGAGTTGTCGTTCGTATGGGGGCGACATCTGATTAACGGAAAAATAGATTTTAAACAGATTTAAACAGATTAATGAATCTATACGTTACTTTATAAGCCAACTGTATGCTTTCTTTGTCACAGAAAAGTGAATGATAAAAAAATTGTGTCATATTTTGGGCATCACTCACCGCTACAATCGTTGAATATGTCATGGGGCCAAAAGGGCCAGCCCTCAGATACATCGGTTTCTGACATCGCATCATAACCACCCTCAAATCTTTCTGGAGGTCATTTTCCAGGTTGTACCATTCCACTGTGTAGATAGCATTGCCAACAGACATGCTCTGAAAATAATCCATTATATAATTAATAATAATAATAATAATAATAATAATAATAATAGACCACCAGATCAAGACGATATTTGTCGTGGAGTTTTCAGCTCCTNAGCAGTAATTTGAAGTTGATAGTGTCAAATGCTCTGCTGAAATCCAGCAGTACCAATATTGCACACAGACCTTTATCCATTGAGGCAATGATATCATCGACTATATTAAGTAAGGCTGTCGTACAGCTGTAGCCTTTACGAAAGCCAGATTGAACAACAGGCAATAGTGAGTGGTCGGCTAAATGCTGTCTTATCTGTACTTCAATGGATCTTTCTAGAATCTTGGAAAGCATGGGTAGGATACTTATTCCTCTAAGATCCTTGTATTCTGAAGGATTTTGTTTCTTGGGTAGAACTTGAACCACTGCTCTTTTCCAAACAGTAGGGACAACACCCCTTGAAAGGCAGAAATTTATGATGTGTGTAATATATGGCACAATTAGAGGACAACAAAGTTTGATAAGTTTAACATTCAGCCCATCACAGCCCATTGCATTGGAATTAATTTCACTAATACTGTCATATACAAAAATGTCATTGACTTCTTTGAATTTAAAAGTGGAAGGAATAATATTGTTGGTGCTGTAAAAATTCATAAGATATTCAGGTGGGGCAACATTTGTAATGGAATTTATTAAAAAATTATTAATTTCACTTGGCTTCTTTAGATTTTCAGGAATTTCTTGATTTTTGTTTTTCAAGAAGTTATTTGTTCTCAGTGTTTTTGCCACAGCTTTTTTGAATCGGAATTCTCAAACTGATACAAAAAGTATGCCCTTTTCTCCCTTTTTATTGCTTGGTTTGTATAAGTCCTGAGATCTTTATACAATTGAAAATGAGCGACTGACTTTGTTCGTTTATATTTATTCAGAGCTTTATTTCGTTCATTCATCATTTGTTGAAAGGCAAATGTCGTCTAATACATTTCTATCAACCGAGAAAAGCATTTCAAGTGAGCAGGTGCACTTGAAACATTTTTCAACTTACCACCTCTGAAACAACAAAAATTTAAATAATTTAGTATTCAGGAGGAATCTGATGAGATAATAATAATAATATAAGAGCATTTATTAATATAGGAATCCTAATATACATAATACTGTTATAACAATCACATTTTGAAAATACAAGCAAAAGTATGACAAGAATAATAAAAATAAATAAAATTAGAGGATGGAGTGTACAACTCCCGATAGACCAATGAACTGAAAAGCTGATATAAAAGGAGAAGAAATGTTAAACTCAAACATATTTTTCTTTCAGATATTTAGTTAGATGGTTTTTAAGAATTAAAATGGAGTCACTACATTTAATTTATATTATTGTAGTCCAAGACACCCTTGTGGAAAAGAGAATTCAGTGTCATGGTATATTTTGTTCGGGTAACATTCCCTCGTGTAGGGTAATCATGAATTTCATTTTGATAAGTTATGAACTGGTTGAAATAGGTAGGAATTTTTCCAGTAATAATTTTGAAAATAAATATCATGGAAAAATAGGAAAGCCTGTCTTTTACAGATAGACAGATCGAGAACCTGAAGCATGGTCATTATAGGGGTGTATCTATTACAGTTTAGGAGTATACGAATACATCTATTTGGTAGTTTTTGCAAAGAGGATATAGAGTTTGCATCAAAAAGGTTGAGAAGTGTTGGACAGTAATCAAAATGAGGTCGAATTATGGTATTATAGACTGTTAGTAATGTTTCAAATGTCAACGTCTTACTAATCAGTCACAGCATGGGTTTTCAAGAAAAATCCATAGAAATTGATGTTAAGGACTTCATAAAAAACAATTTGCATAGAATTTAATGGATAATTATGAAGTGGATGTATTGGAAATGACAATGAACCATTCTGGCAGAGAGCGACCGCTTCGAAGAATATTCATGATGCTTCCATTGGTGTAGGAATTATGGAACAGTCGCGGAGCATAAATAGGCGGAATAAATCAATGGAACAAAGAACCCAGAGCCATGAGAATATTTCAATATACAGTGTGTGAAACCCAAATGGAATAAATTCATTTTTCCGGTTATGGTACATATTTTAACAAAATCCCGAATCACGTTAAATTTAAATTATAATTTGACATACATTAACGGAAAAATGCAACCACTACCTTCAACTCCCGTTGAATAACAGGTACAACCCCCAATTCTTTCAATGGGAAGTATAATCTTGTGATATATCGTTTGAGAGGTCTCTTCATTCTCTATTCAAAAATGTTATTGCTCTCAAGTTTATCGCAATAATTGAGATAAAATAAATTAAAATCATGTGGTTACCGAAATTCGATAAAATACACTCAAAACTTATTGCAATATACTCAAAACTTATTTCATATTGAGGTATTGATTATGAGAAAGTAAGCAAAAATAATAGCAATGTTCTTTTTAGATGGTATCCTTTAAAAAATTGTAAATAATTTCCGTGGCAACGTTAGTTCAAAACGCCTTGTCAATTTGTTTTGTATGTTACAACATTATTGGTCAGTATTTTATTTTGAGTTTAGAGTTCGTTAACTTCAAGTCTGACAAATGGTTAGATTAACGAAAATGCATAAAGTAACAGTATTACCTACAAATGATTAGTTACGGAGATAAAACCCGAACACAACAGGAAGTAGCTCGCCTATTGCATGAGAAATTTCCTAATTTATCGCCCATATCTCAAGGAACAAAAAGCAAAATAGTTTCGCGAGCTTGGTCATGTGGGGCAGATAAAAAAGCAGTTGCCAATGCAATGAGTAATGAACTCAAATTAGATGTGACGCTTGATTTTTTCGGAAAAACCACATACATCGAGTAGACAGGCATCCACTACATTCAATGTTAACCATACATCGATAGTAAACATATTAAAAGAAAATAAAATGTAGCCCTATAAAATGATACCTACTCAGAAGCTCATGGAAGACGATTTCGATAGAAGCAAATGATAGACATGTTGGATAATAATATCATCCAATAAGAAAATGTTATGTTTTCTGATGAGTGTACTTTGTCTCTTAACGGTCATGCTAATCGCCAAAACTGCTGCTACTGGTCAACGGAAAATTATTTGGCACTACCTCAAAATGATGTCATTCCAAATGTATATCCTGATCCCGGAAACCCAGTGAATATGATCTGGTTTCAGCAGGATGGAGCATCACCACATCACCGAGTTGATGTCAGGCAATACCTCGATACAACATTTCCCAATCGGTGGTAGGGGAGGCGAGGATCGATTGAATGGCCAGCACGATCACCTGATCTTTCATCATTAGATCTCTTTTTATGTGTACAAAACTAAACCTTCAGATTTGAATGACTCAAAAGAACGAATAACGCTTGCGATTAGGTCGGTCATGCCTGATATGTTAAATAATGTTAGAATACAGTTTTATTTGAGATTAGGATGTTGTCAAGACGTCCACGGTGAACATTTCGAACATCTGCTCCGTTAACATCCATAGTTATTTTTCGTATTCTACATTTCATTACGTTATGCATTACATTTTAGTTTTTGAGAGTATTTTATTGAATTTCAGTAATCACAATATTTTAATTTATTTTATCTTAATTGTTGAAATGAATTTGAAAGCGATAACATTTTTAAATAGGGAATGAAGAGACGTTTCAAACGATATATCACAAAACTATACTTCCCATTTAAAATATTGGGGGTTGTACCTGTCATTCGAAGAGGGTTGAAGATAGGGGTGACAATTTTACGTTGAAGAATGTCATATTATGATTTACATTTGAATTGTTTCGGGATTTTTTAAAATGTGTACGATAATCGAAATAATGAATGTATTCCCTTTGGCTTGTTGAAAATATGTTACCGCTTCTAAAAGCCGTTGTCCACCCCGGCAAACAATAAAAGTGGAGAACATCCATCCAAAGAAGAGAGATGTTGAATCCAGGGGAATTTCCTGAAATCAAAAATTCATAAATTACAAGAGATGATAGTTCAAGTATGAAACTTACCGTAAGAAATCTGTAACCAGCTACCCCCAAAACTGGACCTGTTAAACTAATGTGGACCATCATGCAAGGTCCAAAACAGCTATTCATCAGATTCCCCATTCTGGAACAGAAACGTAACTCAAAAATGGTAATATATAAATATACAGTCATAAACTTATAACACAATTACCTACTACACAATATCACAATTTTCTCAGTTGGTTGATTGAACTTACTGGATTACAGTTTTGTGATACTGAACCGCCAAGTAAAACTTTTCTCTCCTGACTGAAGGATCCTCTTCAGCTAAGGCTTCTACAAAAGTGTCTCCCACATGTTCGAAACGAATAATGAGATGCTCCACAGTTTCCATCATTGTATAAGAGAGAACTCCCGCTGTATGATATACAACGAATGAAGAGTATACCTGAATATGAATCAATGGTTACTTCTACCCTGCGGTGATCTTACCGACTGCGCCATGCATCAAGTGTCTAATAAAATATTCCTACCTGATAACCGTATACGATCGTTTTTAGAGGAAAATAATCGAATTCGAATGGGAGCCATGTTGAACCAACTAGCCCACACACTTCATTTGTGTTTTTCATAATATTTTCTGCTTTGCACTCATCAACCGTTAGAAGGGTAGAAGTTGTCATTCCTGTTACTACGCACATATGCCAGGCAAAGTACCATTTGGAGAATTTGTTCAAGAGCTTGTTTTTTCTTTCAAAGTTGTTTGGTGTTCCATAAGTAGTGAAATCTGCAAAATAAGGATGATAATTCCAATCAGATACTGTATTTTCCAAAGCAGAAAATCTGTTGACTTTTCATACTTCAGATTTGTTGAAAGAATTTGAATATTACATAAAAAATTAATGATCTTGTAATTCACTTTGTTCAATGAATAAGTCATTAAAAAAACCTAATACAAGTCAGCTACCAAAGGTTACTGCCACAATGCCGTTTGCAAACAATATAGAAACTTAAAAATTTCTATCTCTTTTTTATCCATCTGATGAAATTGGAATTTGTGTTTCAAAAGTCCTTTAGCTCTTCTGTTGACCAAATTGACTGACCTGCTCACTGGTCCTTGCTTGTTCGTAAAACAAAAACAACATCGTAATCATGCCTCAGCTACAATATTCACCAGATTTGGCCCCCTGTGACTTTTTTCTGTACCCAAGATTGAAGATATCCATGAAAGGACGCTTATACTGACATAAGTGTATTATATCAGAGGTGGAATACTTTGAGGAGAACATAATAGAAATTGATGAATAAGTAAATATTTTTGCGTATATCATTTGCTCCAGTAACTGGTAAGGAAACACATTATTGTTTTCTGCTCACTCATAATCCAAAATTAATTTTGTATTCTCCAGATCCTTGTTTGAAAACAAGTTTCCAAGTGTTTGTAAACACTTCGATTGAAATCATTTTTCATTAGAACGGAGTCCATATTGATATGACAAGATTTTGCTTCTTGCTTCATACCAGATAGAGATAGAGAGTGAACTTTGCTTGACTTACTATGAAACCAATTGGTGCTTTAATTTATATTCGAAGGTGTGAACGAACATTTTGTTTTTTTTTGTTCTCGGGGTTGTTCGTGGTTTCCAAAACATTACACATTACAGCTGAGCAGTTCTGAATAATACTTTCTGCTATTTTTACCTTTTGAATTGCTGGTTCATCTATACTAAACTGTACTAATAATATAAATGTGAAAGTTTGTGAGGGTGGATATATGTATGTATCTTTGACTGAACGGATTTAGGTGAAACTTCACATAAATACAGCTTATACATCAGAATAACATACAGGCTACAATTTACAAAGGTTTTGTGTAATTTTGGTCATAATATAACGATAAGTATTAAGTAAGTCAGAAAAATTCTTCTAGTGGTAGCCACTATATGCAAAATACTGAGCCATAAATATAATTAAATTGGACACTTTTTTTACAATGCACGTTCAAGAATATCTGTCAAATTCTTATGAAAATTGATACAATTGTCGTTTCAAGTATTTAATATCGATAAACTTTGTCTTTTACACTAAGTAATTTGGACGATTCGTTCAAAAGTTATCACGATAAGATTAACTTTACGCAACGCAGTAAGACATTACGCGTCGCGTCTACTGAAAGATGACGGAGGAAGATGCGCGAGGGTAGAGGGGCGGTCTAAGCAATGAAGCGCCATTGCCGAAAAAGCGACCCGAACGCGGGCAGTGCAGTTGGCATATTTTTTAGTTACTGTATTTTTGAAATAAAAATATGAATTACTAGCTGTTGCCTCTTATATCAACTTACAGCCGAAGCTACTGAACCTAAAATCTGGAAATATGCAGGTAGGTTCTTTGTATAGCGCAAATAAGCATCATGGAAGGGAATCAGGGATTTCCACCCCAAGCGGAAAATAGGGGTTCAAAAATTGTATTGAATTTCGTCAGTTTTTGAGTTGGAAACCTGAAGTTATGGGTAAATAAAAAAATAAAGTAACTATTTGTTTAAAATGGTCTGTCACGAAAGTGTGACAAACCGAATTCTACGTGAGCAAAGCCGCGGGTAACAACTAGTATTCAATATGGCGATTCAGAAATAGGAATGACCATTGGTCTTAAGGACGTTAATGTTTATTTTATAACATATCACGAACTTTCTATTAGTTGCAACGGAATATTTTTTCCTCGTGATGAATTGAAGTTGTCATGACTTGCGCTGTTTCAAGTTAAAAATTCATATGAGTTCTGTTTTGTTCATAATGAATACTAGTTACTTGTGATGCACTGTTTGGAACCTTTGGTGTGGTAATGAATATTACTGGAGTTTTTTCCCAACACCAAAGCGTTATTTTAACACTTCGACGCGTGTTTCGATCACCAAGTGATCATATTCAAGAGGACGGTTCAAGAGGAAGGTTTAATCTTCCTCTTGAAGATGATCACTTGGTGATCGGAACACGTGTCGAGGTGTTGAAATAACGGTTTAGTGTTGGGAAAAAGGTCTAGTGATATTCATGAATACTAGTTTGTTGAAAATGAATAAGTCGGTACAAGAAACATACCTGAAAACTGTTTATATAGTATGATAATATCTTTGATATTTCCCAAGAATCGAAATACGAAGTAAAGTGCTCCATGGTATGAAATAATAGTTCCAATGTCTCGATCGACGTTTATGTAAGTACCACCTGAAAAAATGATAGAACTATTTCGTTCAACTCAAAGAAAAAACTGTGAATATCATAGCTGATCAAGTGACAGTTCAAATTCATAAGTTGATGACTTGGAAATGAAAAAAATGGTAAGTGTACATTTTTTCAATAAGAAACAAACAAAAAATTACTCCTGCTTACTATTTTTCAATATGATGTAATCTTAAAAAATTATTTTAAAACTTTTAATAATTTTAAAATACAATTCATGAAATTATAAAACAACAACAAAAATTAATTGGCGCTCCGAGGCGACTTCATTGATTCCATTGGCGCACTTGCTTTTTCAGCTGCAGGAAAACCCGGAAAAACCTGCAGAACCACATCATCTCAAGATCTTGATCTGCCAATATCCTCTCTCTCATACAGTGTTCATCAATTTCGAACCTTCGTAAGAGTTTGGTGCTTCCGTCAGAGGTTGAGTCATATTTGAAGATCATCATCAGTGTTATTATTAGATTGATTGGTGCCCCAGCTATGCTTGTTTTCTTATAACAGTCAGTTAGTTTGGCAGTACAGTCGATCATCACCTGGTAAAAGTTCCATTTTCAGATGATTTAATAATAAGCTTTGCACGGACTGGTTATTAGTCATATTAGGAAACGCTGGTTGAAGTTCCAGAAATTCACATACGTTTTTGCTACCTCTTGGACATTTACTACAAAGTAAACAAGAGACGAGATAGACTGTACGGAATAATTCAATCCAGAGTGGTCAGGAGTATTGATTCTGCTATTGTTTTGCTCACGAAGAGTATTCAACAAGAACCCTAAGAATTCGGAAAAATCCTCCTTCTGTCCTAACGAGTATCTGGTAGATTTCAAAGACTCCAGGAAATCGGTTGGAGGGAAATATGTCACATTCTTACGAAACTGCAGCTGCATGAACTGGAGTTTGAGTTTGGTGAATAGGTAGGAAATATTCTCGTTCTCGTTCATCATTAAAACCTCGTTTTTGAAATTCTTGTGAAATGCTATTCATATAGCAAGTGTTTCTTAATTTGAAGGAAGATGACTCAAAAATTTATCCGCACGGGGGATTTTTTCTATGCCATCATCATAAGTAGAGAAAATCCTCGAATAAACGGTTTATGGTGCATGTAACTTTTTAGAAGGCGAATCTATTTCGATTCAAAATATTTATATATTTTGAAAAAATGATATCTACATCTATATTTGGATCCAAGCCTTGGCCCAGGTCTACCCAACTTGAATAAACGATAGCGTCCGCTATAGGACACTGTCATATTTTGGTGAACCTACCAATAATATCGCTCGTTTTTTAAAAAAGGAATGCTTGGATGTGGCTTACAGAACAAATAATAATTTAAGCACTTTTATCAAAAACAATGAAGACAAAAGTTCAATGTCGGATAGATCAAGACTCAAGACTATATAAATTGATTTGTGGCTCTTGCTCAAAATTTTACATTAGCCAACGTGGAAAACTTTTTCCAATGTAATGAAGAGCATAGAAGTAGTTTCGTAGTTTCTTGAATGGAAAGACCAATTCCACATTTGCAAACCAACTTTTAGCAGAGTTCAATCACGACTATGACGTATTACATTTAGAAGAGAAAAGTTTGGAACTCAGTCTTTCAGAATGTTTAGAAATGAATAGATTTGAGAATTTGGGTCATTTACTGAGTGACCAAATAGATCTAAATAATTCTCCGTTACTGAATGTTTTTGTCAAATATGGAAACTGGTAATTCACTGATACATAAGCTCAGGTTTTTTCATGCATTACATGTTCATTTTAACTTTCTTTTTTTTGAACCTCCTCTTCTTTTCTTAGACGTTAATTGATTCATTCTCATTCATTCACGCAAGAAAAAGCTATTGTATATTGTATAGGAAAATACGTGTTGAATACAGGGGAATTTTTCTAATATTTCAATAGAAATTTCAAATATGGTCTTTTCTTATAATGAGGGAAATTATTTTGGATCCTCACTGTTTTGAATATTATATTGCTTCCAACAAATACTGAAGATTTTGCAGAATCAATCTAAAGTAACTATCTATCAGATTAGTTGAAAGCAAATAAATTTGAAATATAGGAACTTATAGAAAAGAATTAAATACTCACTTCGTATGTTCACTACCAGATGAATTGCTGCTCCTAGTGACAAATATATTGTAGTCATACTGAGCAGAATGAACTTGATATAAACATTTTTCTTGGGATCATTGATTTCACTTTCTCGTGGGAACAGAAACGGTATCCGAAGAAAATACATTGAGTTTTTGAGCACAACTATTTTCTTGATGTTGTCGATATTCATATTCCTTCAAAAGAGCAGTATTTATTTCCCTCGATCAGGGATTCAGATTGTGATTGTGAGTGATCTATTATATTGCCCTAATAAAGTTGATGGATTTTGGTGGAACGTTAAGTAGGTACCTACGAGGGTGGAAAAAAGGGCAAGGCAAACGTGAATTATGTGAAGTATCTGTCGAGATGTGCTGTGCACGATACTACAAATAAACGGAGACTTTCGAGACTATTTTTCTGGTACCAATACAAACCAAAACTAGTCAATTGAGAGGAGCATAATTTGACTACTACCAGGGTGTTTGAAACACCCAGGCGCTGTCGCAAATGATAGTGTTAATGAACGCACTGTTCGACGTTGGTGTGCAAAATTTCGTTCCGGAGATGTTAGCCTCGAATATGAGCCTCGAAGTGGTCAACCTACAGTGATCCAGTACGAAGATTTGAGGATCCTGGTGGAGACTGACCCATCACAAACGAAAAATGGGATGGAGGAAGAACTGGAAGTCAGCTCCCATGCGGTTTTTGGTGGTTTGAAACATATTGGAACGATCAAAAAGCTAGAAAAGTGGGAGCCTAAAGAGTTCAACGATTGGATTGTCACGTCTGATGGAAAGTGGAACCTCTACGATAACAGGAGACGTTCTAGACAGTGGTTGGGCACCGATGAGCCAACCAGGAACTTCCCTATGGCAAAAACCCATAAAAAAACAACCATGGTTACTGTATGGCGGTCAGCGGCTGATGTGATTCACTATAACTTTTTGCAACCCAGCCAAATCATCACAGCAGAGTCCTATTGTGAGAACGGGTTGGCTGTCCTTGTGCATCTTTCACTGCCTGAACCACTGTGCATGCTGTTTTTGGTGAGTGCATTGGCTTGGGGGTTGAGCAAACCGGCCATCGGATGCTTGCTTCCACGTAGCCCCACTGGATTTCCCTACTGAATGGCATCCGAACGAGGCTTAATTAAGGTGTGTGTATTCATGCCGAAGATGAATGACACTGAGCCTATCAGATACCGGGCGCCCTCTCGTCGTAGCACCGCTTTGTCATGGTAATGCGGGGCTCTGCCGTGATTGACCTTCATTCCCTAGCTACTCGTGGGACTTTAATGAGGAGTAGACTTGAAAATTCTTTCTGAGTCTATAGAGGAGATGGATGTCGTGTTTACAACTCCAAGTGACCTCCCTGTGAATTCAGTTCAGGAGCGAGTCTACAGAGGAGATGGATGTCGAGTTTACGACTCCAACTGACCTCCCTGTAAATTTAGTTCAGGAGCGAGTCTACAGAGGAGATGGATGTCGAGTTTACGACTCCAACTGGCTTCCCTATAAATTTAGTTCAGGAGCGAGAGCTTTTCAACTCCCCAACTCTTGATCCAATAACTGAACCTAAAAAAGAAGTTTGAGTCATCTCCTCAAGAGCGGGATACCTTATAAAACCGCCTTGCACCAAATTCTTGAGCGGCGTACGCAGAATCTGTTTCAGGTGGAGGAACAAACCCCCCATGAGCAGGTTAGCGAACATTTGCGTTCAAGTCATGATTCATCAAAACCAGAGGCGAAAAAGCCCTGCACGGTTGAATCTAAGACATCGTCAGCTGACGTGCAAAAACCCCCATATGGAAAGGTTGTCAAGGTGGGAATCTTGAATCTTGACTATCCGACTACCCCATTAACGATGAAACAGCAGAGCATATACTTTGTGCAGGATTTTAGAGTTCGGCAGAGCCATACTCTTACTATCTGACCTGAAAGACCACTCACCAAACAAACTAATCGGCTTCGTTAAGAAGCTGGGTTTATTTGGTCGAGTGTGAATAGGTGTGAGCCATAATAAACCCTTGCGGACCTAACCTTACCTGCTGTGAGGAAATTGACAACATGTACCGAAAACGCGTCAGCAGCAGCCGGCAGTGGTCAACAGAAGAGGTCCGATCCTGTTTGAAAATCAAACATATTGAGAATTCCGTCTCACCCACTATACTCTCCAGACCTCTTGCCAACCGAATACCATGTTTCCAAGCATTCCAATAACTTTCTCACCGGTAGAACCTTCGCCAATCAGGACTGGGCAGAAATAGCCTTCGTCGTCTTCATCGAATCCTGAGTACACAATGTTTATGCTGATGGAATTGTTTGATTTGTATTACATTGGCAAAAGTATACAGATTCAAATGCCGCTTATATCAATTAAATTGAATAGGTATTCACTGGAGTATTACAGTTTGAAGTATACCAAAGAAGAAGCTTCCGTTTCCACAGCCAGACTCCTGGGAGCCGTGGAAGACCTGACGATGCCAATCCAGGATATCCTAGACGATTCCCAATGGCGATCAGATAGAGGACAGCGCACAGCCTGGAACACCCCGAAGTCTCTTACCCCGGCCTAACACAACCCGATCCCTCAAGAATGACCACCGCTATGAACTCGGACATTCTAACCAAAAACACAGAATACTAACTTCGATAATATTGGTGGATTGGCTGCCCTTGTTCATATTTCACTACCTGAATCACTGTACATGCTGTTTTTGGCGAGTGCAGTGGCTTGGGATGTAGGGGTTGAACAAACCGGCCATCGGATGCCTGCTTCCACGTAGCCCCGCTTTATACGGAAATGACAGAATCACTTGTGGTTCTATTATTCCCTAACTGGGTGGCATCCCAACGATGGCTTAATCCTAAGGTGTGTGTATCCGTGCCGAGAGGATGAATGACACTGAGCCTATCAGCTGTCTTCGAGATACCGGGCGCCCTCTCGTCGTAGCATCACCTTGTCACGGAGCTCTGCCGTGATTGACTTTCTTTCCCTAGCTACTCCTGGGACTTTTAGGAATAGAGTAAACTGAAAATTCTTTCTGACGCTGAGTCTAGAGAGGAGATGGATGTCTAGCTTACGGCTCCAACCGACCTCCCTGTAAATTTAGATCAGAAGCGAGAGCTTCTCAACTGTCCAACTCCTGATCCAATAACTGAACTTAGAAAAAGGTTTGGTGGTGCAGCCAGGAAACGACTGAATCGTCTCCTCAAGAGCGGGGTACTTTATGAAACCGCCTTGTCCAAATTCTTGAGCGGCGTACGCAGAATATATCTCAGGCGGAGGGACAAACCCCCCATGAGCAGGTTAGCAAACGTTTGCGCTCAAGTGATAATTCATCAAAACCAGAGGCGAAAAAGAAAAAGCTGACGTGCAAAAACCCTCATACGGGAAGTTTGTCGCGGGTATCAAGGAGGGAATCTTGCACCTTGACTATCCGACTACCTCATTAATGATGAAACAAATGCAGAGCATATACTTTGTGCCTGCTCTGCTGGGGACCAAATCAGGTTTTTAGTGTTTGGCAGAGCCATACTCTCACCATCTGACCTAAAAGACAACTCACCATACAAACTAATCGGCTTCGTTAAGAAGCTGGGTTTATTTGGTCGAGTGTGAATAGGTGTGAGCCACAATAAACCCTTGAAGGTTGCGGACCTAACCTAACTTTGGATCTAACCTAAACTAACCTAATTTCGATAATTTAAAATTAATTTGTGAACTAAGCCAACTCTGAATATGCATGAACGTATACCAGTATCCCCTTATATCAATCATGAAGCATATGCCAACAAAACCAAAAACCATTTCTCTCTGACAGTTTGAAGTGAACTCATAGATACGGACAAAACTTTTGAAGCATCTAATGTCTAATATGTCCCCACTTCAAGCAGTCACATCAACATTGTCTCGCAAGAGCTCTAGATCTTCAAAAAATACACGATACTACACAGTCATTTGTAATGAGCGTTATATTTATTTGTATGATAATGCTAACAAGCAACATTTTCATGTTTTTAGAAAAAGGCATATCCAAATATCATTAAAAAAATTCTGTGGAAAAATATATATTGATGGTTGAAAATTGTCATCAGTTAATAAAGGGCTAGATGATCACCATCCAGATTCATCAATCACTGTTTGGAACCTTTGGTGTAGTAATGACTATTACTGGAGTTTTTTCCCAACACCAAATCGTTATTTTTAACACCTCGACACATGTTTCGATCACCAAGTGATTATCTTCAAGAGGAAGATTGAACCAGAAACTAACGCGAAGCTAACGCTATTTATGCTATACAGGTAAACCCTACAGGTGTACCACCCATACAGGTATACCACCCTAAATTAATTTTACAATTTTGCCTCATCTATTTTTTTACAATATATGTTTAACTGTATATAAAACAATTTTTTTTTGTTTTATATACAATTAAACATTTATTGTAAAATAAATGATAAGGCAAAATTGTAAAATTAATTTAGAGTGGTATACCTGTATGGGTGGTACACCTGTAGGTTATACCTGTGTAGCATACATAGCGTTAGCTTCGCGTTAGTTTCTAGTTTGATCTTCCTCTTGGAGATGATCACTTGGTGAACGAAACACGTGTCGAGGTGTTAAAAATAACGATTTGGTGTTGGGAAAAAACTCCAGTTATAACCATCCAGATCGATGGATTTTCAAGATGAAAATCTGTTGATTGGTCGCCTTGATTACCAGATCTCACGATTCTCAACATTTTTCGGGAATATTCCTGAAAATTGGTCATTTTCAAAAATTGGTGAATTAAAAGAAAGAATTGCTCAAGGGCGCAGTAGACTCTTTTTTTGTTTCGAAAACAACTCAATACACTGAATAACACATAAATGAAACTGAATTTACCTTTCAACTTTACAATTTCAGGTTGTAGTGTGGTCCTAGGGACATTTTTTTTCATTATAAACACTTTTGTTACATGTTTCAATAATTTTTTCTGATTTTGAATTGCCTTTTCAAATTCGGCTGTTACTCTAAAACAGTAGCATCGAATTTATTGAACCAGGTGCCAAAAAGTAGGGAATAAACATTTCTTTCGTTATTAGCAACTGCTTTCATCAAATCAAATCCTTTATTTTCCTATTTGATAATTTCATAGGAATAGTCAGAAAAAACTGAATTACATGGACTTTCGTGAATGTTAGTGAAAACACATTCTTCAGTTTTATCATCAATTTTGAATTACGTACCCCAATGTATGACGTCTCTTTCAAGTTTCTTGACTGAATCGAAACGAGGCATCTCAAATCTTTTATTCTAGTGCGGTTTTTTGTGGATTACATAGAACATATTTAATCAACACCGTTATTTATTCTGCACCATTTCTTGCATGCTCTGTCATTACATCAGCATATTCATTATGCAAAACCCAAACGTATATGAAACTCTACTAATTTCAAGAAATGGTGAGAAGTATGTATTTATAACTTGAGGGTCAAGGAGACAAAGTGATTACAGGTAACATTTTTGAAACCGATCATTTATTCTTATTGATATTTATTTCGAAAAAACCAGGATGATTAGTAAGGAGTCAGATGAAGAAATAGGTTTTAAAAACTATCTGAAAATTTGTTCACGGTTAGAAATGATATTTGTATATCCTACAGTTATATTTTATATTAATTATCAAGTAACTGATATGAAAATGAAGTAAGTATCAGATAATATTGGTTATAGTGAAAACAATATTTGTACTGAGTATGTTTCAGTAAAGAATTGAGAATCAACATTTCAGGCAGAACTCACTCACAGAAATGATTTACTCAAACATCTTAATGCATTTCAAAAATTGAATACAATGTAATAATTCTTATTTGAAAAGTAGTGCAAGTTTAGACATTGAATGAACAATAACAGTGGTGAAAAAAAACATTATTTTAAAAAGTGTTACAGCTTTTATATGGTTTTCATCACTTAATCATCAAATATTTTTGGGGAAACGATTATTAGTGAGTTACTTTCAACAGTGTGGATTGATGAGTGCCAATAATACTATCTTCACTGTAACTTCTTCAATATCAACATAATGTTGTATTCTGCACTTCTGGAATTGAAATAACATCCTCTTCATTGCCTTTAACAACATCTTAGACTAAAGCTGTCCATTTTGTATACGTTTCCTTCCTTGCATTGTGTGAATGTTTGCCGTGGTACGATTGATAGAGTGCACGTGCATTTGAAAAAGTTTGGTGCATTCAAAATATCCCTTCGTCCTGAATGCTATAGAAAGAGCGAACGAGTTTCTGAAGACTGGCAAGTTGCGCAGATAGCAGAGCCATAATCAATCAAGCAAGCAACGTGTACCTTCTCAATTGTAGCGGTATACAATCAGGGAAATAATGCTGCTCTGGGATCAATATAGAAGTATCGTGAGCCAAACTGATTACATAACCTTTCAATTTAAGATCTGGGGAGTTGTCAATATGAATAGTAAATAAAAAAGGTCTTAGATCTATTTCTCAAGGAACTACTTGAATTGCTGTATGGGAAAACTTATTGTTGTCTATGAATCACATAACATTGAGTATAGTTGTTAACAGTTTTTCAGTATAATATCATGTGATACGATGAAATGAATTCAATATTTGAGATACCATCCATTCCTTCAGCCTAGTCAAATTTTGAACTTCTGATCATCTGCATAACTTCTTGTGTATTCATAACTTAAATTTATAATCATTTCGAGAAAATTTTGAAATAACTGGTCAGAGGCGCAATTGAAATGGTCAAAGAGAATTTCTTGATGAAATGGATCTTACCACTACGAATAAAAAGTAGTATGTGAGTCATTATGAATAGAAACATTAGTTTGGCATTAATGATGAAAACGATTGTTGATGTATTCATTCACAGAAAAATGAACTTTATAACATTGAGACGATTTGTTCAATGAATAGTTACTACACTGATGAAAAAATTTAGAATTGCAATTTGTTTGGTGACGAATTGTGTGAATAGGATTCACATATTGAGAAATACGCATTCACCGTTCTACATCTTTTTTGATAGAAATAATTAGTATTGCTATTCAACGTGGCAATGCTGCTTCGGTCTTTGGAACTATTTCTCCTTCAAATAATTTTGATGAGATCATGCATTGCCCTAATTTCAGTACGGAACTGAAATCTCTTCGAAACAAGCCGAGATATGTGGATATTCATCAGTCTCTCATTGAGATTAATTCACAAGTGATTGATCCACCTTCTTCTTTTTCAGTGCGGTCAATGGACTTAGGTCATTCATGTGCCCCAAATATGAGTTGCAGTCCTCGTAGTTCTGGTTCCCTTTCAGTGGAAGAGCTTGATGAAGCAAGAGCCGAATTGATCCCTCTACGAAACCCTTCTTCACTTGGAAGGATCGATCGCAGCTTGAGAAATGGTTCTTATGGAGATTCTGTGAAACATGTTCTCTCTCACGAATCAGTAGAGAGCTGTCCTGAAAATCTAGCGAAGAAAATGGGATTGAATAATTTAGGAAACACTTGCTACATGAATATCATTTTACAAGTGTTGTTGAATGCTGAACGAGAACGGGAATGTTTCCTACTTATTCATCAAACTAAAACACTTGTTTATGCAGCTTCAGTTTCGTAAGAATGTATCATCTTTCACTCCAACCAATTTCCTGTAGTCTTTTAAGTCCACTAGATACTCGTTAGGACAAGAGGATTGTTCTTGGGGTTCTTGTTGAATACTCTTCGTGAGCAAAACAATAGCAAAATCAATAATCCTGACCGCTCTGGATTGAATGATTTCGTACAGTCCATCTCGACTTGTGTTTGTGAATCTTTTGCTGGAAAAATCCTCGCTTGTTTACTTTGTAGTAAAGGTTCAAGAGGTAGCGAAAACTTATGATGTGAATTTCTGGAACTTCATCTAGCGTTTCCTAATATGACTAAGAACCAGTCCGTGCAAAGGTTATAGTTAAATCATCTGAAAATAGAATTTTTAACAGGTTATGATCGACTGTATTGCCAAACATGCGCCGAACTAACTGACTGTTATGAGGAAACAAGTATATCTGAGACACCAGTCAATCTAATAATAACCCTGATCATCTTCAAACAAGACTCAACCTCTAACGGAAGCAAGAAACTTTTTCGAAGGTTCGAAATAAATGAACATTTCAATCTAGCAGACCACTATTATAATATCCATGCAGTCATTGTTCACTGCAGTTCTGGTGTTGAATTTGATCATTATTACGCCTTGGTCAAAAACGAAACGGACTGGTTTAAGTTTGACGATAGTCGTATCACGAAGTGTTCTGGCGATGTATTGAATCTATTGGAGCCTCTGGAGATACCCTAAATTTTGTTTTATGAGAGAGAGGACATTGGCATATCAAGATTTTCAGGCTGTAGGTTTTTTCGGGTTTTCCTGCAGCTGAAAAAGCAAATGAGCCACTGGAATCAATGGAGTTGTCCCGGAGCGCCAGTTCATTTTTATTGTTGTTTTTATTTTTATTTGAATACTTTATATAAGGTATATATGAATCAAAAACTCCCATAAGAAGCTAAAATGTATCAGTTCTGTTTGCAAGTTTGTACTGAGCTGAACAAAAGTTTATGATATTCAAAAATAGGTTAAATAATGTACAATGATAAGGAAACACATTCACATTTTAGGGAAAATCACTCGTATTACAGATCACAGAGTGAGTATTTTCATAAATTTTAAATGCATATTTCCTTCATTTCAGTATTGCTCCAAACATAAATTTGAGAATAAATAAAAGAAATAACACAACATCGTTTGCAACCAAACTACTTTAATCCTCAACTCTAAAATCAATTCTATCAAGTGAATTCATTAAAACTGATAAATTATATGACATTTTTTCTAATTTTTTTTCAGTGTTCTCCAGTAGTTTATCATAAAGTTGCTCCTTATGTTTACCTCTGTTGGAGAAGAGAACCGTTAACACTTTTTCCATCTTCAGAAACACCAAATCATCCACTAGTGTTGCTTTCCCAGGCTTGGCATGGCTTATGAAAAAGAAATCGTTCTCCTCTGAATCTTCCCTAAATAAATTTACAATCATCAATTTGATTAAGTTCTCATCATCTGCAGTCAGCTTTTGGTTCCTCTTCATGCTTCTCAGGATTGCAAGGGTGACGTATACCATGGCGTTGGTTTTATTTTTAGGCAGCGTCAGACAATTTGCATATCTGTGAACGTCAGCTTTTGGGAACACCCATTTCCGAACCTCAGAACCATCCTCTTCACCCCCACGAATTCTCGAGTTCCTCAGCTTGACCCCAGCAACCTCTTTATAGTACTGGTACTGTTCCTTCAAATAATCAAAAACGTCATATCCTTGTCCTTTAGAATAAAATACTTGCGCCTCTGCATAAGAAATCGTGATAATAGCTACATACAACGTGAGGAAAAATAACGAAATTAGCATGTAGAAGCTGTAGTAAGATTGGTGCAAGGGAGTTTTCAGCGATGAGAAATCGAAATCTTGATGGAAAGACAACGACATGAGAAGGAGAGTAACTGCGGAATCCAGTAGGTCTTTGAAATCGTTAGACTGATCCCCGAAAAATACCATACCAACGAGGGTGAAAATGAAAATGGTTAGCATGTGGTAAAGAAATATAGAAGCAATAGGTCCCAGGGATGATGTTAGAGTTTTCTCGGCGATCTTTATGATCAGTAAGAACTTCAACAGCTTCCACAGCCTCAAGGTGGCTATGAACACTAGAAAAGCTGCTAGGGAAGTGAGAGCTGTTTCTGCAAAGAAGAGGTGGAAGTAGTTGACAAACTCGTTATGCTTGGCCTTCTCTATTCTTTCGAGGAAACGTTTCACCAATATAGTTCTTTCCATATACAGAAACAGGCACGCCATGCTGATCATTATTATGATTATATCCACTATGTGCCACAGATCTTTGAATACGATTTTCTTCTTCTTTCGTACTAATTTGAGAACTAGCTTTACTGATAAAATGATTATCATGAGAACGAAGCAGAATAATAGAATTGTTAATAACAATCCGGTTTTTTCTTTGACAAACAGCAGACGTGCAGAATTCACCTGAAAAATATCTTTGTGGAGAAACTCTGCGATATATGAAATTGAGGCACAAGGTTTTGGATTCGAAATTATCGAGAGTAATACCAATGAATTTTAATTTTTCAACGGAAACGTTTCAATTTATTAATACCATGAGAACAACTAGCACCATGAATCAATTCGATTTTATCACCTGAATTATGAGAAACAACATTTGTTTGAAATTAGTGACGGAACGACGTTTGAATATACAGTGTGACGCATCAAAGATGGAGACACCCCTATATTTTAGACCGCACTTTTTGCAATACTTAGTCCGAGCGATCTCGCGAAAATTCAACCCAACATTGAAAATTTGACTTTTTCTGTAATTTTCATAATCAAGTCCGATTCAGTCGATTTAGTCTCCTTTCCTAGCCTGTCTCCAATTTTGAGGAATTTTCCATTTTTCTGTTGAATATGATTGGTTGCGAATTTGCCTAATTTATTTATTTATTTATTTACGGCAATGTCTATTTTTCACAAATTAATTAACAAGTTCACACATATGTATTCAACAGTAATCTGAGCTAGGTTTGAGGAAAAAATATATAAAATAAAATTTAAAAAATCGCAAAAATAAGTTAATAAAGCACAATCTTTTCATAGTCTTTTCGAATGTTTCCAAAGAATTAAAATATTCTAAATCTACATTGAATGTATTCACAAGTCTCAAAACTCTACCTACAGATTCATTCCGGCCATAGTTGGTGCGACAAAAGGGTACTTTGAAGATTTCTGAATTTCTTGTTCTCCTTGGATTCACATTCAAAATTATAAGTTAGACAAGTTCCGGGGAATTGATGCTACATCGATTATTTTATGAATTAGTGTAAGATCTGATTCTAATCTTCTATGAGCCAGAGTATTCAAGTTAAACATGTCTAATATAATTGTATAGTCATGGAATTGTATCGATTTTTGATCTAACAATTGATCAATATATGACTTTTATTGAAGTGAGAGATAATTTTGTAGATCTAAGAATGAAACCCAACATTTTTAGTGCTTCAGAAGTAATATTTGCAATATGGGGTTTAAATGAAATTTTTAGTATTTTTGTTTCGGAAAAATGTGAATTTTTTCAGTAGAATTGCAGTAGATTTATATCACACCAGCGAACAAAGTTAGATAAATCGTACTGTAATAATTCTGTATCAGTTAAGTCATGAATAAATTTAAATATCTTCAGGTCATCAGCAAACAAAAGAAATTCACTATAAGTCTTTCAAGTCATCTACAAATAGGTTGAAAAGTAATAGCCCTAAATGAGAACCCTGTGATACACCCGATGAAACTGTGATTGGATGTAAAATCATCATTCTCAATGTTTCAAAGCAGTCTCGTATCTTGTGTTCCAACAATTTTCAATTTGGGCTAGAGTGTCAGGTAATAGCGCTTACACCACTCTAACTTGTTTCGACGGCAATTGATAAAATAGTAACTCTCACGAACTTTCGCTAGAGTTCTATTAACCACGAAATGCCCTCTAGTAGAATTTGTGGGTTCTTCTATTCGGGCTTTTCCATTTCCGAGTGAGTAGGTCACCTCGAATGCATTTGGAGTCCCATTGGAGCTAGTAACCCTTCTCCTGCTGGCCGTACTAGAAGATCTCTTGCCATTCCGACCTCACTCTTTTGTCAATCCATTCTCGTACAGTTTTCAGAACGGATCCCCCTTCTGCGCTACGATGATCTCTTGCCTTGTCATAAAGGTAGTGTTACCCTCAGAGGCTGTTAACGACCGTACCGCACCGTGGTCAGGTGATTCCTCAGATTTCTTGTCCGTACCCTTGCACAAGGGACCCTTACAGGTTGCTATCCTCCGGGTCAGAGGGAAATCGAAGCGGCCGGAGGTAGGGAATCTTATTTTCCTATCAGAGCTCTCCATGCAGGAGTCTCTGCTCGCTACCTTATCACGTCTGGATGAGAGCTCTTCTTCTATTAACTGGGTGTTCTTTTCCTTCTGGCGTTGACAACATTTGCATCCGGATGTCAGGCATGGTCTTTCATGGATTTTCCCGAATAATAATTCACGATCTTCATTTCTGCGTAATCTTTCTTCCTCCCTTTCACGTTCATCTTCTTCATTTCGAAGTTTTCTTTCTTCCGGCAGGCCCGCTTGCAAAGCCTCGAACATTTTCTCAAGTTTTTCCATCTCGTCTCAATCGACACTCCTTGTTCTCACTATAGAACAAAATAATTTCAGTCAATTATCCCACTTCTGACACCAAATGTTACGTTTTTTCCAGTGGGGTTTCCAATAATTGACTACACTGTTTAATGATCAAACTTAACTTTATTTCACTTTCAATACAACAAAACACTTAAACTTCAACTCAAACTTAAACGCGTTACTTCCACTTGACTGGATGTCGCTTGCATTCGGCAATTGAAGGACCTGGAACATTCCTTGGAATTTCATCGAAGCCGGTAGCAATAATCTCACTACATTTAGTACGGCAGCGAACATCGAACATTCGCGCACTCTTAGTTACGTCACAATTGGTTTATGGTTACCAGTGGCGGCTGGTGTTATTTTCTGCAAGGCATGATTTACAACAATATTAAAAAATTGTCCAGCTATTGACAATCCACATCGAAATCGAAGGTACCATGATGATGATAATGTCGTGCCAATACCCAAATCAGTTTGTGTGAAAGGTCTGAGCAATTATATTTGAATACAGAGAAAATCAGAAGAAGTCTTGTTTGTAATACAATCAAATCTTTCAAATTAAAGTTATTGCAGACATTGAAAAAAGGTTACGAATATAAACGATTAGATTACTGTTATTGGGACCAAGTAAATTTTTTAAATGGTAGAAATTTCAAGAGAAAAATTTTGTTCACTGATGAGGCTTCGTTCACTAACAATGAAATAGTATCTGCCCAAAATTGTAATACTGAAAATCCCCAGTAGGTTATAAACTGTAAGGACCTTTTTTTAGTGATACCATTAACACTGAACGACTATTGAATTTTTTTGATAATGAATAATAGAAAATCATTGAAGATCTACCTTTCAATGTGCAACAAGAGATGTAATCTCAGCTAAATGGAGCTTCCGTTCATAATTCTTGAATGGTTCGGATGTGGTGAAACATTTTACATTTCGTTGCATTGGTAGAAAACACTCAATTGAACAATGGCCTCTTCCCTCTCCTGACATGATTCCAATGGATTTTCACTTCTGGGGAACTGTCAAGAATAGGATTCACAAGTCAAGGCCACAAAATCGACAAGAAATCCGTGAGAGAATACGGTAAGCCTGCCGTGAAATAAGTATTCAAGAACTTAGGAGAGTGGCCAATAATAATAGAAAAATAATTGAAAAATGTATCAGACTTAAGGGCGGCCAGTTGAGAGAGACAATATTTGGAACTGACTTCCAATATTAGTGTTTATTTATTGTTGAATTCGATTATTTATTATCATTTGATTTCGACCGATGTTTATGTTACTTTTTAGTAACTGATAATCAGAATTTGAATTTTTTCTTAATGAATATTAGATTTTCATTCTTATTTCTAGTATAACGAATTTAGTATTTTCGTTACTTTATATTCGCAACCATTAATTGACACCATTTACGCAGGGATATGTAGGGGCAAAATCGATTTCTAGGCAACGTTTTCAAATAACTCATTTCCGCACCGAACAAAATATCGAGAATTCACCCTTTGCGCGGGAACGCACTAGGCTGGATTTGAGGCTGTCAATCGGGCTGAGTATTGCGAAGAGAGCAACCCATGAAGGTCTATGCTTGTACCAAAAATCAAATATTTGCTTTCAAAAATGGCTGAAATACAGGGCTGTCTTCATCTTAAGTGTGTAAACAGACTACGTAAATGACTGAACTTATATTTTACAACAATAGGATTTCATTGTTGAAATCTATCTTGCCTTGACATGAGACCAGAGCCGGTACCTGTGTCACCCGACTCACATGACGCGGCTAAGTGCATCAACTGTAAGTCGCGTATTTTTTTGATTTCGATGAAATTGCTACTATACAGAATAATGTTTCGATTCGAATTGAAACTATCTTGTTATACCAATACGTTTCGATTAAGATATTAAGATTTCTGAATATAATATATGAGTTGTTTTTATTCAAGATGGAGTTTGGATTGAAGGATTGTGTCTCATTTTGGTAAGTTATGTGAATCAGTGAAGTGTGGAAATTCTTCTTTCTCATTTAGATCTTTTGTACCCGTCAATTTTATTGGTGAATTTTATTTGATATACATATTCATTTGAGTTGTCTCTGTAGAGTAAGGGGCTAAGTACTATCATTATCATGATATAAAATTCAACCTATGAATTTTTGTAGGAACATTCATGCTAAGTTTGAAATATAGTCACAATAATATTCATATATTTGATTTCATTGGTTTAATTTCAATAGGACAGTGACGGATTATGGTGATGTGTCTGCAAATATTATTCACTTTCTATTTGAGAATAGTTTCATTTTGATTCTACACCTCACATAGAGTATCAAACAAAGTGTCCCAAATTCATACATCAGAGAGTGTTTTTTTTTCTGAAAAAGCACAATAGTCTTACATTGAATTTCGTTCTGATGAGTCCACTGGTGCTTATTTCGAATTTAATCACAATCGACTGGAAAAGATTACTATTGGAATTGTACAAGAGGAATTCTATGAAAAGACATCTAGTGAATCTGTCGATCCATTTGTTGCGAAAAATATAGTTAAGGTTGGTCAGGGAATTCTTCATAGTTCGGCCTAAAGTGGCAACGTAGCCGCCACCGGGATAAGTAGCGAATTTTCCTGAAACAAAGAATTATATTGATAATAATAATAACAGACTGCAATGGACTTATTTCAAGAACATTGTTGGGCAATAAAAATATGTGGCATATAAAAACGATCTGAAACTACTTGAAATTTCGAGGGAAGAAAAAATCTGAGTTGTACTGCGTTCCTTTTCATTGAGAATGAACAATGAAAAATCTGACAGATGAAGTTTGATAAATGATACTGAAGAATCTCCACATGAAAAGCCGAAAGGCATCAGAAAATTCAAAACAATTTTCCACTATGTACCGTAATTGGGAGACTGTAAAAGTAATTTGTAAAACTCTGGAGAAAGTTGATGTATTTTTTTTCTATCGGAGATGCTGTATATTCTGGAATGAATTGTTCAATTTATTCCTACTTGAAGTCTTGTCTCGATTGTGTGACATTTTATACACAAATTGTTAGTATGAATAGAAATATCAATAATGTATATATTAACTTCAAATGAAGGTATTTGATTTTCAATTGGTTTGGAAGCTTTTTAGTAAGCTGTAAGCAGTTTGTGGGAAATATATTAATTATAATTCTTTTCATCAAAAATCGATGAAAATAAATCTAATTCTCTGTCTAAAAAAACAGAATCGAAAAACTAGTTCATCCCTCACTGAAACAAAAAAAAAAAATTACTGTTATTGAAAAATATTCTAATAGAGAGTTCTTTTCCAGAAAAATTACTCAATAAAATTATTTTTACTACTGTCTGTAAGACAGAAAGTACAAATGACAATGCTTGTAGTCAGATAGAAGACAGAATGAAATATTTTTCTTTTCCTAATATTGGAAAATCTTCCAAAATAATTAAAGTTTTTTACAATGAGAAGAATATCAAAATAAAAAATAAATATTAAAATTATTGGAAATATTGAAACACAATTAAAAGACTCTACACTTGATTTGAAAAAATCGAACGTTATTTATAATATACCATGTAATAATTGTGATTTAAATTATACTGGAACAACTTCCAGAACATTAGTAAGCAGAATAACTTCCCACAAAAGTGATATAAGATTAAACAAAAATTCATATGCACTAGCTCAACATTTTATTGAAACAGGACAAAAGTTTTATATTCAGAAAAAAATAGGTGCAAAAGACTTTTTCACGAAATGGTCATCAAGAAAAACCCTAATACTATGAACAAAAAAACAGACATTGAAAATCTGAGTATAATTTATAATTATTTATTAGACATAGATAAATCTCAGTAGTATTCTCAATTTGAAATAATCACGCATTTATGAAATAGAAATATTTTCAATGATAATGTCACCCTTGTCATTACATGATTCAAACAATGTGTCAATGTCCAGTAAATTTTTGGGTTTGAATAATTTAGTTGCACGGCAAGTTATATATACATTTTATCGCTTTATTTTGTAATATTTTCGATGTTTCCAAAGTGGATTTTGTGGATTTTCCTGCAGCTGAAAAATCAAATGCGCCACTGGAATCAATGAAATCGCCCTGGAGCGCCAATTAATTTTCATTGTTGTTTTTATTTTTATTTGGAATAAATAAAACAGTAATGAATGATTGTTAGAATTTTAACTCATATATCATTTCTAGACTAGTGATATTATCTTCCTCAGATCTTGAATATGTGTAGTCCATGACGAAATTGGATCTTTGTGTGATCCTAAAAATTTCGTAATTTTTGCACATTTGATTGTACAATTATTGTAACTAGAATTTTTGTTATATACAATTATTTGTACTTATAGTCAAATATTGTATTCTTACCAACATAACTGAAGCTGCCAGTTACTGTATAAGCATTGTAGTTCCACACCTGGTCCATTCTTGAAAACTCATCAGAATTTTCGTCATGCCCCCACGTTTCGCTGAAATCTTCGTACTCAGGGCCTTCGGAAAACTCGTGAATGCATTCTTGAGTTACAAATTCCATAGGTGAAACTACCACACAACTTAAATATAAAAATCCATATCAGTTGGTGAGCTGATTGAAGCTATATAATTTGAGAGAACAAGAGCGATATTGAAATAATTTTTGTAGGCGATTTTTTGTTTTTCATAGAAGAGTAAAAAATAAATTTATTTGGAATTGGGAATTTATATTCGTTGAAATCATCACAGAATAAAACCATAAAATATATTTATATACTACCATTTCTAGAACCAAGAATGAAACTATATTATCCGCGAATTCGATTGAAGATAGATTCTCTGATCAGATCGAAGATCTGATTTTGATTGTGTGTGTGTCAGAGTCGAAATTTCGAGACTCAAGCTAAGTTTCAAAGTCGTGATTCCCAAAAAACAACTAATGAAAATATATGATTGAGGATACTCTATAAAAACACACTTTTGTCTATTTTCCAGGATAGTTTTTATATTTGTTGACTAGTTTCGGTCATTACACCATTTATACCTACATTGCCTATATCTATCATAAATAATTTGATACCTACATTGTCTATATCTGGAATCACCTCAATTAATAGTAGTATATCAATGAACATAACAAAAAATGTTGATGAAATGTAGGTTTTGGAAACTGGGTTAAAGGTTCAGGAGAGGACTATTGTTTAGATCAAGTTGTTTGTTGAGGATAATAGAATTGGGATTTTTCTTTGACTTGTTTATTTTCATAGATTACAACAAATTCATCATTATTAAATTATCTTTATCTATTTCATGTTTCGAATTTTGAAGATATTCATCCGTTAATGATTTTCATCCGAAATGACATGTTCATGGTACCTTATACCAAAATTTCTACCAGTTTGGCCTGTGCATTTGGCAGGGCATTCATCACATTCTAGTCGATATATACCAGATCGCTTTCCTTTGTTCAATTTAGGTTTGGCATTAAATAATCTGTTTCCTAAATTTCTGTTGAATGTGTCGGATGTTTATAGATTGAATTTTGAAAGATATATTTTAATATTCTCGGAGATTCTATCTGCATATTTGTAAATAACATATGGACAAAAGTGTGTTTTTATAGAGTAATCCTTAGTGAATATGAATTTCCACAACATAAACAATTCGTCAGTCAATCTAGAACCAATCTTGGATCAAGTTAGTTCTCCGTTATTTAACGAATAGATGAATTCAACAATAATACCTGACATTAGTTGATCTGAGCTGTCGAAGACGAGCTATGCCAATATATTTATTGTTGTTATCAATGGTCATACCAGGATCTTTGATTACGTATTTGCCGTACCATTGAGGAGATTGCATGGAGAAAACCAATGTATTTGTGATATATTCCTGAATTCTGAAAACAAAACAACAGTTTCAAAAACTCAATAACTACCTCATTTACCGTAATATTGATTGCTCAGGATATGAAGAACTAATAGCATTACTCACTCTTTTCGATCAAAAAGTGCATGTCCTTTCGGTATCGTCCTGGAATGTATTCCAATAATCAGATCATGCGCTTCTCGATTGCTCAAAAAGGTCATCGGATCTTTATCCTTCAAAATTACCGTGTATAACAGCAGAACGTATATAGTTATCATGATGAGATCTTCCACAATTTCGAAGGTGCTTTCCTTGATATGAGCCCAATGTTTCTGTTCCTGAAATTTTTTCAAAGTTATCAAAGTAAGCTCTATGATAATGCAGTTAGAAAACATACTTTGATTCGGGCAGGATCTAGTGGTTTGTATAAGTGTCTGTAGTAGGATCTTAACGAGTTTTCGCTGAATTTTCTATAAATATATGCCCTTTGAGCTTCTATGGAAGCCATTATCGGTTTTATTCGACGTAAAATGTGAACCAACTGAAAACAAGAGAATTTAGTAAAAGCAATACAGATGTGTGGAATGAAATTTCCGTTTTTTGGCAGTGGTCTGCAGGTTTTTATGCCTGACGTTTAGTCCACTACTGCGGTAGACATGCTGACTGCTGATCAAGTATTTATTCAATTTTTGGGTCAGTGTTAGTAATTTACAATGTATATTTATGATGGAGCCCTGCTATAGGCCTATGTCTCTTCAAGGTTACAGTTATTTGCTTATCTATGTTGGTGTTAGTTTTTCCTTTGTTTGTTCGGGTGTCCTGATCCATGACGGTGGTCGTTGTTTGGAGAATGTCGGTTTCTGTAGAGCCAAAGGTGGTGTGGTTGAGTGTTCAGGTTGACTTTTCAGGGTATCTGGTATCTGTAGAGTGGGGAAGGTGAGTGTAGACTCACGCACTTAGGCCACATGTGACCCATTGTACATTCTCCCGAGGAGTCGCCTCCTAGGTCATCGTCCATCCTGTCCTTTCCAGAAAGGTGAACAGGTCACTAGGAGACATCTCCTTCATATTGACAGGTGTAGGCCAAGACTCGCCGAACACACACTCTCTTTGGCAACCTTGAGGTGTCTCAGGGTGACCTCCGCATAGGATTTGGAAGGTGCAGCGATATTACTGTCGTTGCGCAACTTCTTCAACCTTCTTAGGGTCCCCTCCGTAGAGGTGCACAGGTGAGGGGGCTTTCCTGTAGGGGCAGCCGGTTCCTTGACTTTATTCAAGGCGGAGCTTTTGGCGCCCGCCGCAAGAAGTGCCCGTGTTGTTGGAGGTGATCTGCTATGTCCAGCCTCATTCCAAGCGGTAGATTGGGGTGAACATTTCTGTTCATCTCCAGCCACCGCCTTAGATTGAGGTGAGCAATTCTATCCAGCCTCGAGATTGGTTTTTGTTGTTCCTGTTGTTTCATTCATGTGTGTGCCCATGAGTAGCAAGGAAAGAGTTGGTCACCTCTGGCAGAGCCCCGCATTACCAGAGGTAGGCTGATTACAATGAGATTTTGACCAGTTCCCCAAGGGGATCGTTTGTGACCGTGTATCTCCCTGCGGCCAGTCAGCTTTCGGCACGATTTCCTACACCTTAGCTTGGGTAGGTTGGTCCACGGTGGCATGTTTTGCAAAGGCTTTTGGGGGTTTCAGTTCCCCTCACCCTACTTATTTCTGCCACTGACCAGGATTTCGGCGACCCCGTCCGTAAGGCCACATTGGCTTCCCGAACAGGGCCTTCCGTTCCCTGGCCGTGCCCCTATCTGCCACCTCGGGACCCGCCCGATAGGTAGCCCAACCCACGGGGAGTCGTCAGGGTGTTTCAGGGCGTAAATTTTCCGCTATCTGATAGCCAATGGATATTCCTCTAGGATGTTCTGGATCTGCTCCGTAGGGTCTTTCAACAACCCCAGGAGTCTGGCTGGGGGGAACGGAAGCTTTTTCCATGGTATTCTTTTGGCGCCTCAGCGGGGCCTCCAGGGAGTAGTCAGGATGCCGATGGCCGCGGTGTTGTGGCTTCTCGTGGTTCTAGATGCGTATCTGCCTTGGAGTTTCTGTTGTTTCGGGTGTTATTTTCTCATTGTATTCCTTGCCTGTTGGATAAGCTTTGTACCTCTATTGGAGGAGTATGACTCTGACTCGTCATGCCGGTAGGTGGTGCAAGGTTATCCTTAGGTACGGGTTTTAGGTAGATACACTTCACTTAACTTTACTTGTAACAATGTACGTCTTTACTGTACGGAGGCTAGTACAGTACGGAGGCTGGTATTCGATTCTGGTTTTATATTATTATCAGTGTGCGTGGCTTGGTTTATCTAAATTGGATCACCTGGTAGCCAGATTTCATTATTGTTCATTGCCTCTACTTTTCTATTGATATTATCCCTATGTTTTTGAATTTCTTTTACCGCTCTATATACTCTTGGATAGTGTTTGGCCCGCTCAAATCCTCCTTCGCTGTAACCATTCCCTTTGAAGGTATTTTTCAGGTGATTGACTTCTTTAGTTTCACAGATACCTTTCAATCGACCCTTCCTATTGTTGTGATTGGTGGTAGAGTTTTTGTTCAGGTGTGTGTTGGTTTCCTGTACACTCTGTGGCCCAGTGTAGCATCTTCACGTTTGGTCACAAGCACGTTCAAGAGTCCCTTGGGTTCCTGGCTCTATCTGTTATCACATCACCTCTAATTATATCTACTGCAGTAGGAGAGGAAGCGACAGGCATAAAAAACCTGTAGACCACCGGAAAATAGCTTTCACACAGTTATCTCCGGCTGTGAAAGTTCACATTCATTAATCCAGGTATTATATAATTTATAGTAATGTTGCAAGTGTCCATATTCTACTTACAATTTAACTCTCATTACGAATCATTACTCTCTAAGTGCTTTCTTGTGATCCCTTCTAGACAACTCAAGAACAAGAATAAATCTAAATAGAACAGCAATGTGTAGAATGATAATTAGTTATAGCTAAGGTTCTCATGAAATACGAAGAATATTCATGTGTTCAGCACAAATATAGGTAGTGGAGGTGTTGTATAGGTATTGTGCATTTTAACACGATTTCTATCAGTGATATCAAAGGAGGAATCCCTCAACCACCATATCGCTGAATATTTGGAAAGATTTAACATCTTGAGTAATCATCGATATGGCTTTCAGAAACAAAGATCAACAGCCGACCTTCTATCTTATGTCACCCATATTTGGAGTAACGGAATCGACAAACATGTGGAGTCAAGAGCTGCTGTGCTTGATATTTCTAAGGCCTTTGACCCTGTATGGCATGAGTGTTTACTTGGCAAACTTCGATGCTATGGCTAGTCAGATCATGTGTATGACTCTCCAGCTTCCTGAAAAGACGTTCCCTGCGAGTGGCCGACGACGGATATCTCTCGAATACTTTTAGTATCAACGTTGGTGTTCCCAGGGATCCATATTGTCTCCAACCTTCTTTTTATTGTATATCGACGACTTACTGGAAGAAACCAAGAATCCAATAAATTGCTCTGCTGCCGACAGTACACTTGTCTTGTCATTCTATTTGGATTCCAGTACATCGACTGCGGATGCACATTTTCACCGGCAGCAGTGGGGGTGAAAGTAATCAGGTTCAATTCAATGTTACAGAAACCCCGGCATCGGTTTTCCCCAAAAACATAAATGTCTCCGTACCGGATATAACGATATGAAGACAGACAATTCAGCTTTCTGCACCGATAAGTTTGTTGGGGGTTAACACCATAATGTTTTGCACAATCGTGTTGCTGGAATTGCAAAGGCTGCTTCTCAAAAGCTTGGAACACTGTTCCGAACCAGAAAACTGTACACACCTCAGCAACTTTCAATGCTTCATAAACCTCAGATCAAAACTTTGGAGTATTGTTCACACGTATGGAGGTCCGCCCCTAAGCATACCCGGAATCTGCTGGATTCCATCCAGAAAAGAGCCATCCACCTGAATGGCTTCCTACTTCTTCATTTTGAAACAAAAATCTGGAAATATTCCCGAGAAACAAAGAAATCAATCAATTTAAAAAAGCAACTCTATACAAAGATGTGTAGATCATGCGAAGGAGTAACTTTCAGATACGATGTAATACCTAGCGAAAGCTATGTATGGTAATATAAATTCTAACTAGGGAAGAGACAGATTTCTTTATTTCATAATTTTTTGTAAACACCGGATCTGTCTCTCATACAATGTAAATTACGTCAAGGCCAAGAGTGTTTTGAAAAGTCAGATATTTTTGTCACATTTCTTAAGATGTAAATACGGGCATATCAATATCCCATATCAATTCAGCTTAATAGGTTTTTTTATGTTCTCCGTTGCACGTGGGCGACGGTTACAAAGAACGAGCCGGGGGGGGGGGGAGAAATGAATCCGTGACTTCTTCCTGGCTTTTGACAGGAGAAAAGACAGAGAGTTCTGAATGCTCTTCGCCTGAGGCAGCGGTCTTAGAGTGGTGCGAAAGTTTTTCGGGAAATACATTTTGAGGATTTTCAAAAACTTGTGAGTTCGAAAGGTTCTCTTGACGGTCAATCAAGGGCGGTATTTTGTTTTAGGAGACAGTTTTCCTGGGTGGAATCTTTATTTATTTATTTATTTTTTAAAACAGGAGGTTAGCGCGATTTCAGGTAGTCTTTTATTCTGACATAGGAATGAATGAGCGTGTAAGGTTCCAGCGAAAATTGAGCAGTGGAGTGCAAAAGTTCAAATAGGGGACGATCAGGAAAAAGGCAACGGTGAGTTGCCTTGTTGCCATGTGTACTAACCATTTTATGATTTTGGGAAGGAGTTAGCTATAATAAATTTGTGTACGGAGTGGACCTAATAATGGCCTTATAGATATTTAGCGGTCAAAAATCATCGGCCAAATTAGAGTATTTCGTCACTCTCGTATATTATAGTAATTTCCGACGAAGGCAGAAATATTGAGTTTTATTTTTTGAGATTTAGATATGGTTATTTTTTTTTATTTTTTGGGTGTTTTTGTTCTTTGTCTATTTTGTTATACAATTTTTTCTTTATTTTTTAATATCGAATATAGTATCTTCTGGCGGTTTCAAGAAGGTTTTTTTTTCAAAATCTTCCATAGTAATCTCTTGGAAGTGTCTGCAACTAAAGACCTTCTACTAGTGCGGGAGGATGAATTCAAGCCTCTTTCGGATTGGCCTAACATCCAAAATTTGATGTGGAGAAATCGCATCTGGTGATAGCAGCTGCCAGATTTTATTTGAATAAATCAAACACGGCAATAGCGAAAGAATTACCAAGGGTTGATAGTCAGTTAATGACGTATTATTTCACTAGTGACTCAGTTATAAGCCCGTATATGTTTCAGTGGCGTACGTATGTATAATATTAATAGTAAAACCGTTCCAGATTTACTACAACGAATTGGAAGAAAAGCCATCTCGAAACAGCTACTTTTATATGAACACGAACGAAAAAATACGACATACATACTTTCATATGAACTCTGAATTATACAAAAAAAACTTTTCTCTATTCAGTTTGTTGTCCAAACTGTCTGTTATGGAATTGAATCAGATATCATCCACAGGATTCCTACACAATACGAGTATAGTAAATGAAAGAGGTAAAAGTTCACTTACTTATGGAACACTGTCATTCTCACTGGTAGACATCTGATGTTTCGCCGTGTGACACATTTTTTTGTATCAAGATGGAGAAGTAGAAAGCCAAAAACCTTTCTTTCCAAAAAATCAACCTCTCCTAAAAATATACCCCCTTCGAATCATAGGATGCATTATTCATCTATTCGTTTTATTGACATGCTACAAATGTATTGACGTTACCCGAAGAAGTGAAATTAATTAAGTAAATTAAAGTAAATTCACATGTGAACATCATATTTATCGGACCAGTTCTATAACGTTGAAACTTTTGGAACGGTCATTAGCTTTTAAAGACTATCAAGAAGTGAATTTCATTTCAAAATGGTGGGTAATTATTTATCATTTGCCATTTTTGGGACACCTGGGAATATTGAAAATTGAAGATGCCTATTTCTTACTCTTGAGAAGATGAAAGTCGATTTGAGAACCCATAAGGAGTAAAATCCTCACTTGTAAAGTTTCAAAGATTATTTCCTACCTTCAGTTGTATTATATTTATCATTACTTACTCTTTTTGTTCTCCTAAGGATGAAATTATAAACAATCGTGACTAAATTTTCCAGTAAAAAAATGTAAATGAGGAGACTGACCACAGTCGACGTCAACCACAATAAAGCAGTTACATGTGGCACCCAGTATCCTAAAATGAGTAATGTCGTCATACAAGCAATAACGAGGAAAATCACCAAACCCCTGAAAAAAATTAGGAATTTCATTTTTTGAGCTATTTATAATGTTGAATTTCTGAATCGGAAGAATGAAATTGTAGATACTTAAAAAAAGAAACAGGTGAGTATTGAATAAATTCGATATATACTATTTTCAATATTGATTTTAGGCACATGGGTTGGGCTACCTATCGGACGCGTCCCCAGGTGGCGGATAGGGGAACGGCTAGGGGACTGGAGTCCCTGTCTGGAAAGCCAATGTGGCCTTATGGACGGGGTCGCCAGACTCCTGGTCAGTGGCAGAAGTGAGTAGGGTGAGGGGAACTAAAACTCCCCAAAAGCCTTTGCCAAATATGCCACCGTAGACCAGCCTACCCAAGCTAAGGTGTAAGGAATCGTGCCGACAGCTGAATGGCCGCAGGGTGATATGCGGTCACCAACGGTCACCCTTGGGGAACTGGGCGAAATCTCATTGTAATCAGCCTACCTCTGGTGATGCGGGGCTCTGCCAGAGGTGACCAACTCTTCCCTTGCTTCTCGTGGGAACATACATGAATGAAACAAACACAACAAAAACCAATCCCGAGGCTGGACAGAAGTGCTCACTTCAATCTAAGGCAGTGGCTGGAGATGAACAGGAATATCCACCCCAATATACCGCTTGGATTGAGGCTGGACATAGCAGATCACCTCGTGATGTAATACAAAGGCGTAAGCGCATTTGCGGCGCCGAAGTCAAAAGGGGAAAGAGAGCGAAGGAAGCAGGAGTGGCAGCAACTTTAAGTGCATTCTTCTCCGCCCCCACTCCGTCTCTAACAGCAAGAGCACTTCCGGTGGCGGGCGCCAAAGGCTCCGCCTTGGATAAAAGCAAGGAACCGGCTGCCTCTGCAGGAAAACTCTCTCACTTGTGCACCTCCACTGTCGCTGCACCTTCCAAAACCTTCGCGGAGGCCTCCGTGAGACACCTCAAGGTTGCCAAAGAGAGTGTGTATTCGGCGAGTCTTGGCCTACACCTGCCGGTATAAAGGAGATGTCTTCTAGTGACCTGTCCACCTTCCTGGAAAGAACAGGATGGACAATGACCTAGGACGACTCCTCCGGAGGATGTACAATGGGTCACATGTGGTCTAACCCCTAGTTTATAATGATGCAAGGTAAGGTAAGGTAATGTAATGCAGAGAGGTAAGGTAAAGTTTCCATTTTTTGACATTCACGAAAAAGTAAAGTATGAAGAATTGTCATTGTAATTATAGGTTTTGGTAATTTTTGGGTTGACAGAAATGCATAAACAAATATTGACATTACATTTCATTTCCATAATCTTGACAGCAGCAATCATTCATATGAAATAAATAATAACTTTCATTTGTATAATATTATGGAAGACGCATATTTTATATCTTTGATAGAACAATAATTTATGATAAACAAAAAAAATTAAAACAAATTATTGAAGGAGAAGGCATGGCAGGTGATTGCCAAAATAATAGGGCTACCAGAGCAGCAATATCAGAGATATATTGGGGGTAAAATTTTCCACAGAACACCGCAAATTCCCTCAATGATTTTATGGGTTGTGGTCCCTCCCAAATGGTATGCCTATGTCTCCGTCTGTTGTGAAGTTTCTTGCGATAAATAACTGAACAATTTTGTTCGATACATATTCACAATTTCAACAATTCACTTTACTGGAGTGTTATAGCCAATTTCTCTTCTGGAGATATCGATCCATATATTTTTTTCAACAATGAAGGCGCTAACAATGTCACTAAATGTTCAAAACATATTTTGTTCATTCTTGTGAAAACCTGAGTCTTTCCGTTTCTCAGAATGGGCCTAACATTAAACCTCCTCCTTTTTCATTTCTTTCTCTTACCATCGACACGATCGCGAAAATGTTTGTATTTATATCCATCAAAAGAAAAATCAAATTTCACAATGTGACATTTACGTTTATCTGGTGACATTACCTTTACACCATTCGGATATATCCGTCAAAGTTCGTAGTATAGCGCTTTCTGATTGTTCGGATGTAAGAATGCAACGCAGGAAGTTGAAAATAGCCGACCTGTTACCTTGCGTTACTTTGCCTTACCGAATTTACCTTACCTTACTTTTTATCTAGAACGCAAATGTGTTTTCTCAATGCTTCAACTTTCTTACCTTACCTTACCTCGTTACCTTGCGTTTTTATAAACTAGGATATGCTGTGGGTCTATACTCACCTTCCCTACTCTACAGATACAGAGATATTGATTTTAGGATTCCTATCTGGAACCGACTACGAATTTATATTAACCAAAAAATCTTGATATTCGGTTGATAACTGATACAGTTATCACCCGAATATGATTGTGGATACTAACAATCGAAACGTCGTGACATAATTTGGTTTGAAATCTTTCAATTTTTATTTCTCATTTTTTGATAATAATATTTTTTTTTTCTTCAGCTTTCATTATGAAGTTATTTACTATAAAAATTCAGAATGGTTCTGGAATATATACTAACCAACAAAATAGATTTATCTGGAATGAATATTTTCCAAGTAGTCCAACTTTCTCACCGCTTTTTTCTTCTTGATAAAATCTGAAACAAATTATTTTAACAACTATTTTTGTCTAAAGTTGCTAATACATAGGAATACAAGATATATTTCATAAGTAGGTAACTTAAAATATTTTCAATTCAGTTGAAATTAAGCCTATACCTATAAAAAGTCCTCGATGGTATATTTCTATCTCTTAGGGATAACCTAAAATAACAATGTTTTATCCTTTATCCTTTTCTTTTTTACGAAGCGATTTTAAGCAATCCAAAATTAATCCTTATCCAATGAAGTACCTAAGTACAATGTTCATTCAATATAGATCAATATGGGCCCTTTCAGCATTTAATTCAAATGTATATTTTCGAAGAAATTACAGATTTGAAATGCAGGGGCACCGTGGTTGCGGCGGTTCCGTCCGGGGGGCCGGTCACTTATAATATAGCGGTCCGGAGAAACAGTAATGAAAAGGTAATTTTCATATGTAAACGCGCCCCTTTTGCCCCCACAGAGGGCCCCCCAGTTGGAGTATTTGAAAATCGTTTCTTATTGCGTATCTAAGACCTAAGAAGCAATTATATACCAAATTTTAGCTTCCTAGGACTTTCCAGTACGGCATTACACCCATGTGGAGCCGGGGCGGACGCTAGTTTCATATACAATGGAATGAAATAAGTAAATCTTAAATTATGTAAGATATATCGTACAATTAAGAGAAAGAAAGAGGTAACTTATACAAATTATGTCAAAATTATTTGTGTTATGTTAAAATTTCTTCCTCATTTACTCTTTGTTATGTATACTTTGATAGAATCTCTATCAAAAACTGTAAGAATTTTTCGGGATGATAATAATATTTATTGTTACATATATTCGAAAAATTCGAAAACAGTATATGATAATCAATATTTGTAAAGTGATGAAAAAAAAAGACTTTTTGTGTCCCAGGAGATTTGAACCAAATTTCTACTTGCCCTATAGATGATAATAAATATACCAATTCGATAGGTGAAAAATTCCTGTTGTTTCAAAATATTTCGTTCAAGAAAATATTGCAGTTTCCCTGACAAAAAAAAAATATGGCGATGGATAGAAGTAAATAGAAATGGATAGAAGTCTCTTGATTTGATTCCCATTGACAAAGAAAAAGTTTGTTTTTAAACTTCTAATTTCTTACCTGAAAAAATATACAATGGGCATATGTATGAGAAACGTTATAGCAAAACCACCCAATGTAGTCCATAATAGGTGCATGTGAAAGCCGTACTCCGAATACTGGCCTACACTGTCGCTATTCTGCAATTTTGGACAGCCGTATAAAAACAAAATTATAGTGTATGTGGTCATGAAGATTGACAGCATGATTGTGAGTCTCTTGGTTCTTGAAATAGTAACTTCATCGTCGCTTAAAATGAGAGTATCAATTATCATTTGATTCTCTTTCATCAGAATAAAGACCGACTAATTTGATGATTTTTGTCAATTTTTGCAATATTGCATTAGATGAAAAATGTACAAGCTTCACTAATAAATTTCATTTTGATTTTCACTGGGTATAAAAGTGGTTCGCTATACAAGCAGGACTATCCTATCCTGCCATTGTATAACCTTTTATAGCAAAATGTGTAAGTTTTAATATAGGTTTTCATCTATATAAAATCAGTCGTGCTTTAAATAACAATTTGATGAAGAGTTAATAAATGAAATATCTTGGAACATATTTTGAAATAGTGTTTTATTTTGTGTGAAAAGACAATACAATACTTTTGAATTTTCCCTCTTCAATGAAATATTCCCAATAAAAATTTTTCAATTCATTATTCATTCATCTGAGCTTCTGTCTTCAATAAAAATTGATTGCTGTGATAAACTTTCTTCTGTAACTGTTCGAAATGAAGGTTTCGAAGCCTGTAGTTTTTTAATGGACATGCTCACGTTTTATTTTTCAAGAAAAACTGAAATTTCTCGCATGATTTTTGATACAGAAAATGTTTCAAGAAAATAGGTCGAAATCATCTCCGAATTTTAAAACTATTCTAAAATACAGCGTGTTCTATTTGAAAAAATTGAGTTTTGACCCATTTTTATATCGCCAGAATCAGTCATCAATTCCGAACACCTTGTATGAAATTTTGGAAATGTTACTCCTACAAGACGATGGAATGGAATATTTTATAGGAGAATCACTCGAGAGCCAAAAACCTTGTTTTTTTGGGTGAAAGAATGAATATCTTCAGAACGATTCATTTTCAAATTAGAGTTATGTTATATACCGGGTGCTATATTTGAATTGAGGAAGTTGGTAACGCCATTATTTTCATTCGATGAAGCATATTGAAAATCTTATATTTTCTTATCAGTTAGTGTGCTATGTTTGAAAACTGACAGTAAACAAATCTAAAGAAATTAACTTCACAAGTTCAAGCCAGTCTCGGATATACCTACACAGTAAGTTGAATGGATTGACGCCTATCAGAAAACAACTACTCCCCTGGCTAATACCACGAAGGGCGTTGGAGTATATCCGACAGGCGTCAGTGCAGGAATCTTCACATAAAATTTCCTGCATATGCAATTGGCAATACAACTGAAAGAGTCGACCTTCAATTTTGGAACGGGCACACTCGCAGACCGGTTTCGGGCTCATCAGCCACTCGTCTGTGCAAGATAGTGGCCATCATCAACCCAAAGTCAATGATATTCCTTATTCAGAGAAATCGGGCATATTTCGGATAAGCAGTTGGTTATTAACCTCGTCCACTAGATGGAGTGACATTTTGTTGTTCGCTCCAACTGATGAAGAGAAATGAAATACTCTGAAAGAATTTCCGATTTTCAATTATGGAATATCATTGACTTTAGGTCGATGATGGTCACTATTTTGCACTGACGAGTGGCTAAAGAGCCTGAAATCGCCAGTGTGCCCGTTCCAAAATTGAAGGTCGACTCTTTCAGTATTATTGCCAATTTTATATGTAGGGAATTTTCTGTGAAGATTCCTGCACTGACGCCTGTCGGATATGATCCAATGACATTCGTGGTGTTGGTATATCCGAGACTTCCTTGAACATTCAAAGTTCATTTCTTTAGATTTATTTAATCTTATATTTGCCAATTATCAGGATATGAATCCTATTATTTCTCAAATAACGGCTAACCGAAGGTTAGCAGGTATACAGGTGTACCCTGTATACTTAATATCACTCTCTGAGGAGACATACTTAAAAAATCCGAAACACATTTTGTGACTTCTGTCAATAAACTCGTCTTACAGTAAAATTCTCATTAAAAAAAGCATACTTTTATTAAAATAATGTTAATGATTTGAATGATAGACCTTAACAGAATAAAGTACACTCGTTTATATTTCTTTTTCCATATTCATATGTTGAATTTATTATTCGTATATTTCAATTGATCACTTACTGAAATATATTCCACATGTGGCATCCGTGAAGTGAGAATTTCCTAAATGAAATTCTTCGTTTTTTCTTTACATATGGTGGACTTTCTGGTACAGCAGTGAGAAAATGATTTTCTTTATCGCCTATTTCAAATCGATAGTTGATGTTGAACCACCAATATTTGTTCATTTGTAGGTCAACAACTTCTATCTCAGAGCAATACCTGAAAGGTTTCTCTAATTTGAATAACATATATTCAAATAATACAAATATACAAGAATAATTGAAAAAAAGTAGATGCCACTGGTGTGAACATTTCACACAACATAGATTGAAAAAAATTGATATTGAGGAAAAACTAACGGAAAATGCAAGACCTACTAGGTCGTTTGAATCGGACAAAAAGTTCGTATTTTGGGGAACTACAATAATCTAAAAACTAGAATTGTCAAATTTCGTGTTTTGGCTCTATCGCCTCCATTTTGAATAATATAAAAAAGAAGAGTAACTCTCAATACTGTTTCATGTTTGTTATATAAAATATAATTTGCAATGCGACGTTTTGTTCATCAGCTCACATCATTAACTCAATTTATTTGAATAAGGACCTCTAACTGAAATAACTAATTCAGCTATGTATTACAAAACCGGTCAGTATCCTAATATTTTTATGGGGCTTACCATGAGGGCCGTAAACCTAAAGAATCGAACCAAATTTCCAGTTTTTCAATCTCCCCCAAATGGAGTTTCGTTGCTAGAAAAAACCAATCTCCCTGATTATGTTGCAGGATTCTTTTCTCTGGATCGGGAAAGTTCAAAACGTGCTCCTGTAATATATTCTGTGGAAAAATTCATTTGAGATTTCTGATGGTACTTTACCTTACTCTCCGAATTTTTTCCATACAATTTTATTACTATATTTGATGTCGTTCCAGCTCCAGATTTATTCCCAGTTTTCACAATGAGGAGGTATCCAAATCGATGAGAACTAGGAATATCACTCAAGAAGTAAATGCTTTTTTCAGAGATCTGTCGAAAAAGAAATCATGAAATTCTGAAATGAAGAACAGATCATCGAAAATAGGGTAGCATAAGTTAACTAAGTTATGAAGGGTACAATGTTAGTTTGAGTTTATGTAAACTCAGTAGAATTTCATAGCAACGATATGATGAAGTGATTTATTTAGAGACGATTTGGTGAATTTTGTAATGCATTTTATTTTTAGTTTGTTGTCGCATTGAAAACGTAGGGGGAATTTGTGATCAATAACAACTATACAACTATATGAGCAATCACAGATACTTGATATTATAAGCTTGTATGCCTACCAATGCTTAGAATATATGTTTCATAACCTACATCGGTTCAATCGCCTCATGAAAGTGATACATTATACCAGATCACTGAATAGTCTAACAGTATATATACCAATGTTCAAAAAGAGCCACACAAAAAGAACCATTTTTTTTTTTGGGCCAAAACTGTACGATGTTCTACATTATTAACTGAAGATAATAACAAACTTCCATTAGTACAAACAACAAATAAAACATTTCATTTTGAAAAATTCAAAAGAAATTTACAAAATGATAAATTAGTTGATGTATTATCCTATGTTCCAGAAAATATCTCGTTCTTCAATAAGGTATCACTTTCCCTTCAATTGAATAATATACTGATTTGTTACACTTTCACTATTCAAAGAATTACTGTACAATTACAATGTTTCTGGCAATTGCAGACAAGCACGACTCAAGAATACAAAATGCTTGAGAGCAGTCTCGTCATCCAACAGAAACGTTATAATAATCGTCGATATGTATCTTTATTTGTACACTTCAGTTTGAAAAAATTTGAAAGCTCAATAATGCTGTAACCTGAAAATTAACTATCAACAATGAGAACTAAAAACTCGAATATACATATTTCTGTGTCTATTGAAAAATCTATCAATCATGTGACTGTTTCTTGTTGAACCAATCACAGTCGACCAGATTCATAACTCACCACTTCGAGGTCAATTACAGATGAGCAATATTACAGTTGTCTTTGAAGCCTTGAGAAGTTCTTATTTCAAAATATGTTCTCAAATGTCATACTTGCTCATTGAACTGACAATTCGTTTGAAATATATAGTATCTAATGGGAAATTGCGATGAAAACATATACATAGTGAATGAAAATCCGACCAGAAATTTGTAAAGTGGTGAAAAATATTGGTAATTCTTTAAAGTACCCTACGAAATGAGAGTGGTTCTGAACTTAAATAGTGAAGTCCCCTTTTTCAAATTTCCAAACTATCTGGAATTGAATATAGTAACAGAAATAGGAGAGTATCAGAATCTTAGGTGTTGTCTTGTTGTGAACGTCTACGATCCAAAAACTAAAACAAAAAATACAGGTTCGTATCTAAAAATTCAAAGATTGGGGTGGCCTAAGTCAAATGACACCCTGTATAAAAGATTCATGGATATATTCTGAGAGCCCACATCAAGTGCCAATAATGAAGAAGATATAGGCAAAAAAATAATTTGGGATTTTTTGGTTTTTTCTGTATATCTCCAGAACCAAATGAGCTATATTCGATATCTTTACATCATTGAATAGGTCTCTAAAATACACAACTTTGCCACAATTCAACACACACACTCTATCTCTTATCGTTTACGAGATACCCATGTACAGAAACGAATTTGAATATATATTTGTATATAGTAGCTATCCGTAGTGACAAAATCAGGATAGATATTGGATTGAATTGGAATTGGAAAAATAACATATTTCGTAACTTTGACTCTAACTTACCTTCCTTGAAGACAGTGTGATGTAGATCAGCAGAACACAATAAAGGGAAAAAGCTACCGCTACGGAAATGAATATGATGAAGTTTGTCTCCAGCTCAAGTTCATGCATTGTGTAAGTTGATTTTTCCTCTCTGAGATCATTATTCTTTATCTTGCCAGACAAAACTGAAGAGTGGTAACAGAGACAATCGAAACGCTCAAAAGTTGTACTTGAGTCTGACTGGAAATTGATAAATAAATAAGAATATTCGTTGAAGTTAAAACAGATAACATTCCTGTCGAAAATATTGATACATTTGATAACAATATGTTTTGAAGTTTTTCTCAACAAATACATGAAGATACAGGTAATGAACAATACATCGCAGTAAATGTATTATCACAAAAGGAATACAGAAGTGAAAAACAATATTTCAAATCCCGTCCAACGAAAAGATTATTGTATACTTCCAAGGTAAGAATTTTTGTCATTGAATCATTTGATATTGCACATTTAATAATTCTCAAAATAATAAAAAACAAAAAAGTAACATCCTTTGTTTATCACATTTACCCAGGATACACGATTCTCGGATCCAATGCTCATTCACCTCACGATGTGAGAATAGGTCATGTGTTAATGATACCCGCTTTCAATTATATCGAAGCTTTGGAGGAAGAGTCTCATCAATATGACAACCTGTGGATCAAAGAAATACTTCCTGGCCCACAAACAGGGGGAAGTAGACATTTGAGTTTGGGGTGCTGATATAATTTCTCTATTATATCAACAAGAGGGTAATAAATAATAAGTCAATGTTCAAATATAAGTAAGACTCCACACACTTTTTTTGAAGATTTTTGATATGCAGACTCGGACTGTTTGGAAATTGATGTAACAGAAGAGCATATATTTGTGTCTGTACCGCAGGGTGCCGAAACAGGTTTTTAGAGTTCGACAGAGCCGTACTCTTACCATTTGACTTGAACTAAAAACTAATCGGCTTCGTTAAGAAGCTGGGTTCATTTGGTCGAGTGCGAATAGTTGTGAGCCACAATAAATCCTTAGGAGTTGCGGTGACCCACTCACTTTGGACCTAACCTAACCTAACCCATTCATCCAGAAATGGGCCTCATCGCTGAAGATGATTTATCTATGAAAATTAGGGTCAGTTGTCAATTGCTCCACAACCCATTCAACATACACACGTCGCTGTTTATGGTGGTTTACTTTCAGTTCCTGGGTCAGTGAAGTTTTGTAAGGGTGCAGGCCCAAGTCACGATGCAAAATTCGCTAAGTTGGGGTCTGCGAAAGGCCTAGTTCTTGTGAGCGACGCAAAATCGACTGCCTCGGATTCTTCTGCACACTCTCACAGATAGTGGCGATGTTTTCGGCAGATCTTGCTTTTCGTGGACGTACGGGTGTTGTTTAATCGTTTACTGAATCAGTGGACTCTAATTTATTCACCACATAGCGGATAGTTCTTCCGGTAGAACGATTATGGCGACCGTAAAATGGGTAAAGCGCGTGGTATGTTGCCCGAACATTATTGAATGCTTTATCCGTCCATGGTGATTTGGCAAAGTAGATTGTGAATAAATGACAACTAATTTGACAAGTGTAGCTTTTACAAAATGATCGTTATCAATTATCAAAGTTTGGCAGTTTTCCTGTTGGAAGAACCAATACGAGTATCTCACCCCGCAGGAGAATTCCCAATTCCTTATTGACGGTTCCCAATGGTAGCAGGACATGGTGTACACTCGGAACTTGAATTCCTGATCCTGTTGATCCTAAAATTGAGAATGAAATGAGGTGGTAAACTTGAATTAATTGTGAACAACTCACTGATATCCCGGGTAAAACGCATAGATAATGCCAACCATCATAGTCGAGTTCATGCGGAATGTAAAGCGTGTTATGGTTGTGGGTAACCAATTTGGCTTTATCTCTGAATTCCTTCGGAGTGGGTTTCACGAAATCTGAAACATAAACCTTGAGAAAATTCAAAAAAATTAGTTACCGAAACGGGCAATGTAAATATTGTAATTCATGTCCTAAAGAAAATAACGCAGGCCGCCACTGGTAGTCATAAATCAATCGTGACGTAGCTAAGAACACGCGAATGTACGATGTTCTGTGCCGCTCTAGAAGCAGCGATAATTATGCTACCGATTTCGATGGAACTTCGGTGAAATTTCTACCGCATTCGATTACGATATACAAACACTAGCCTCGAGTATATCAACACAGTCAACTGGACGATATAGTGCGGTATGCGAAGTGATTTAGTGAGGCGATAGATTCAAATAATAGTTGAAGTTTTTGTTGAAGTGTTCTATTAAGAAAAGGTAATATAGAAATAGAGAGCACATATCTTAAACCAGTGAATAAGGTAATACAGAAATAGAAAGCACTGATCTAGCATCAGTGAATGATTGAAATGAGCACAGAACTGATCAGAATTGTCGAAATATTGGTTCAGTGGCGTGCCGTAGAAGTGATATAATAGAGTGAATATACTTGGGCAAGTTCTGAGAGTTATAATTGATTTCCTTTCAGACCAGTCGAATGATTATTCGAATATTCGTTAAAATACTCACATTGAGGCTCTCATTCAATGCCAATTCTTCAAACTCAATGATGTATCCTTGTTTTCTGAAGACATCTATCCGAAACATTGTAATCCGTTCAAAAGCATAAATATCCAGAGGCAAAGTAGAATTTGTTTGACTGGGCGTTCTGCTTGTGTGTAATACAGTCGCAGCGGTTTTATTCTCAATGTTTTTGAATGATATCAAAAATGGTTTTACGAATTTCGTTATGACCTCTTCCTCGACGGAGAAAAGTAACATCGCTAGTGCGGTTGGGATTTTCTCCTTTTGTGACCACCAAAACAGGTTTTTGGACACTGTACATAACTGAAACAATGTTCTTATATAGAAAAAGTATGTGGAAACTCATCTGAGGAAGTTCGAAATAGATGATTTCAGAATGGAAAGAAGAAATATTATGAATATGAATATTACTGGAGTTCTTCCCAACAATAAACCGTTATTTTAACACCTCGACACGTGTTTAGATCACCAAGTGGATCTTCTAGAGGAAGATCAAATATAGTTTGATCAAAAATAGTTTGATCTTCCTGTTGAAGATGATCAATTGGTGATCGAAACACGTGTCGAGAAATATGGACCGTTGACGCCGCCAGCCCAAAATCCACACCGAACAGTAATTTTTTTGGGATACATTCGATGCTTTTGGATCTCATGTAAATTGGTATCGTTCGAATCGATAATTTTGTTTTTTCACATGTTTACTTTTCAATGAAAATTAGGGTCAGTTGGACACTGCTCCATAGGCCATTCAGCGAACACACGTCGTTCATCTTTAGTTCCTGGGTCAGTTTAATGATGTACGGGTGCAGACTCAAGTCACGGTGCAAAATTCGACAAGTTGTGGTCTGCGAAAGGCCAAGTTTTTGTACGGTACAAGATGGCCTTTATTAATTGTCAAAGTTCGAAAGTCCCTATTGGAAGACCCTATAGTAAGACACTTTGATTGAAAACTGATGCTGTTTGAAGAATTCATTCTAAACACCAAAGGCAAAGAGTTTTCCATTTGTTACACATGGATCAGAATGAGCTTAATATCTTTGAAGAGAAAGATATATAATAGTCCTCATGGAAGGTTCTATCATTATGGAATGGGATGATGGTTCATCTCAAAATAAAACCATGCAGGGAAGACAGACATTTTACACCATGTGGATACCGGAAAGAAGTATACTTACCTGGATCTACATCACTCCGAAAAGATGATCACACTGAAGAAGAGAACTTTCATCGCGGCAAGTATCAGCATAATGGAAGTAATGATACGATACATATAATGTATATCTCTAATATTGATCATTTTGATGAGGTTGGATATCAGCCCCAACTTCAAATTCAGTTCAACAAGGAAGTTTTGTCCATAAAGTGTAGTTCTTCAGGACATCAAAGTATATTTCTTTTCCTTTCTACCTCTCTCTTTCCTCCATGGAAGGAGTTGTTGGATGGAGAAAAGTTACCTTGCCGTTCCAATCTTTCTCGACTCTTTTGGAATCTGGACAAACTGTACCAATTCGACACAAGGACTCAAAAAATGATGCACCTTTGTCTAAATCGCACTTTCGACTGTCATTAGGAGTTTGGATCCTCTTTTCATCATGATTCGTGATCATGAAAGAACCAGACCTTCCAATTGGACAATCCAAGCGGTCGATCAACTTGAATTTGTTTTTAATACTGAATCTGGTGGTCTGAACCTTGTCACCGAACTGGAACCCAAATCAAATCGAAATAAACTATTTTACTTCTACGATTCATTCCAGAAGCAGGCTCTACTGCCACACTTTTGAGAATACTATGCATTCGCTCTTATTATTTAGACTTTATGTGGTTTTAACCCAAATTTACAGATACATTACGGCTTTGCGAGTATGTATTTCGCAAATTTCAAAAGTATGCTACCTCATGCAACGGAGACAATTTTACTCATTATGAAGAATGTGTAATGCCACATTTTTCTGAACTATTCATTTCCCAATCAAAAGTAGATTTGAGATATCTAGTCTTCGTCTATCAATAATCAAAGTAAGACAATGTTAGTTAAAAAAAAGACGTTGATGCGAAAGAAATATTGGAATTCACTCTTAGAGCTTCACAGACTGCATTTTTTGTGCAGAATACATCTAGACTAGACCATTGTGTGAAAATGGTGTTTGCCTCAAACACCAAAAATCCTGAGTGGGTCATGACCAGCTGCCCCAAACAAAGGTAGTAGAATAACTACCACTACTACTAAGGAGCTACATAGTCTGTTGACGAAAGTGAAATACACAATCTCTTGAGGAAGTATGTTCAGAACATAAAGTTTCGGTTCCGTTTTCTTCCTTATCTTTTTGAGCGACATTCATTTCATCCGGAGCTGAATTTCCCGAATTTCATGTTTTTTTATGCTAGAGGACTACATCGTTTTTTACAATCAAGTTTCTCTTTTTTCTACTTAGTTTTAGAATCGAGAAAGATAATATCTATTCGATATATTGAGACAATGACTTGAGACGGTCGAAGCAGTTTCTCGATTTGACAATTCTGATTAAGATAACATGTATTATTATGAGACAGTTGCTAGAGGGACCATCATGTACACTTTCCTAGCAATAAACTCAGTATTCGAATATTCTGGTGTGCTTCAAAAAGCTAACCCTTGGTCAACACTACCACATAAAGTTGTAATAGTATTTTGTCTACTGAACTATTAAATATTAGTAGATGAACAACACGGTTTCTGGCACAAAATCTCATGTATTTTCTTATAGCGCTAAATTTTTTGCAATTTTCATGACATCCGATCGGAACCTTGTAGAACACCCAACTCGAGGTAGGTGTATTTCGGAAGGAATTTAGTGAGCGGGAGAGAGAAACGTATGACGCAATCGATGCAGAGAAGGATGGAATGAATATCTGAGAGTCGTATTCATAATCCTCCATGCTTAATTTTAAAACCGGCAACGCTTCAAATGATAAATTGCCCCATGCTTGCGCTATCGACGTATCACTTCGATACCATGTCCATCTCTCTCTTTCTGCAGCGATTACGACGCACGTGTCTCTCACTCTTACACACATACACCTTTTTATGAAACATCAATTCTTCTCCGATTCTATGGATATTTCCCTATCCTCTACATGAAAATGTAGAGGAAAGGGAACCAATAAATGATATTAAGTATAGAAATGGAATCAATTTCTGTCCCACAGGCCACATTAATATCAACAATTCGCAATTCTTTCAATGTGTCATATTGGTGTCAGGGCTAAGGACAGCGTCTATCACGTCGACGACGTTCAATTTCCATATCGATCGCTTTTTTTAATTGAATTCCCCTCAGCTGCCGATGACCACAAGGACCACGTGAATGGAACGCGGCGACAAGGAGGCTCAGGGGTGGAGTCCTAAGTAGGAACGACGGGTGAGGCGGACTCCCAAGGGGGCCCACGCTCTTTAAATCTGTCCGATACTCATTCCATCCTTTTCTGTATCGATTACGCCACAAGTTTCTCTCTCCCACTCACTGAAGTCTTTTCGGATGTCATGAAAATTGCAAAAAATTTAGGGCCATAAAAAAATACATGGGTTTTTGTGCCATAAACCGTGTCGTTCATCTACTAATATTTACCTGGAACTTACCAAAACATCGACATCTTTTTTTTCGTATTCAACGAAATCTTCCGAAGCTAACAATTCCACACCTTGAGACGATATAAGTACATAAGGAATATCGAGTCCCATTTCTCTTGTTGCTGCGATTTCAAAATTGCCGTTGGCAATAACCTTTGTGTCTTCTCTGTTAACCATCGACAACGCCAATGTCCTTGCGTTCACGTAGCACTGATTGACTATGTTTCTGCAGGCAGTGTCGTACTGAAGACATATCAAGTTAGAAATATCACTGTGATATGAGAAAGCAACTTTCAATTCATGGAAATCCTATTCAAAATTAGATATATCAATGTTCAAACTCAATCTTATACTTTTTTACACCTCTAGCAAAAACAAACTAAAACTATTGTTAAAATAAACAGGAATCAAATTATCTGAAGATTTCTAGTATCAAATCATATATTGAATTACAGTCAATTCATTGGAGTGGTTATAAATTATACAGCAATTTACTGAATGATTTGAAAATTTTCAGCAACCTAAGATTCAAAATTGTTTTAAATAATAACTATATTATATGAAAGTAGCTGTTTTAGGAGGGATTTTTTTCCAGTTTGTGTCTGAAGTTACTGCTCTGCATCTATGTATAGAGTTACTTCTTTTGAAATTAATCACTTCCTTCCTTTCTTTGAAAGATTCCCACATTTTTTTGTATCAAGATGAAGTAATAAAGCCAAAAACTTTATTTCCCAAAAATCAATCCCTCCTAGGAATATAACCCCTTTGGCTGGGGTTTATTCAATTAAGCCAATGAATGTCATTACGATGTCATCGATGACATGAATAGATCAAATTCATTCCGTGACATGAAGTTGTAATTTATGAATGATTTGTGTGTTTTTTTCATAATGTTATCCAGATTCGTACTGAAGAGCACTAACGCAAGTGCCTTACGGCGAAACATCGATGTCTACCAGCGAGGATGACAGTGTTCCGTGTAAGTGTAAGTGTTTAGTATATGGTGTAGGAATACTGTGAATGACATCCGATTCGATTCCATAATGAATGTTTGGAATACAAACTGAGCAGAGAAAAGTGTTTTTTTCATAATTCAGCGTTCATATAAAAGTGTTCGAAAGAATTTTTTTTTCGAGAAATTCAATGTTTATATGAAAGAAGCTGTTTCAGGAGGGGTTTTTTCTTCCAGTTTGTGTCTGAGAAATACTTCTTTGCATGATCTACACATCTATGTGTAGAGTTACTTCTTTTAAAATTGATTACTTTCTTCGTGTCTTATTTGTTTCTTATTCAAGTTTTCCCAAGGAAAACCGCATGGACATTTGGAAAAACTTGAACATCCATAAATTTAACAGTCATAAATCACTTATCGAGGAACAAGTACAATTCAAAACACAACAAGACCTCACATTCAATATATTAAACAAAACCATACACATTTCTAGAGAAGATCTAACACAAAGCAGAGTACCTGATGCAGTACAAATACAGGCAAATTTACCTAAAGTACCTGAAATACCTGAGTTAAGACGCTCTGACCGTATAAAGAGGCAGACGACAGGATGACCAGTTCAGTTTGAGGGGTGTCTAGAGGATGACAGTACTACCAACTGTCGAAAGCGCTCGCAGATAATTAATAGAAGATATAAAGCTTCAAATCCTTTTTGTATAACCGGCGTGAATGGGAGCACTTTTTATTTAAAAACACTTAAACAATGATCATTAACACTTTTTTAATTTATGCTTGCACGTTATAAAACGGCGGACATTCACAACATGAACTGAGTTCCATCTCCAACAATGGCGTCCGCGTACCTTCTTTGTGAACGGTCGTTATCGGCACGTCCGCCCACCACCATGTCAGAAACGAAATTGCAAATTTAAAGTTCATTTCTTTAGAATAACTACTATTATGAATAGGTTATATTGATATCAACAAATATTTCAGACAATATTTTGAACTTTTGATAAGATACTGAGTAAATACCTTTATCCCATGCATTTCATATTTGTTGAATGGTATCTATTTTCTTAAAAGAACCAAAAAAAAACTCAAAATAGATTCTCTGTGTTTTCCAAAGGTTGAAAAAGTTTCTTCGATTACAATTTTTTGAAAAGGTAACTCAAAACATAATGTTTTTTATCTGGTATTTGTAGCAATTCACAAGTAGTGTTTTAGGATCAATATGTTATGATTGTTCTGGTATCTCAGATAAGGTATTGATAATTCACCTGATATTTTTGATATTCCAGGTACCTATTGCGGTGACCTGAAGAATATCGAAGGATTTGTTTGTGAATTTGAGTCAGTTTACTTGAGAGTGATTTAATAAACTGAAATCGGTCGTAATAGATAAAAATCTTTATAGAAATTAGACAATAGTTATTTTTTCTTAACCTATATTCATTATAAATTTCTACAAATGAATAGGTCATCAATTGAACAAGAAAGTATTCAATATTTTCATTATGGAATTTAATTGGAGGTCTTACCTTCGTCAACATTTTCGAGATATTTTGATCATCGACGTAATCAGGATAATCTTCTGTAATCACCGGAAAATCGACCAAAACGAAAGGAGTAGTAGTCTCTACGAAAGTGCCTTGTACTTGAAGAATTTCAGGATTTTCACCCTCAAGTGCTCGAGAACATCCAGAGAACATCCTATAAAATAAATGTGAGACATGACATTTGAGTGATATACCTACAAGGTAAACCTTTAGTTCTAATTTGGGATAGATACGGATAATAATAATATATCTGTTGAGCAAATCACGATTTGGAAACAGCTGCCTGGGGACGTTATAAGAAGTTTTGTTCAGATAGCTGAGATGTATAGTGAAGCGAATCCTAAGTTTTTCATCTCGGTCACGAAGGGAAGTATTTCATTTTCGATATGAACTTGAAAAATGGAGTTGGTGATCTGTCTGCTTTTCTTGGGTCCAAACATCATTATTACAGATTTATTAGGATTAGCTTGAGCCTATAAGTTGTAGAAATGTCAAAGATTACTTGAATATACTTATTAATATATGACTGGGCAGATGTAGAATCACGAGGCGGAAAAGAGAATTATAACTGCGTGTCGTTGGCGTAATGATGTATATTGTGCATTTTCTAACAAACTGATAAAAATCGCAGATGTATACAAGCAAGGGCCCAAGGATAGATTCTTTTGGCACTCCCTTTGCTATCGGTAAAAAATCCGATACAATTCCAACCACAACAACTTTTTGAATACGATTTTTCAGATAGTTTCCTAAAAGTGACACTGCTTTCTGAGAAAACCCAAAGTTACAAGTTTGTTACATAAAATCTCGTGATCAATAGTGTCGAATGCTTTGCTATAATCCAGAAGTACTGAACAGGTCATATTCTCATCATCTACAGCTTTAACCATGCTGATACTATGTTGTGATCTGAATGCTGATTGAACAAATGCTAAAATATGATTTTCATTGACATATTTATTAATTTGATCTTTCAGTATCAATTCCACTACTTTAGAGAGACACAGGAGAATTGTAATTGGTCTCAGGTGAGAAAGGGCTGTAGATGAGGTAATTTTAAATAGAGAACCTCACAAGTTCGGACTTCCGTTGTGTGAAAACGGAATTGATGAAAGAACAAAAAAATTAAAATGAATGAAATGTTGAAAATTATTTAAAATTCTGAAAAATACCGGACTGAGTGAAGTAAGTAGTTTATTTATCGTAATTCATGAATGAAGTGTGTGTATTTTCTATAATGTTATCCAATTTGGTACTGAAGAGCCTTAGGGCAAGTGTCTTAAGGCGAAACATCGGTGTATACCAGTCAGGATGACAGTGTTCTATGTAAGTGCAATTTGTTACTATTCATTCAAAGTAGAAATGCATAATTAATGAGCTGAATTGAGCAATAAAATTATTTGTAATATAGCGTACTGTATATATAGATAATTATGAACATATAAAATAATAATAAGTTACGGTACTTTGATAGGTATATTTGAGTGAGAAGTGCGACGGTATAAATGAAAAGTATAACAGATTTTGAACTTAGGATAACTATTGTCGCCTTTATTTTTTATGAGAATGTTATGAACGATGTCCCTATTAATACTGAGTACATACTTTTTGAAGATGTTTTTGAGTAAGTTAATATTATTTATAGTATAAATGTTGGTCTTGTACATGTCCGGTAAGAAGTTGAAGATTTTTCCACTGTGGTATTTGTATGAGTCTTGACCAATGGATTTTTTTTGTTGCGTCCACTTGTACATCACCCTTTGATTTAGTGCGGGTATTATAATCGTGTCTAATTGGTCAAAGTGTCATTTTGTTTTTGTAGATATACAAGAATGAGTTGTACATGTATATTTGTCTGATATTGAGTAGCGTCGAGTCAATGAAGATTTGATCAGAATATTAGTCATTTTTTTGTGGTACGTGATTTTAAATATTTTTCTCTGTAGTACTTCAGAGTTCTTAAGGTGGATATCTAAAATACCACCCCAGTTCAGTATAGCATACTGGAGTCGAGATTGTACTAAGGCATAGTATATTTTTTTTAGGTGATTGATATCGAGAATAGATCTCAAGTATTTAAATTTATGTAGTATGCATCTTAGCGATTTCGGGATCTAGGTAATATATTCATTCCACCTAAGATAACGATCTATTGTAACTCTCAAGTATCTAATTTGGTCTGCCTGTGAAATTTCCATATTTCTTTTCTGATCATTTAGTATCAGTTTATCATAGTTTGGCAAATGAACGGCAGGAACTTGGTTTTTTCAAAGTTAATCGTGAGTGATTTGTGATCGAACCAATCTATTGATGTTCCGATTTGATTTTCAACTGTGGTTTTCAAACTACTCCAATTTTCGTCGGTGTAAAGTATGGCCGTGTCATCAGCAAAACTGTAAATTGAACCATCTATTTCCATAGTTAGTAGGCTGTTAATATACAGTGTGTAACAACGAAAACTTAACAGAGCCGTTTTTGAATATAAAAAGTGAAATTTTCGAAAAAAGCTCGGATACGTCAATTTCTAATTGAAGGGGGACACCTTTCAGACTAATCAGATTTTTTTGTAGTACGCACCCCCTCGGAGGGGTGCGTCCGACGACCCTTATTCAGATAGGGAAAGTAGGTTGAGTGGCACCTTGTTTTAAAGGTCTTTCGAATACCTTTACAACTCTGTTAAAAGAAAATTTTTGTAACAATTAGTTTTCGAGATAATTTGAAGTTAAAATTGCCATGTTAATAATATATTAGACAGACCACTCGGTAACTTGTATGCCTAAATAAAAAAAAAATCGAGCAGTTCTTCTTATCAGTTTTTTGTTACATAAAATCCTTTTTTTAAAATCAATACCCACTCCTCTTCTTCCAGTTTTCATTAGTACATCGTTCGATTGTTTTGTTTAAACGGGTCGTGTATTGTTATTTGTTTAAAAATGCGTTACACAACTGCTAAAAAGGTTTCAGTTATTGCTTTATTTTTTGGCAACGACCAAAATGCCACTCAATTCACCTAAAATGTAAGGGTGGTAACCAACCCCATCCCCCGAAAAAATTTCCTCGTAATAAACAGATAATTATTACTTTTTTACGAAATCTTATGGATCCGTATTAGCAGGTTGTCATAAAAAGCAAAAATTTATTTTTTTTATGGAAGTTCTGAACGTAAATTGTACCTTGAAAACAATTTGATTTATTTTAAAAAGAGTTGAACTCAATAAAAATACCTTTAAATCTTCAAATTATCTCGAAAACTAATCGTTACAAAAATTTTCTTTTAACAGAGATGTAAAGGTATTCGAAAGACCTTTAAAGCAAAGTGCCACTCGACCTACTTTCCCCATCTAAATAAGGGTCATCGGACGCACCCCTCCGAGGGGGTGCGTACTACAACAAATCTGATTAGTCTAAGAGGTGTCCCCCTATAATTAGAAATCGATGAGTCCGAGCATTTTTTAAAATCTTACTTTTCATATTCAAAAACGGTTCTGTTAAATTTTCGTTGTTACACACTGTATATTGAGAAGAGCATAGGTCCAATCACAGTTCCCTATATATGACCATTAGATATTTTCAATGGATCATGCATCTTTCTGCAGTCTGTTATAAAAACTTAAAAACATTTCACTATGGAATTTATAAAACATAGAAATTTACATGATCATCAAAGAAGACAGGTCAATAATCTGTTAACAAAAAATCTCAATTCTGTATTTTCTGGAAAATCTCTATTTTAAAAAGGAATAACTGTATATAATGAATTACCAAATGACGTTTAACCATTTTCCAACAAAATTCAAAATCGCATTGAAGACCTATTTATTTTTAATAATTTATATAATTATATTTCTTTGCTATCAATTATACCATTTCCGAAATAGCTCAAATTGAAGTTATATATTTATGTATGATTATTTCTTGTATAAATAATTTCCTTACAAATAAAATGTATTTTTTCAGGAATAAATTGATAAATGAATAATAATTTGAAGTTTCAAGGTAAAAATGTGAAATGAGGCCATTAATTCGTTCCAATATAATTACTTGTATATTCTTTCATAATGATCGCATTAAATATAATGAACATATCAATAATACACCTAATAAAAATGGAAGTGTCACTGAAATTGAAATATCCAAAGCGAAATCATGAAAACATTGTATATTAAACATCATTCATTTACGACAAAGTCAAAATATATGTGGAGAAAGACGGTGAAGAAGTTAATTCTTAAAAACCCTAAACTATTTTTCCAGACTTTGTAGAACTAAAATCTGTGTTAAAAGAACTGCTGTTTAATGTTGGCTGTGTCTACTTTCAGACATTTATAGTTTTTTGGAAATAAATTAATGAATGAATAATAATTTGAAGTTTTGATGTAGAAATGTGAAGTGAGGCCATTAATTCGTTCCAATATTATTACTTGTATATTCTTTCATAATGATCGCATTAAATATAATGAACATATCAATAATACACCTAATAAAAATGAAACTGTCACTGAAAATGAAATATCCAAAGTGGAATCATGAAAAAATTGTGTATTTAACATCATTCATTTACGACAAAGTCAAAATATATGTGGAGAAAGACGGTGAAGAAGTTAATGAATAATAATTTGAAGTTTTAATGTAAAAATGTGAAATGAGGCCATTACTTCGTTCCAATGTAATTACTTGTATATTCTTTCAAAATGATCGCATTAAATATAATAAACATACCTGTAATACACGTAATGAAAATGAAACTGTTACTGAAAATGAAATATCCAAAGTAAAATCATGAAAAAATTGTATATTTAGCATGATTCATTTACGACAAAGTCAAAATATTTGTGGAGAAAGATGGTGAATAAATTAATTCTTGAAAACCACAGACTATTTTCCCAGAACTTTGTAGAACTGAAATCTGTGTTGAAAGAACTGCTATTTATTGTTGGCTGTGTCTACTTTCAGACGAATATGGTTTTTTCCATCTCAAATATTTGCCCTATTTTTTGTCTGTATGAAGTACTACATTATCACTCCACGGAATAATGAAAGTTAATGATGCCGGCATATACTTGGATCGAAGATTATTTTGATTAATCCTCCCAGATGAATAGATAACTTCTCTGAGATGAATAGATGAAAATGAATAGATAAATCCTCCAAGAAATAGCAATAATGATATCGATATCAACAAAACTCACCGTACTGCCTTTTCAATGTCATCAGCTATCATGCCGACATATTTCTCATCTTTCACGTGTCCTAGATATTTGTTGGATCCGAACTGGCACACATCTGTGATTGCTTCGGAAGTCCAAGGATCGGACTTTGATTCATATTGTTTTGCTATTTTACTTGTAACGGCAGCCACTTGTTTTGCCACTTCTTTATTATCCAACGGCAACTGAAGCCCAAAACAGGATTTTGTCAACTGGTGACACACAAATTGCAGATATTCTGATAAATATTTTTCCTGTGTGGAAATTGAATTACCATACATTTTTTTGTCGATTTACGTGAAACTGTTGATTAGGCTGAATCAGAGGCAACCTCATTGAATTGTTTCGAAATAATTTCTATTGTAAAAAACCGTAAAATTGATAATAGAAAGTTTCCACCAAAATGCAGCTTGTGGAGTAGGTACCTCAAGGATAATAATAATAATAATAATTTATTTAGCCACTGAGGTACAATATGTACATATGGTATGTCAACAGGTACTATTTATACTAAACATATACATTTAAAATATAGCAATAATTAGAGCTTTTTTGAATTCATCAGGAAAATATCCTTGGATGAATGATTGATTGAAAAGATAAGTGAGTGGGTCGATTATAGCATCTATTATGCTATTTTTCCTTCTGTTTCACTTTTTATATATTTCACCAAATGACTTTATTTGGTAAAGAAAGGTTGTGGTTTTCTATTTCTCCATATTTATACAAATAAAAAGTGGGAATCTTCAAAAAAATAGGAGGAAAGCAACAAATTTAGAAACAAACTGGAAGAAAAAGCCTTTTCGAAACAACTTGTTTCATAGAAACATTGAATTATACAAAAAACTACTTTTTCTTATACTCTAAACACTCTTTATAGAATTGAATAAGATATCATCCATAGGATTGCTACACAATACAGTACATGGAAGAGGTAAAATATCACATGCATGAAACACTATCAATCTCAACGGTCCATGCCTTATAGCGTCTTCACCATCAATCTGGATAACATTGAAAGATGAAGCACTAAATTCATTCATTGAATTATTGAATTAATTCTCCTCCAGCCTTATGTGTAAAAGCCAAATTCCTATGTCAAGAATTCGACAGACTTCGTTGGCAAAATGAGGAACTCAACTCTAGAGTTGATGGCTATTTTAGTCAGCTTCCTTGTTAACCAATGTCCCATTGATAAAATCTCTGAGGGGGCTAGCCTACTTGCCCATGCATTAAGTTCCCCATGGAGATGGAACAGAAGTAGCGTATAGCATTACTAGATGTAGTAATCGAACGATGTGGTGCTTGGGAAACTCACAAAGTGTTCGAAAACTCAGGCACACGGATAGGTACTTGAACGCATAATTGAACCACTATACTAGTTAACGGAACGAACTCGAAGAATATGTGGAATACAGCATCCAGAGAAACAACTAAAACATCTTCAAGGGACTTCGAGATCAAAAGATAACAGTGTACCCGAGATCAACAAAGCCATGAAATTGAAGAGTTCTGCGACTCAAACGGGGATAAGGCTTAATGGTTGCACGTGCGTATCTACCTTATATCCTTAGGGTTACAGAGAGAACTGGAACACTGTTGGAACACGGTTTTCAAACCCAACAAGGAGATATAACAAAGCTTCAGGTTACTTGAAGACAAACGGGATCTACAATCGGCAGCAGGGGTTTATCGCATATCGTGCATTTCTGGTTGACATCAAAAGATTTATGGAAACAAGTCTGATGGAGCATGAGAGGAACTGCAGACTAGGCCAAACGGACAAGTCAGCGGTGACAGAACATGCACTTAGCAAAGGAAATCACAGGATTCTGTTTGAAAACACGAAACTCATTGCCGCCGACCAGGGATACCATAGCCAAATGGTACGGGAGGCAATAGAGATCCACGAACACACGGATAATCTCAACATAAGAGAAGAAGCTATGAACCTCAATCGAATATGGAATCCCATTTCAAGAAGTTCAAGAATAGCAAAGAGCATGCCTTCAGGTAGAAAAGGGTCAACGAACTTTATTGACAATTTACCAAATCCAGTTACAGTTATTATCACACCAGGTTACCTGAATCAACACAAACACGCTTTACGTAATTTACCTTAGTTAGGTACAGGTATTAGCATTCGAAACTACCTGAGAAATAAACATAAATACTCGTTAGGCAACCGCAATATCCAGTCATCGGAGATAATAACTCAGGATGTATAAACCCTTGAAGGAGCTAACTACTCGCGCTAGCGAAACGTCAGGAAAAAAACTACGGCCTTCAAAACAGGAAAACAATGACACCAAAATCTGGAAAACTTCCAAACACAGAAAAGAAGCAATAACTTAAAAAAAAGTCCTCACGATGATATGTAGATCATGCAAATGAGTAACTTTGCTACACAATATAGTATATGAAAGAGGTAAAATTTCACTCACATGGAACACTGTCGTTCTCACTGGAGGACATCCAAAAGTTGATGTCTTAAACTATACCCCTACCATTTTGGACTTGATTTGATTATGATATAAATATTGAATATGTTTCATTTTGTTATGACGAAATGAAAAATGAAATGAAGAACGATTCGGAGAAATTGATCAATCAAGTTCATCAATGGAAACAACAACATTGATTTATTCTATGATGTTCGACATCGACTAAGTAGTAACAACAAAATTTTCAAGTTTTAGATTTCAGTCTCATTTATTCACAGTTTCGAATCATCTCTCCCAACGTAACCATAAAGTGAGTTCTGGTAAATGCCAGCCGGAAACAACTACCTCCCCGGCTTATACCACGATGGACATTATGTCCGACAGGCATGTATGCAAGTAGTAGATGTTTCTCGTTCATCCAGCGACAGAACTACACTGAAATTGATCGAGTATATCACCTACAGACCGGTGGGTTTAGCAGTACTACGTGGTAGTTGTATTTGCCTATACTCACTTTCCTCAATATATCCAAAGTTTTTAGATGATACTCTTTTAGAACATTTAGGGTAACATTTGGCAAATTGGGCAATTCGTCAGTCAACATATTAAGGGTTTGCAAAAGTTGATGTATTCTATTAGATGAAAGAAGGTTGAATACGGACAAATTCTGGGCTGCATTGAAATATTTTCCTTCTATATACTCTGTATTTGGTTTTCCATCCGGTTGTGATTGGCCAGGTAATTTTATCACCTGTAAATTCCAATAAAAATATAATAATAATCGATGAATTTCATTAGTTCGGACTTCCATTATCTGATATCATATAAAATGATTTGAAATCCCTGAAACAACTAAAAAAAAAAGAATTGAAAATGAAAAGCTGAAAATAACAATTATATCAAGCGAAACAACCTGAAATGAAATGATAGTGAAATAAAATACAAGTGAAAATAGAACAATTGAACAAAAAAAAGTTGAGAAATTCCAAGCCAAGTTACTTCACGACGTCTCGATTGTTGGTATCCACGATCGTTTTCGGGTGATGACTGGACTAATTTCTCCGAGAAATGACCATTTATGGGTCATTCGAGTACTTTCACTTATCCCCGCTTTCCTTTTTCCGTTTCACCGGTTTAGTGGGAGATGACCGTTTGGAGGAAGTTGGTCATTTTTCGCTTGATTATGGGTTTCCATATGTTGCGTATCTCTACGCTAGCTTGGCTGAATACATTGTTGGACAACATGTATGCCGCTTCTTTGAATTTTCTCCTAAACCAATGTTCTTTCCTGTGTTTGATCTCAGCTTGGGACCACTCGATGTTGTGTTGATGGATCCAAACATGGTCTGCCATTCCTGATTTGCTGGTTTTCCCTCGCTATGCGAACATTCAATTGCTTCTTAGTTTCACCGCTATAGGATTTTCCGCACTCACAAGGTATCCGGTGAATGCACTTCTTGGAACCGCAGTCCGCGTTCGGTGGCCTGGTTTTCGTGAGGATCTGAAGCAGGTTCTAATGTTGTACTTGGCCCTAATTCTTCTTATCCTTTCCGATAATCCTCTGATGTAGAGAAGTGCAAGCGCTGGTTGTGACGGCTTCTCTTCCTTCCGAGGATCCTTCTGACTTCCAGCCAAAGTCTGTACCACCATCGCTTTGGAGTAGCCATTCCGTTGAAGCCATACCAGCTGTTTTGAAGATACTATTTTAAATTCGAGTCGTAGATCCAAAGACCTTGTTGAGTTATAGTTTGGCCACTTGTGATATCGATCAAGAATAAAAACCCCAGGAATATGTTCTGAATTTTCTCTAGTTCTCTCATATATGTTATTTGGTACTCCACACACCGAATAATAAAAACAAACTCCAATTTCAGTCTTTCCAACAAAAAATAAAGTAATTTAATAATATCTACATTAGAGAATGAAGAAGTTTGTCTGATTACAAAAACCCAAAATTCGACTACCAGATTTCATAATATCTCGTATATGATCAACAAATGAAAATTGTGCATTATACCTCAATCCAAGATCTTCAGTTTCAGTTTGGATCAGATATAATAGGTAGCTAAAGCAGTCTTCTACAATTTTACTGATTGTAAAAAACAAAGGAAATTTCTCACCTCTGCGAATACTGTTACTGAATCTGTGAAGTGATACTCGTCAATTATTTCGATTCTGATATCTGAATTTTCGTTCAAGTGAAAGGGCATATCATATAGTGAAGTTCCTGTGGTGAGTAGAAATTCTGAAAAATAACATGATTAGAAACACATGCTCTTCTTTAAGACATACCTTTTGACATCACTGGGTGTGTTAGATACATTTTATTTTCAAATAATTCTCACGAAACAATCAGGGGCCGACAAATTTGATAATGGTGAAAGCGATTTAAAGCTTTTTCTTCTTCTCTAACGCGAAATCGAGGTCTTGCTGAAATATTGAATGGCCTTCTTCATATTATTGAGTCAATAATCGTTTACAAAAAGTTCAACCTTTGAATTTATCGGATATTATGAATTATGAGGTGCTTTCAGATGTCATACCAACCAGTGGTAGAACGAAACATACGCAGAATCGATGATTTCGACATTTAGAAAATGATAAAACAATATTCTGCAATATGAAAAAATTCTCCAGATATATAACTCTCTATTGGTAATGGGATGCTATTAGATAGATAGATATAGATAGATATATTTATTCGTGTATACAATAAAAACATGTCTACATTTGTCATTAAACACAAAACAAAACAAATGCTATAAAAAAAAAAAAAAAAATAAAATATATATAAAAAAAAATAATAAAAAATCAATACTCACACATACATGCACTTCTATGAAGCAAAAATTCTTCCACAGAATAGAAACAATGATAAACTAAATATTTGGGGAATTTCACTAGTTCGGACTTCCATTGTCTACTATATAAAATGATTTGAAATCCCTGAAACAAGTGAAAAAGAATAATTAAAAAAGAATAGTTGAAAATAACAATTATATCAAGCGAAACAACCTGAAATGAAATGATAGTGAAATAACCTACAAGTAAAAATATAATAATTGAATCAATAAAAATTAAAGGAATGAAAAAAGAAAATAATAAAAAAATAAAAAAGTGTAGAGATTCCAAGTCACGTTAGTTCACGACGTTTCGATTGTTGGTATCTACAATCGTCTTCGGGTGATGACTGGACTGATTCCTGATCACCCGAAGACGATTGTAGATACCAACAATCGAAACGTCGTGAACTAAGGTGACTTGGAATCTCTACACTTTTTTATTTTTTTATTATTTTCTTTTTTCATTCCTTTAATTTTTATTTATTCAATTATTATATTTTTACTTGTAGGTTATTTCACTATCATTTCATTTCAGGTTTATTGTTGCTTAATATAATTGTTATTTTCAACTATTCTTTTATAATTATTCTTTTTTACTTGTTTCAGGGATTTCAAATCATTTTATATAGTAGACAATGGAAGTCCGAACTAGTGAAATTCATCACGAAACATTGTCAATCACCTTCAAACAAACGTTAAATATTTGGGCATTTGATTTTTAAATGTTTTTAAAGTAATGAAATTTTTATGTTTTTGTGGAAGGGCGTTAAACATTTTAAAACCTAAATACAAATAAGAATTATGAGATTTGGTTAGTCTGAAGAGTGGAAGACGCAGATCACTACCACCTCTGGTACTGTACCTATGTACATGGCAGTTTGCGGTTACCTCATTCGCCAAAATTTTGCTCCCAACATAAAGGAGGCACTCCAATATATAACAATAAGGCAGCGGCATGATGTTAAATTTTTAAAAAAGGGGCTTACAATAAGCGTCATACTCACTAGAAGAAATTATTCTAATGACTTTTTTTGTGCTATGAATATTTGATTGGCATGAGTCGCACTTCCCCAAATAATCAAACCATAAGTCATTATACCGTGGAATATAGCAAAGTACGCTATTTTCAAATAATCAAAGGACAGCTGATATTTCAATTGACGCAACGCATAAGAAGCTTTGGCCAGACGTTATGCTAGATCCTGAATGTGAAATGAAAAATTTAGTTGAGAGTCTACATGAAGGCCCAAGAGTTAAACTCTATCCTCAGATTTTTCCGCATGGTTCAAACTGAGATGCTGCGTTTTACTTTCATTTAAGAAAAGGAAATTACATCGAAACCAAACTTTAGCTTTCTGTTCTGAACAATTAAGGGTCAGTAAGGCACTGTTATTATTTAAATTTTTCACAAGTGTGGAGTCATCTGCATGAGTTGATACTCATACATAAATCATTGAAATATATAATAAATAGCAAGGGTCCTAAAACGGAGCCCTGTGGAACACCAAATATAACTGGGTACTCAGCAGATCTCCGAGCGGAGACACTCACAAAATACTTTCGTTCCTCCAAATATGACGAAAAGAGCTTCAAAGCCACGCCTCTAACCCCATATCTTGTGCTGCGATGTCCTTAATTATTAGTTTTATAGCAGTGGCATGCAATCCATAAAAGTCAGCAGCTTTTGAATTTTTCAAGTTGGTGACAATTCTCAGAATTTCCATATCATCAGTGGGATGCAACCAAAAGGTTGAAGTATTGAGAGGAATTTTCATAATTAAAATTTCAAGATGACTGTGATTGAAGTCTGTTATAGTTTTCATCAAATTATCTACATAGTCATCAAAAAAGCTGGCAAAATCGTCAGGTAATATGTTATTCTTGTTGACATTATTGTTTTTTCCGCGCTGTTTATTAATTATTTGCCAGGAAGCCCTCTGTTTATTATCAGAATCCGACATTATTTTGTCATTTAACAAGATTTTTGTTTTATCAATAAGTATTCTATATTCCTTCTTTAGTTTATTGAGAAGTGCAAAATTATCCTTATTATTGCTGCTAGTAACGTATGTCGGATAGATCGGTAGTATATAATTCAACTTATGATTTTTGTTCCAAACCATACATTGGTCGAATAGGGAGAACTTTTTTGCAAAGAATAAACGAACATAGAAGTTTTGTGGACTGTGAAGTCACCATTTGCAAACTATCTTCTGGCAAAGATATATGAGTGACCATTAAAAAACTAGGTTTGTTGAGTTATGCAGTGTAACAAATTAGTGACTTGATCGTTTCCGAAAGTGATATGAAATGGATTTTATGTTAAATATGATAATATATGTTTTTCCATTAATCAGGTGTCGCAGCCCTACAAACGACCAAAATGGCTTATTGAAGAAAGACGCGGGACGTTCAGAATAAAAACGTGTAGACAGTCAGAAAAAAAATAGGTTGTTCAGATACTTTCCGATTGAGTAGAAATGACACAGAAAATACTACACGGAAATTAACAGACACATTTCGAAATGATCGATATAATCGATATAACAATTTTTGGTTTGTTTTTGATTGTTAATAACTGGGGAACTTCATTTCCAATTATTGCACTCAAAAAATATGGAAAAATGTTGAACGAAAGTCATTGTTTGTGGAGGAAAATCAGTTTTTCATCGAAGAAGTTGAGAAATAAATAATCAACCAAGGAAGAACTGCATATATATTTGAATTTTTTGTGCATTTCTGAAGACGGAGGCAGATTTTGACCTCCCAAACGTTAAGATAAGTATTGTATTATTTCTTATTATTTTCTTTGATAGGCAACATTATTAAATACGACAGGTTACTAATAAAAAGAACATTCAATTTGTGAAAAATACAGATTTTACGAAGTAACTTATCGGGGTGAACTAAAAAGTTTGCTTTTTCTACACTTGTATAAAGTTTTCCATTTTGATTATCACATTTTTCAAATTGTGGGAGGTAAAAATATTCAAAAAAGTCGATGAAACAATGGAAAAATGTATCTTGGAAATTTAATACATCGACAATGAGACATCAACAGAAGTAATTGGGTCTTTTTTTCAGAAGCATTCACTTCAATAGTTACTTTACCTACGTCATCAGATACAAGATAAATTTTGTACGTGTAACTCCCTGGTTCCTGACCGCAGATAACATGGAAATCAGTTACCAAGGCTGTGCCAATGTCGGGATTCAACTGACAATATCTCAATTTTGGACCTTTGTGGGTTAGTAGATCTACAAAGACCCCATCTGATGGATCTCCTGAAATCATTAAAAATCTCAGTTTACAAAACATGTCTATTGTTCATTCGACCAGTTATTCAATCGATTAAATAATATGTCCGAAGAGAAGTATCATGTACAGGGTGTATCAAACTAGAGAACTGATGGTACATCAACGATTTTCAATAAAAATGTAAAATACTATCTGCAATCGGTACTACCATCTCAAATCTGAATAACTGAAAAGGAATTCATTATCAAAGTTATTGACTTCCATTGTAATCGGTGAAAAATGGTCCGAAGGATGGAAAAATCATTTTTTGTTTATGAAAACTCAGCACACTGTTTCTTGGGAAATTGAATTAGCAAGTCAGGAAATTTTATTTTCATAAAATTTGACAAATAATTGAATTCATGATATAACCTAATCATGATGTCGGAATGCGCATCTATCTATATATTGAAAATCAAAGGCTAGTTGAGAATATACTAATTGATATTGTGTCAGTTTCATAAGGTGAAACTATTTTTCGAAAAGAAAAAATAATCATATGGTCAATTTTGCCAATTTTTCCTAAAATTTTTGAGAAAGTCAGGCATTCAGATTATCTGATTATCCGATATTCGAAACTAATGTGTAGTTTACTACGGTATAGTATACTACAGTATAATATACTACAGTATAGTATACTACAGAAGTAAAATTTTCCACCTCAAAAAAGAAGCGGCCTAGAAGAGCACCACTAACTGATATTCCCGAGTATGAGTATTCCAATATTAGACGGATTATTTACGACTTTCATAAGACGAAAGAGTGTCGTATTATGACAAAAAAGTTCCAACACAAAATTAATGACGTTTTGGGGTTTGTGGCTTTCAAAACATCTCTTCGTAAAATTTCATAGAAAGTAGGTTTCAAATGAAGGACTGAAAATAATAGAAAAAGTTTAATAGAGAAAATGGACATTAGGACATTGAGGATCAAGTATTTACAAAAAATCAATTATTTACGTGGCCAACAGCGACCAATTGTGTTTCTCAATGAAACATACCTCCATAGTGGACATATATCTTCCAAGAACTGGACGGATGAACCGAAGGGTTATTTAAAAATACTGCGTAGGGAGCAATACTCATTATTATCGTCCATGCAGGAGGTGACATGGGCTTTATACCTAATTGTCGGCTCATATTTGAATCAGACACAACATCAAGAGATTATCAATCAGAAATAAATTCTGAAAATTATGGTGAATGGTTACAAGAAAAGTTAATCCTAAATTTACCTGTGAATTCGGTAGCCGTGACCGATAATGCTCCATAACATCCTACTTAAATTATTCCAGCCCCCACCACAATCTTTAGGAAGGCTGACATGGTAAAGTGGCTGCAGGAAAAAAGCATTATGTTCACCCTTAACATGATCAAACCCGAATTATACGAGTTGATCAAGGTAAATGAAAAGTATCATATTGGATACGAATTTGATGAGGTTCGGCTTGAACACGGACATAAAGTTTTGCGACTTCCACCCTTCCATCTGGATTTGAACCCCATTGAACTCATTCGGGCTACTGTCAAAAACAACGTGTCCTAAGAGAATGTAACTCTCAAGTTGAAGGATGTGAGGAAACTGGCGGTGCACGAGTTTGATTAAATCTCTTCCGAGGGGTGACAAAAATGTTGACGATATGTATTAGATATAGAGCGTAAATATTGGGAAAATGAAACATTCAAAGACGTTCGAACAGAAGTAAATCCAGTGATTATTACTGAATAAAAAATGAAAAGAAATTACAATTAAGTCATGTTCCATTTGATACCCTAATTAAAACTAATTATAGGTACGACATTGATCGGCAAAGGGCTTATCATAATCCAGTAGTAATTTAGTTGGGAGAGCCTAAACCTGCGCGATCGCTCACCATCAGCCGTGGCGTGTACTGTACTCTGTTTAAAAAATAGGTGCATTTTCATTTTTCTCAAAAAATATTTAATAATTCTTCAATTTTCATTTTGTCCCCTTCAAAGTAGCCCCTCTCAAATATGATATACTTGCGCCACGCAAAATATGAGCTGCAAGTCTAATTGCAATCTATTGATTGATTTGAATAAAACGCAAATAGGATGAATGAAAAACAGTAACCCATATCTAAAACTTCAATTTCGATAATAACAAAAATAATTTTTAATTTCGTAGCAAACTCGAATGACTCAATTTCACGACTTAAAAAAATTGATTCAGTTACTCCATTAAAAAAAAATGAGTAAAAGTGAAGCTAGACAAGAGTTTGAAGCTGGAAAACCATATCATTATATTCCACCAGAACAACTTTATTGAATATTTTTCTGTTTTCTGAAATTTAAGAGTGTCTCACTCGTGGATCAATTTCTAAGTTTTGATCAACTGAAGGAAAAAATTTTTTGTTTAAATTCGATATACAATATCTGTGTTTCTAATGATTCAGAACTTACAGCATTGATATTCACTGTATTTCTCGAACATATACCCCATTGCTCCTCTGATTCTTAGATTTCTGGGCGTTGGTAGAAAAAAAAAGAAATATTCTTACCTTTCAGTTTGTATCCGACTTTATACTTTTTATCTGGTTCTAACACATCCGCCTTGATGGTGAATTGTTTGCCTTCTCTTCCAGAAGTGTTTGTCTTATAATCAAAGTCCAGAATATCAACTGTCCAGAAGAATGTTGCATTTTCGTTCATTCGTTCGCAATTAGCTTCACACATGGCCTCGAAAACTATTTTTTTCTCTACGTCACATATTGGTCTGCAGTTTTCCAAGAAACTGAAATATCATGGGCTGTTAATTATCGATATTATTCAATTTAAAGTTCAAAACTTATTCATGCGATTTTTCGACAAGATATTTGGAAAAGTCACGGTGTTTAATAATAATAATGATCTTTATAAATTCCAACCACACACACACACATTTTGTTTTATATTTCGTTTTCGAACTCTCTGGAAGATCATTATATATTTTGACGCTCCAATTAAATACTGATTTTTTTCCAAATTTTGAGTGATATGATTTAACTAGTAGTTGTTTTGTTCGTTTTGTATTATAATAATGAATGGTAATTATTCAATTGTAGTTCAAATTCAAATATTTGTGATTTTTTCAAACAAAATGAATGAAACAACAAATTTTCAGTTGATGAACGGAATGAATATCTAACAGATCAGTTGGTATATATAAATTTGACGTAGATTCAAAATATGAGATTAGATTAGATTAGATTTTTTTATTGGTCAAGTTATTACACCTCATTGCTATGACAAGTCAATAATGTATAAAATAAATGTAAATTACAATTAAAATCACTGAAAAGGAGTAGGTAGTTCATGAAAATTGTATATGATAGAAGCACAAAATAAAGTAAATAAATATATAAATGTTGGGTAATATAAAAATGTAAAAATAAAGATACATGGAGACAGTACCTACATTGACGATAGTCACTCTGTAAAGCTGAAGTCAAACACATCATAGTAAGTAAGCATTCTCTGAGAGATGTTTTTTCAGTTTCCGTTTGAAATTAGCGAGGGTTGCATTTTTCATTGATTGGGGCAGTGAGTTGTACAATGATATGTATGAGTTACATCTCCTTGTTATTTCTAGTCCTTGGTTTGGTGCTCTAATTCCTAGTATTAAACGAATGGTTGTTACCGTTTGTAGTGAACTTTTGTAAATTTTCTTGAATGTGTATCAAATTGCAGTATATTACACATGATGGCAGAGTTGATATATTGAACTTAATGAACCAATCTTTACAGCTCTCCATTTGATCTATTCCAGCTTAAGCTCTGATTGCTCTTTTTTGAATTTTAAATGTTCTCGAGATATGAACAGATGTGCCCCAGTTTATCAATCCATAAATAAAGGAACTATGAAACATTGCATGATAAGCGGTATGGGTAGCTTCATTACCGACTTTATTTTTTATCTGCCTGATTGCATGATATATTTTTTGCTAGTTTGTCAATATGGGGTTTCTAAGTTAACTTTGAATCAATGGTAATACCAAGACATTTCACATTATTTGAGAGATTATGGGACAGCGAGAACATAACTGTTTGTGTGTTGTTTTTATTCACACATAGGCTATTTACATTAAACCAGTCTGTAGCTTCTTGAATAACTCGCTTTTCTAATTCTGATGACTCTTCAATATTTTTTTGCGAATGGCGAAGGAAGTGTCATCGGCGAATAGCATTGTGAACATTGTCATTGAATTTGGCAGGTCATTAATATAAATCAAGAAAAGTAGTGGCCCAAGCACACTACCTTGTGGAACACCATTGCAATTTTTGCAATTACTGGAAGTAGTGCAATTGATATGTAGTTTGAAGGAAGATTGATATCACCACTTTTAAAGACCGGAATTATCTTTGCAATTTTAAGTTTTGATGGAAATACACCAGATTTCAGAATCAAGTTGACAATACATGTAATTGGTCGATACATTTCGATAGATTTTCCTTGTACATAACCACTGAGTGATTGTTAATATCAAGCGAGCCCGAGTTTTTTAGGGATCTGATGACTTCATTCACCTCTGCAGTATCAGTTTGATAGAAATGCATCGAGTTATCAGCATTGCATGGAACTTGGTGGAGATAGTTTGTGAATGAATTATTGGGTGTGCTCATGTCATTATTCATATCCAGAGCTACATTTATAAAAAAGTCATTGAACTGCTCTGATGTAGGACAAGAAGAGCTATTCGTGTGAGGAAGCTATTGTATACGGAAACAAGTGTCGCGGTTTTTGTAAAACCCTTTATAGTGAAAATCATACAATAAACTGTATTAATTAGTTTCAATTTTATTTCATTTTGTAATCTCCTCAGTGAATTTATCATTAATAAATTAGCCGCTCCCCAAATTTGAATTAAATATTGTAGATTCGAATATACCAAACAGAAATATATACATTTAAGATATTTCAAAGGAATGAAATTTCTTACCCTGAATAATATTCCTAAAATGGGTGCGATTATTTTTTGAATATGAGTATTCCTTTCCAACAGAGGCTTTTATCACTATACAGTCTTAAATATTTTGGTATTTTGACAATAATTGATAATTTGTTGTTGAAAGCCAAAATTTCTTTGTTCATTATTTTGCTCTTGGTTATCGCCATTGAAGAAGCCTTTCAATTCGAACTCAATTCATGATAATTTAACCAAGAAGTCAAATCATCTAAAAGAACAATTCGTTCAGGCCAGTCTCAACTCCCTACACTGTAGGTCAATGGACTGACACCTATCAGATAACAACTACTCCCCTGGCTAATACCATGAAGGGCTTTGGATTATATCCGACAGGTGTCAGTGCAGGATTCTTCACTGAAGTTATTCCTGCATATGCTGTTGGCGATACATCTGCCGCAATAGATTTTCAATTATTGGAACACACTTGCAGACCGGTTTCGGGCTGTTTGGCCACTCGGCAGTCCAAGGTAGTGTATATCATCAACATAAAGTCGATAATTTCTGATAATTGAAAATCAAATTCCTTCAGAGTATCATTCATCGAACTAAGCTGAAGCATACAACAAACAACAGGTTTGTCGTCGCTCCATCTGCCTGTGAACGAGATAACCAACTGCATATACGAAATTTGCCCAATTCCCCGTATGAGGAAAGGAAACTTTTCACATATGTGGAAAGTAACCAAGAAGTGTTTTTATGCATGTTATTTTAAATTTCTTCAGTATCACTAGTGATGTTGTGTCATCTGCGTATAACAATAATCAACAATAATTTGAAACAGAATTTATGTAGATTAAAAAAACTGAACCCAAAATAGACCCTTGTGGAACTCCGCAAGTGATATTTTTTATATATATCTCATTTCCCAAAAGCAATGGCCCAACACTAGATGAAAATTTGTCTTCGGGTCCCGATATTGACTGCACAGTAAATAAGTGACAAGGAATTTTTCAAAGCTCCAAAAGCCACTAACGAACGAAGTGATAATAATAGATGTTATTGAAAAAACTAAGTAAATAAAATGAAAACATTCCCATATATTTTTTCGTATCAAGATGGAGTAGTGGAAAGCCAAAAACTCTTTCCTCCAAAAATATAAACCTATCAAATAGTAGGATTTTATTTCCGATACAAGAAAAAATAGGGCAGTGCTATCTTACCTATCTTAACTACGGTTCAGAAATCTGAGAACACAAAATGAATATTAAGAAGATTGTTGGACGGCTGAGAAGTCGGCTGATTTTCTGCTTGAATTTATTGATTAGATAATATAAATCAGTTCCATGCGAAACAGCATGTGTAATTAATAATAACCTTCCAAAATGGAAATTCAAAGACGAAGACACCATGAAAAAACTGAAGAAAAGGGGACAAACAACAATTCTTGGAGGGAATCATAGTACTGCTGAATTTAATAATTGGATGGCAATCAAACTACATGTTGAAAATCAATTTATAACGGGATGGCAAAGAATCTGGGATACTACAGATAGAGGAAGATTCACCTACGAGCATATTCCAAAGAATAAATCAAGGTTGAGAAAAGGCACCACAGTTTAAGCAGAAAAGTAACTTCATTCCTGAGCAGCCATGGAAAATTTGGTGTCCACCTATTTGGGACTGGAAAGATACATATTCCAGACTGTTACATGATATGTGAAACAGCAGTTTGGTCAAAGCCCAGACTAACAACCTCCAAGAGGAAATAGTTTCATTTGCGTGCTTTGAAACAGCTTGAAAGCTAGTCATCATAGGATGCATAACTCTAAGATTGTAGATAATTTCGTTGGTCAATTGAAATCCATGATGAAATGTACACACTGTGGACACTCATCAGTGACCTTTGATCCTTTCTGGGATTTGTCCTTCTTCATACCACAAAGAATCAACCAATTGAGTTTGTGGCAATGCTTGGATTCGTTGACAAGAGGAGAAACTTTGGATGGAAATGAAAAACCGATGTGTTCAAAATGCAAGGAAACGAGAAAAAGCACAAAGTCCATATCGATCCACAAGTTTCCCCATATTTTAGTAATACATTTAAAAAGGGGCAAATTGAATGATATCATCGAATTTCCTTTAGAAGGATTGGATATGGACAATTTCGCAGCAGGAAATGTTGCTACTTGTTATATAATCTATATGCACTTTTAAATCACAGTGGGACTACTAACAGAGGACATTATACAGCATACTGCAGCACCCGTATACTGGCGCGTGACACAAATACAACTATTCACACGTGTCACCAATTTTACTAAAATCGCTTGCGGGTGGAGAAGCATACGTCGTGCTCTTGGATGGAACAAAATCGCATCTTCAAGATAACCGAGGGAAAGTTTCTTTGTGCAATTATTATTTAGTTTTTGTTGAGTTCTTATATGTATATGTACCTGTTTCGTCAATATACTCATTCAAATTTTAAAAAAAAAGTTATCATCGGTTACACAAAGTTTGTGATGTGTAAGAGAAAGAAATTGTTCACAGAAATGAAACGAACCAAAGATGTCACAGACACCATCAGTGATGATGTCTGTCGCAATAGCGGACGAAACGTTGGTACTTTAGGTTCCATCAGACCATGGTCTACCAGCTCGGATTTTATTCTCTTATATCGTACTGAGTATTTAATTATATTTCACTTAATTCTTATTAGCTCAACGCGAACTGTAGGTTATAGTGCAACGGAAACTACAAAGTATTACTGCATATTGAAAAGCATCCCTCCTCTTCCTCTCGGTTCAACAATTTGGCTTGTTTTCCGCCGGGCTGAGTTTTTGTTTCCAACAGATAATCTAAAGTTATATATCAATCCCTCAACAGCATACTCGTCTGGAATGGTTGAAGTGGCACCTGGAAGGGAAGTGAAAAATTCAAGAATATTATCAGTGATGATTTTTTACCACTGCCAAGGTTCTGTCTGCATGAGTCAGGCCGGTTCCTTCTTGAAGTCTTACATCTCCATTCGTAGTGTGAAGTTTCAGTATGGTTAGGGGGAACATTTGGATCAATCGAGTCTCTGCTATCGAGTATAAACTCTTCGTCAGTATTCATGGAAACTTTTTCACCATCTTCTTTTACTGGTATTGATTGTTCTGGTCTAATCTCGAAAAAACACTTGAACGAGAGATTATATGAAAACAAAATCTTATAGAAAAGTTCAACACTATGTATCTTAGAAATTATGAATTTCCGGACTTATGTTACTCCGGAATACTTCCTTACATTTTTCACCGCAATAACACCCTGTATATACAGTGTGACACACTCAAGATGAAGACATTCCTGCATGATTTTTGATATAGGTGTAGACCTTCAGGGGCTGCTCTTTTCTCAATACTTAGCCCGAGTTATCGCTTAGAACACAGCCATATTCAAGTCCAATTTTTAGTTGATGATTGTTATCGTCCAACCCGTGTTAGGAATCACACGTTAAAAGGTAAGACCTCGTTAATCCTTAGCTCGCACAAGTTTCGACTTCTGAGGGTTGTCGTTCGTAGGGGCGCGACAGCTGGTTAACGGAAAAAACAGATTTTAACAGATTTTAACAGATTCCGAATAAAAATAAATGATAAAATAATCAAAATAAATGAAATAAATGTATTGAGAAAACTAAAATTAAAAATTATTATTTTATCAAACGTAAGTTAATACAGGTCTTCATCCTGTGTCACACTGTATGACTGAAGAGAATGTTCAGAGATGAAATTGAGTCTCAATAGGGAGATCAGATGATGCAAGAACCACACTAAAATTTCAATAAAAAAGAAAAATATTATTAACAAATAGGAATGCATCGGATGTCTGCCATTGAGGATGACAGTGTTTCATGTGAGTGAAATTTTACCTCTTTCATATATTATACTGTGTAGTAATCCTGTGAATGACATCTGATTCAATTACATAACGAATGTTTTAAGTACAAACTAGATTTGAAAAGAAAGTTTCTGTGTCCTGAATACTTTCCCAATCAGAAAAGACCCTTCAAAGAAAAGAGCTTCATTTAAGTTTTATTAGGGAGGCACATGATCCAAGGACCACACCAAAATTTTAACAAAAAAAAACAACAACAAATAAAAAAAAAATCACTAACTTATATACCGTGCATTTCTTTTTTGTCCCCTCCTTTTATTTTTTGAACGGGTCAACGCAAAAAATTGAAATTTGTGATAATGAAATCAATGCATGAATACTTTATTTTGAAGTGAGATTAACAGATGAAACTTTCAAGGGTGGCGACTGGGATATCTGGGAAAAAAAATTAAATAGAAAGGGGGCGCTTGTGACACGCCATTTTGAAGCTCCTGACAAATACTTCACAACCCTAGAGAATATGAAGTCAATTTCTTCACCTACTACAAAATGGCGAAACATTTAATCCGATATTTCACGTCGAACATTTTTGAACACAGTAACGTCAGCATCTCGACAAATATTCATTATTCTCTGCCGTATATCCAATATTGAAGCAGATTCAGTTCCGTACACCTTTTACTGCAAATAGCTCCATAAAAAAAGTCTGAAGGTGTCAAATCTGGCGAGCAGGCTGGCCATTCTGTAGGACCTCGACGGCCAATCCAACAACCGGGAAAAGTAGCAAAGAGTTTCCTACTTGTCTGGAGTAATGTGGTGGTGCTCCATCTTGTTGGAATACAATATCCATATCGAACTCATAAGTATCCGCTTCGACGATTTCAGTGATGAGAGGGTCAACAGTAGTTTCCAGCATATTCAAATACAGTTCTTCTGTTGAATTTTGATCAATAAATAGAGGTCCTACAATATGGTTTCCCAATATTCCTGCCCAAACGTTATTTTTTTCTGGATATTGGGAGAACCGAAAACTAAATGAAAATACTCTAACTGAACAATGATGTTCATTTTTTTACTGACATTTTTTGTCGATTTTATAAACAAAAAATAACTTTACAAACCTTATCGGATTGTTGGAATTGCCATATGGTAAATAAAAAGGAATATTTCTAGAAATATCGATATTATTGTGTTTGTCTTAAGGAAATTATTAAATGTTCCGCCATTTTGTAGTACGTGGAGATATTGATATTGTAGGGTTGTGCATATTCCTTAGGAGCTTCAAAATGATGTATCATTAGACCTCCCTTTTCTTTCAACTTTTTTTTCCCAGATGTCGCCCAGTCGCCATCTTGAAAGTTTCATTTGTCAATGTCACTTCAAAATGAAGTATTCATGCATTGATTTCATTATACCAAATTTCAATTCTTTGAGTTGACACGTTCAAAAAATAAAAAGGGGAGGACATTAAAGAAATGCACTGTATGTTTGTTCCTTATGAAAAATATTCTGAAACATTATTGATCTCTTCATATTATTTTTTTTTTCGTAGTCAATTCTTCGATTCCAACTCATGCCTATAAATCATGAAGTCAAAAAAATTTCCCTCAAAAATATATATAACTTTTTTAAAAATCTCAAAATCTTTGAAAAATAATTTTGTTCAAATTAAAAATGAATTTTTTTCTTTGAAATTTCTAGGAGTTATTTAGCGTCGCTAGTAGGAAGAGAATACGAGATGGCTGACAAAACTGTATGTATTGGTTTGAGAAGAAAATGGAGAGGAGTGGGGGAATATTGAAAATGATTAAACGTTTTGTTTCTTCCGAATAAAAAGTTAGTATGCTAAAATATTCGAGACCGGTGGCATTTGGACTTTTCAAACCCAGAACACGACTAAATAGAGTATTTTACCTGTTTGGAAAGGAAATCTTTAATGCCGTTTTCATTATATTCTTCAACATACAAAAGCGCCTGATAACTTCCTTTTCCAAGAGAAAAAGGTTCAATGACTAACGTTTCTTCATTCTGAAAATGTTGTAGGTTTTGTACTGTTCCGTCTGAAAACAAAATAATTATAAATGGATTCATTAAAACTGCAACATTTTTCTCGACGCGCGTTTTACCAACCAACGCCAGAAGTTTTAGTTCTATGTTTCACATATTTTGGTGTTGATTAGTTTTTGAATCTGCTTTTTATTTTTCACCGAACACAAAATATACAAGGCAACAATATACTCTAGATACAATACAAAGAACAGAAAGCATGGAATTGTGAAAAGCTATAGTGAATTTCGGTGAATGAACTATAACATTACGGAAAAATGATTTGGATTATTGCAAGTGACTGCAACCTCCAGAATATTCACTCATATACAAAGAGCTTGTGAAACTGTCCATAGAAACATTTTTTTGGAAATGAGATTCAAAAAGTTATGAGTTGGTTTGAATCCTTTATCGAGAATAGACTAGACTGCAAGCCACTAAATTTAATGATTAAATATTAAGTGAGTTTGTTTGAAGGTGGTTGACAATGTTTCGTGGTGTATCTCATCAGTTCGGACTTTCATTGTCTAATATAATACAAATTGATTTGAATTCCCTGAAAAAAATTAAAACGATTAGCCCAAAATAACAATTTTATTAAACGAAAAACTGAAATTACAAATAGATAAAATACAAGCAACAACCAAGAAAATAAAAAATTCAAATATTGAGAAAAGCTGAAAATAAAAAAAATAGTATTAACAAAAATTAAAAAAATAAAAATAAAAAAATTAAAAGATACCACACCAAGTTACGTCACGACGTTTCGATTGTTAGTATCCACAATCGTCTTCGGGTGATAACTGGACTTATTCCTTCGAGATCTGACTATTTATAGGTCATTCGAGTGCTTTCACCTATCCCCTCTTCCCTCTTTCCGCTCCATTGGTTTTGGGGGGAGATGACCGTTTGGCGGGAGTTGGTCGTTTTTCGCTTGATTAGAGGTTTCCATATGTTATACATGACATATATGACATATTCCATATGTTATATTAGACAAGGGAAAACCGAACTGATGAGATACATCTCAAGTGAGATTTTAATAACACATGGTTTTCCACAAGGATCTGTTTTGGCGCCACTACTGTTCATTCTATATGTGAATAATAAAACTATTTGTAGTTGACACGATTTTTATTTTCTGTGGCTAAAATTCTTGAGTATCAAATTTATCAAAAACTGTTATATTTCAATAAGTTGAAACTGAAATCATCTAAAGGAACAATTCGTTCAGGCCAGTCTCAACTCCCTATCAGCCTAGTTTGAAGAATGATATTCTGAAGGAATTCGATTTTCAATTATCGAAAATCATCGACTTTTTGTTGATGATAGACACTACCTTGTACTGACGAGTGGCCAAACAGCCCGAAACCAGTCTGCAAGTGTGTTCCAATAATTGAAAATCTATCCAAATACTAATGAGCTTCATCAATTAATGTTTCCTGAAAATATTCAAACACTTACTCTTTAGGTGCATGGGAATTTTATTGTAAATCTTTATTCCATTGTATATCAACCATCGTCGTTGAGAGCAGGAGATCTGATAAAGCTAGCTTGGCGTGTAATATAGTGCAGCTTGTTTGTATCATCAAGAGCGGACACATTTTTATGAATCAGACTTGCTGTTTCAAGGGTGCTTCATGCTTTTGCTACATAGTCCCCCAGAAGGCAATGCCACATCTTATATGTGCATCTACAAAGGCAAAGTAAGCAGATCTTGCAAAGGTTCTATCTAGTTCTCTTGAAACTGACTTGACAACAAAACAGCCAGATGTGAGTTTTTTATTCAGCTCAATAATATGATCCTAGAATTTAAGTTTATTATCTATGTGAAGTCCTAATAATTTAGAGGACTGTATCACGACGAGATTGTTGTTAAGCTGTGGGAGTTCATATTTGATGGTGAGGAAATGAGTTTTATTGAAGTTTAATGAAAGCTTATTTGAGTCGCACTAGCTCTTCATTTTTTCCATATCTTCAGTAGCATCTTGAGCTAGTTTTGTAGGATCTTTTCCCTGCCACAGCAACGTGGTGTCATCTGTGAATGATGTGATGCTAGCAGTTGATCCCATTTGTGTTATTTCATTAATTTACAACAAAAACAAGATGGTCCTAAGATGAAACCTAGAGGTATACCTGCTTTAATTTCTTCCATACTGGAGTCTGTCGAAAGTCTTACAAATTGTTTTCGATACAATAAGTATGATTTGAACCATCTAATGCGTGTGTACTCGAAACTATATCGTTTCAGTCAAAGTCGAAGAAAAAATCGCAAAATACCGCTGCTGTATAGGCACCAGAGTTTATATCACTTATAGAGTAAGTTGAAAATTGTATTACTGGTACTTTTGTTATTTTGAACACCGTACCGCTGTGGACTTGATAAGTTATTACTATAGACAAAGTACATTAGCCGCTTCTAGGCCTGTAGTTTATTGGATCATCTATGAAATCACCTGCTTTGAAGAGCGGATCAACCACAAAAGATTTCAGAAACTCTGGAAATGAGCCATTCACAAAAAAATCAGTTATCAATGAGACAATAACATTCAAAACACAATTTGGCAGTGTCTCAAAGATTTTGACAAACATTGCATCAGTACCTGAGGTTCTCCCATTTCTAATTTAGGTCAGTGGGGATTGAATCCAATGGTTGTTCTCTTTGCGGTGATTGAACAATATCCCACAAACTATTAGTCTGATAGCTGTGAAATTTATACACGTGTTTTTGGAGGTTAAGGTTGTGACCTTATCTTTTATGTAATACAAAAATTATAATAGATTTACTCGAAAGATAGGAACAATGCGTACGGCATTGCGCCTATCTTTCTAATGTAATAACTAAATAATGATCGTAAGTAAAAGTATGCTTTCATTTACCTAAGGATAGTCCAGGTATAAATATCAGGAAAAGTATTACTTATAGGATTCATGTCATAGAAAAAAATGATTATTAGGAATGGTGTAAAAATTACCTCACCAGAGTATACTCAGTTCAGGTTTACATTATGAATGGATCAACTCAAAATTCAATAATTGTATTTTAATGAAACAGTATTTCTAATGCAAAAAGTAGTTATTTTCGGAAAAATGAGTCAAGTGTAGGTGATATTTGCCTGTTAGTTTCTCGGCGAGCTGTAGCAAAAGTGCAACCTTTTATGGAATTCTCAAAATCTATATATGAAACTTTATCCGAAACAATATCGTTCAAATTCTTGAAATTGGACCACACGGCTCACCACTAAACAAATCCCTTCTCGAGATTCTCGTTCATCACTCCGTTTTCCAAAAATGCCACAACTCCTTGACGTTCTCATGATCGAGGATCACCTACAGCGCAAGTCTATTCTGAGGAATTCACCCAAATAATTTTGGTAACACCTCATTCCTGACTTTCGGTTTGATGAAAATAGAAAATCTACCTCGAAAGGATACGAGTGAGTCGGTCCTATTGGAAAGAAAAACTTATCAATCTGTACCAGAAACTAATTATCATATGTGTATTGAGAAGTGAAAATCTTAGCGAGGCAAAAGGTGTAAATTGGATTGTCTACACCTCAGGAAACTTTCTTTAAAATCAATTAGGATTACCTTTGGTGAAATAAAAATTAAATGAAAAGTACAGTAGGTTATTATAAACGCTACAAGGTGTCTAGTTCGGCATTTCCATGGTTCCATATTATGAAGGTGTCGTCCACGTATATCAACCAGATTCGGGGCTTCTTGTGGGCTTCTTCAGTTCAATTATATGCGAGCGCTTTCGACAGTTGGTCGTGCTGTCATCATCAAGGCTCTACTTGAGTAGAGCTTCAATGATGAAACATCTGTATATCGAAAACTCACTCAAACAGAATAGTATCTGAACCAGGAACCCAACCACCATCAATCGACTAAGAGAGGAATCATCAAGACTCTACTAGACCGTGCTTTCGGGCTCTATAACACAAAGGCAGGTTTCGAAAAGGAACTAGGCATCATCGAAAATGGTCTTCAACGAAATGGTTACTCCAAGCAAGAACTCCACAAGAAAGAGATGCCGCCACAACCAGTACTTGTACTTCCCTACATCACAGGATTATCGGAAAGGATGTGAAGAATTGGGTCCAAGTATAACATCAGGACCTGCTTCAGATCTGGGAACACTATCCGTAGCAGCCTCACGAAAATCAGGCCACCAAACGCGGACTGCGATTCCATGAATTGCATTCACCGGATACCCTGCGAGTGCAGAGAATCATACATCAGTGAAACTAAGGAGGCATTGAAAGTTTGCATTGCCGAGCACAAGAAACACACACAGCGAGGAGAAACCAGCAAATCCGGAATAGCAGAGCATGTTTGGACTCATCAACATAACATCAAGTGGGCTAAAGCTGAAATCATCCACAAAGAGGAACACTGGTTTAGAAGAAAATTCAAAGAAGCCGCATATATGTTATCCAACAATACATTTATAGCCAAGCTAGCGTAGAGATACGCAACGTATGGAAACCTCTAATCAAGCAGAACACGATCAACTCCCGCCAAACGGTCAGATTTCGCTAAAACCGATGAAGCGGAGAGAGGGAAAAGGGGATAGGTGAAAGCACTTGAATGACTTATAATTAGTCAGATCTCTGAGGAATGAGTCAAGTTATCATTCGAAAACGATTGTGAATGCTAACAATTGAAACATCTTGTTGATAATTTTTTAATTTTCATCTCGTGTTAATAGTTCAATTTTTAATTCTTTGGTTGTTGCTTGTATTTTATTTCATTGTAATTTCAGTTTTTTTGCTTGATATAGTTATTTTCCAGCTAACTTTTTTCATTTTTTGCAGATTCTTTCAGGGATTTCAAATCAATTTATATAATATTAAACAATGGAAGTCCGAACTGATGAAATACACCATGGAACATTGTCAACCACCTTCAAACGAAAAAATAGGTGTCTGAAAAATTACACCACAAAAATCAATATTCTCTGAGAGTTTTGACATAAAACACACACTATGAATCAACTCACTTTCGTAAATAAGAATCCAATTTGAGGATAATCTCGTGGTGATACATTTATTCCCAGTTTTATATTGCGATTGGATTTCATTCACTTCGCTTATTGAAAACTGTTTTGGCGAGTCACTGAAAAAAGAATTGAAAAACTGGTGAAACACAATCACAACGTTTACTACGATGAGTTCTTTATTTTCGTGATCTACAGGATAAGGGAATAAACTAACAGTAGTTTGTTGTACCATGAAAAAATACGTACCAATCCAATATATTCAAGTCACTTCCACATCTAGAATATTTTTCTAGTTTAGTTTTTTGTTCCACTGATGTTGAAATTTCCCAATCTACTGACTGACTCATTTGTGACTCATTGAATATTATTGCTGAATTGAGAGGAACTGCAATGAAGTAAATACAGAACTAAACGAATTTGTATTTGTTCACTTACCCAAAAGAAAAATCAAGTTCAGCATAGTTGTTTTTCGAAGTAATATTTTCACTTCCAGATATCTACATGCAAACGTCATAATGAAGTTGGGAAATGTTGCATGAGTAACTTTATTTCAGGTTTTTTGACAGCCGTGACAATTATTTCGTATATATAGTAAGGTTAGTTCAATGAACGATGTTCAATGCACATTTATAGTCAAACTAATGGTGATCAAATATGTTTCAATGCCCAATGGGCGACTTCCCATAAAACCCATAAAACATCACTGAATATACTTACTTGCTTGGTATTTCTTTTTTTACATTAAATATTGAATTAAAGAAGAAAGTGATACAAATTATGAAATTATGAAACAACAGAAATCAATTGGTGATCCGGGGCGAATTCATTGATTCCAGTGGCGCATTTGCTTTTTCAGCTGCAGGAAAACCCGGAAAAACCTGTCAAATTTAAACCGGTTTGTTTCGTCTTTGACCAATGCGTAATAGTGGCCAGATTAAACGTCAGTACAATGACTGCATGAAGATTATATCAGTGGTCTGCTAGATTGAAGTGTTCATCAATTTCGAACCTTCCGTCAGAGGTTGAGTCATGTTTGAAGATCATTGCTTGGTATACACGAAATTTTATATTATATGACTTGACAGTCTTTACGCTACCACTCTCTAGTTCGCTACATCAGTGCAAGCTTCTTCAGGTATGTTCAATACCTACTAGCAGGTTCAAAAAAGCAGCAGCAATTCAGCATGATTTTGAGATTCAAGAGTAAAGGCACCAATAATGAGAACAAACATCTTGACAGACTGAATATTTTATCCGTTTTTCCTCATCTTTTCGGACGATATTCTTCTTGACAGGAGCTGAAAAGTACACGAAATATATCGTCATGCTGACAGCAAGTGCATTAGGGTTTCAGGCGATACTAAGGTGTTAAAGACACCATCCTGGCAGGTCATGATGAACTCCTCATTTTCCGAATGCAGCTCACCGAACCTGAGGAGAGCGGAGGTTGAGCGCTTTGGTAAGCCGGATTTTCAGTGCAGAAGAAGACCCCATGAACTGGTTTATTCCTGTATTGCCGCTGGGGTGATGTGATCTCTGCGGCTTATATACGGACCTTTAGCTGAACGGGTTCCAACTTGGTGACGGAGTTGTGATCACTTCGTAAAGTGTCGAAAACTGAACTGAGTTTATCAGCTGCTCGGGCAGCTGCCTTGAAGAGAAATGCTTTAGTTCCTGCTCTATCATGGTCGCGGATTATGCAGAGGAGATCCGAACTCCCGATGACTTTACAGGCTCCGTCCATTACCATTCTGTCATGTAGACTCCAGACAGTCCAGGGCCTTTCTGTTGTAGATAAAAGTACAACCGTGGAACGGACGATTTGAAATGCAAACTCCTATGGGGATTTCAGTCATTTTTCGGGTCGTCGAGTTGATACATATCCTTTCTGGTCCATTTCACAGTAGCGACTTTTTTTCTTCCGACAGTTCCGATAACCGGATCTGTCGGAGTTTGTGCTGATACTTGCCACGGAGAGAGTTCCTCACTATTATTACAGCGTGTGAGTAACATTGTTCCACTCCGTCTCTCCGGTATCAATATGGTGTAGGATGCGCTCATCTACGAGCTGCACATCCTCTCCTTAGTTCCCGCATCTTGCTTCCTTGAGATGGACCGTTGCACATTTGTCTATCCAAAATTTTTCACCAACAACATGAGTGTACTCTTCCACCGTCCTCGAGGACTGATTGAGAACCGGATTCAAGAGGTGCTACAGTTATGCCCTCGAGTATTTCTGAGCGCAACGGATAATGGCAATAGTGGGGTGTGATACACTCCTCCTGAAAATGGCCCACCCTGTTTGGAATCTAGCCTGATCAGACGTTATGATGAAGCCAGTCCGTCAGAGTGGCAACAGTTGTTCCAGGCGTCTCACTATTTTGTCGGGTACCGCAATGAATCTGAACAAATGCAAGATGAGCTGATGCGATGTTGTATCAAATACCTTGCGGTAATCGATCCATGCCATAAAGAGGTCAGGCTAACACTGTATCAAGTCGTGCGTTACACATCTACCGATGCTCAGGTTTGTTTACATTCAGCGATTTCTCTCTTTTCATATATAAGAATATTTGGTCAATTACAGTGAGTTCTCGTATATATAAAATGTTTGTAAACAACCTATAACACGAATTTTGAGTATCTTATCGAACTGTAACTTTTAGGTATCGACAAATACCCACTTTTGGAAAAGAGATCGGTCCGCCTCTTGACAAACCAATCGGGAATCGGCTGCTCTCTATCCAGCCATGAGTTTAAAACTCTGGCCAGATGGCGGTGGGTGCTTGGTAGTTTTTTCCACCAATAAGTGTTCAGCTCATCTGGGCCTGGAGCAGTAACAATCTTGGAATCACATAGGCTCTTCAAAAGTCATCTGGCGTTACGGGTTGCGCAGCTAATTGAGTTTAGGCTGTCGAAGCTCTCCGCTGAAAGCTTTAAACCGCGCTAGGGCTGGACATTTATGTCCTTCTGGAACGATTCCACCTGGTCAGCGGTTGGTAGAATATCCATAACACGCGGGGTCTGAGCGAGCTAAGCGAGGAATGATCGAGAAGGTTTTTTGCAGAACCAGAGGTTTTTCGCTACACTTCTCGCTACTAGTATTCGTATTCTATCACTAAAGTGTGATGAATATGTCGTGATTTGGTGGCTATTTGCCTCACTGGCGGCGTGAAAGGTGTGGTGATCCATCAAACACTGAATACGAGATCTCAACCTTTATCTTGTGTACCCGCCGTTCAATACATTGAAACGCAAGGCCGGGATTGTATCTTTCCGATTCGGATAGCAATTGAATGGTGCTATACAGGGCGGTGTTGATTTGCCAGATGGCAGTCTCTTCTAAGAGAATACTATGAACCTCTGCGTTCAAACAAGCAAGTTGTCGCGGCTATAGAGGTCTATATCTGTAGAGCGTGTTTTGATCAATTATTTCGGTGGCGTGATGCGAGTCTCCTCTCTAGCCGTATCAACGGGTGGTGGAACTGCCACCTCCACTACTTCGTTGGTAGGCTGGAAAGGAGGTATAAAGTCCTGCCACCGTACTGGTCAGGCCATATCCCTCGAAGCCCCGATAAATTCGGGAGGGTGCGCTAGCATTATCAACCAACGACCACTTCTCACACCGTGGGGTAAATGTTCAGTGGGCTCGAGAATCATGTGCCCTGAGCAAGCACAAGAAAGAGAACCTTCTCTTGCGCTTGCTATTTGTACGGCTAAGATTTCTGCCTTGGTGCGGCAAGCCGGCATGATTTTAAGATTCGAGAGTATAGAGGGCATTATTCCACCAGAGATTTCAATAGTCAGAACAACGATTTCGACATAGTGGTCTCGAAAGAGAAAATCTTGGTATTCCATCAGTTTTTTCTCCTCTTTTCGGACGATATTCGTTCGCCAGGAGCTGAAAACTCCACAACAAATATCATCTTGTTATGGCGATCAAGAAGGACTTCATCAGGCTCATCAGCTAGTTTGAACCTGAAGGTGGACAAAGGCACTTCTCGTTCCCCACAACGGATTCAGTATCCCTCGTAGGACAACACCGGTGTCTCGTTAATACCGTAGGTGGTAATGTGGCACTCTCAAAACAGGATCCGAACTCCTGACAACTTCACAGGCTCCATCTTGAACCATTCTGTCATGTAGATACTCCAAACTCAAAAGTCCATGAGGTGAGTATACGTCTCTCCAGCATCCAGATGGTGCAAGGTGCTTCCTTCCATCTACGAACTGAACATCCTCTCCGTAGTCCCCTCATCGTCCGTTTCACATTTGTCTATCCCGAATTTCATACCATGCGTGTACTCTTTCATCACCCTCAAGGACTGATGGAGATCCGTTTCTCCAGAGCCATGAAGTTTGGGATTACCAGTATAAAACAAATGGGTGACATTGTGCCTACGGTTTTCTCCTTGTATATCATTATTATCATAATTATAACTGCAGGTCAAAGAAAAATACTATTCAAAATTAATCATTTATTCCTCGAATTCAAAATCAATTCTAGCTAGAGTATTCATTAGAACTGATAAATTTTCTGTCATTACATCAACTCTTCTTTGGTTACTCTCCAATAAACCCGCATAGAACGATTCTTTTTGTCTGTTTGCTTTGGAAAAGAGGACTGTCAACACCTTTTCCATCTTCAGAAATACCAAATCATCTACAATGGTTGCTTTTCCACGTTTCGCATGACTTATGAAAAAAAAATCGTTTTCCTGTGAATCCTTTCGAAAAAAATTTGCTATGATCATTTTTATCAAACTTTCAGCACCTTGCTTCAGCGTGGGTGTCCTCTTCATGTTTCTCAAGATTGCCAGCGTTACATGTACCATACCACTTGTCCTGTTTTTGGGCACTGTCAAACAATTGGCGTATCTGTGCACATCAGCTTTAGGGTATATCCATTTTCTACCCTCAGAACCGCTTTCACCCCCTCGAATTCTTGAGCTCCTCAATTTGACCTTGGCAACCCCTTTATAATACTGGTACTGTTCTTTCAAAAAATCGAAAACGTCGTAGCCTTCTTCCCTGGAATAAATCACCTGTGCCTCGGTATAGCATATCGTTATTATAGCTATATACAGGGTGAGATAAAACAGCGAAATAAGCATGTACAGACTGTAGTATAAATGATGTAAGGGAGTTTTCAGCGTCATAAACTTGAAATCTTGAAAGAAGGACAATGACATGAGGATCAGAGTAGTTGTTGAATCCAATATGTTTTTGAAATCAGAAGAGTGGTCTCCAAAAAACATTATACCGGATAGAGTAAACGCGAAAACCGTCAACATGTGGTAGAAAAATATAAGAACAATAGCTCCAAGGGATAGAGCGAAAGTTTTTTCGGCGATTTTAATGATCTGCAAGAACCTCAGCAACTTCCACAGTCTCAAAGTGGCTATAAACACTAGAATAGCTGCTAGTATTGTGAGGGCAGATTCTGCGAAGAACAGGTGGAAATAGTTGACAAACTCGTTATGCTTGGCGTTTTCTATTTTCACAAGGAAGCTCTTCACCAGCATGGCTCTCTCCATATACAAAAAAAGGCAAGCGATACTTATTGTTATTATAACTATATCCACTACGTGCCATAGATCCTTGAACAACATTTTTTTCTTCCTGATTATCTTGAGCACTAGTTTCACTGTTAAAATGAATACCATCGTCAGGAAGCCAAAGAGTAGTATAGTTACTAATAATCCAGTTTTTTCCTTTACAAACAGCAGGCGAGCAGATTTGATCTGAAAAAGAATTGTGGTGAGTGAACAACTCTGTGATGTATGAAGTTGAGACGAAAATCAATTGAGCTCATTTTGATTCTTATCAAAGAAAACTAATCAATGAAATATCGTTCACGTTTACGTCTGATCCTGAGAATACATATCATATTACGTTATTTAAAAAGTTTTGTCCGTTTCAATGTCATGTGCTTTTGTAGCTACAGATCTCAATAAATATATTCTACTGTGTCTGAACTAGTCCAGAAACATATAAAAAAGTATTACAAATTATGAAATAATAAAACAACAAAAATTAATTGGCGCTCCGGGGCGACTTCATTGATTTCAGTGGCGCATTTGCTTTTTCAGCTGCAGGAAAACCCTGCAGCACCACATCATCTGAAGATCTTGATCTGCCAATGTCCTTTCTTTCATAAAATGAAATGTAGGGTGCCTCCAGGGGCTCCAATGGATTAGAGATATTGCCAGAATATTTAGTGACACGACTATCGTCAAACTTGAACCTTCCCGTTCAGTGGAAGAGCTTTATGAAGCAAGAGCCGAATCGATCCCTCTACGAAACTCTTCATTAGTTGGAAGGATCGATTGCAGCTTGAGAAATGGTTTTGAAGCAGATTCTGTGAAATATGTTTTTCCTTACAAATCAGTAGGTAGTTATCCTGAAAATATTGCGAAGAAAATTGGGTTAGATAATTTAGGAAACATTTGCTATATGAATAGCAATTGTCCAAGTAATGTTCATGACGAAACATTTTAAGAACGTGTAATAAATGACCTCTGGGTCTGAATTGACGATCCCTATACACCACTAATGATATATAATAATCATTTTAATTATTCTAGCACAAGAAAAATACACCCCCTGTATATGAGATCGTCCAGCTGAAGGTATTTATTTTTTTGATTCAGTTTGGTAGCGCGAGAGTTGCTGCCACCAGATCAGAAAAAGTTTGAAATTCGTTCTGACCACACGGATTGAGAATTAGTGGGCGACTGGGTCAACAGGTGAAGTTTTTACCTTCCTATTTTCGCAAAGCAACGGTTTGGTTACGCCACCAATTATGTCCTCAGAGAGTGATTCGGCCACGGCTTGAATACGTGGTCTTTTGAGGGTTTGATGAAATGAAATAATATTAGCCGAGTTTCCACATTGACGTTACTCCTGACTGTTCTGGATTGAATGACTTCGTACAGTCTCGTCTTGTGTTTGTAGATCTTTTGCTGGAAAAATCCTCACTAGTTTACTTTGTAGTGAATGTTCAAGAGGTAACAAAAACTTATGTGATTTTCTTGAACTTCAACTAGCGTTTTCTAATATGACCAATCCATCCATTGTTGAATCGTCTGGAAATATAACTATTGGAAAATCTGTTCAAATCTGTTTCGGGTGATGATCAACTGTATTGCCAAATATGTGCCAAACTATTTGATCGTTATGAGACAACAAGTATAGCTGTTACACCAGTCAATCTAATAATAACTCTCTGCAAACATGACTCAACCTCAGACAGAAGCACCAAACTCTTAAGAAAGTTTGAAATAGACGAACACTTCAATATAGCAAATCACTATTATAATGTTTTGGGAAAGAAAGTTTTTGGCTGTCTACTACTCCATCTGATACAAAAAAAGGGATGAGAGAATCCCTCTATACATGAATGTGTAGATCATGCAAAGAAGTAACTTTCAGATACAAACTGAAAGAAAGTCCTCCTGAAACAGCTACTTTCATATAAACATTGAATTACACGAAAGAAAATAATTCTTTCGAAACAAATACTTCTATATGAACACTGAATTATACAGAAGATACTTTTCTCTACTCAGTTTGTATTTCAAACATTTTTTGTATCAGATGGAGTAGTAGAAAGCCAAAAACTTTCTTTCCCGAAAAATTAATCACTCCTAAAAATGTAACCCCTTCAATTCAAACTATTATAATCTTCATACAGTCATTGTTCACTGTGGTTCTGGCGTTGAATCTGGTCATTATTACGCATTAGTCAAAGACGACTGGTTTAGGTTTGTAGATGGTCGTGTCACTAAATATTCTGGCAATATCTTGAATTCATTGGAGCTTCTGGAGACACCCTACATTTTGTACGCTATACATTGATGTTTGTTTGAAGGAGATTGACAATGTTTCATGATGAATTTCACTAGTTTGGACTTCCATTGTCTACTATATAAAATGATTTGAAATCCCTGAAACAACAAAAAAAGAAGAATTAAAAATGAATAGCTAGAAATAACAATTATATTAAGCAAAATAAACCTGAAATGAAATAATAGTGGAATAAAATACAAGTAGTATAGAACAATTGAACAAAAATAAATAAAAATAAAGAAATTAAGAAAGAAAATAAAAATAAAAGTTGAGAGATTCCAAGTCACGTTAGTTCACGACGTTTCGATTGTTAGTATCTACAATCGTCTTCGGGTGATGACTGGACTGATTCCTCCGAGAGATGACTATTTATAGGTCGTTCGAGTATACTTTCACTTATTCCCGCTTTCCATTTTCCGCTTCACTGGTTCCGTGGGAGATGACCGTTTGGCAGGAGTTGGCCATTTTTCGCTTGTTGATGGGTTTTCATATGTTGCGTATTTCTACGCTGGCCTGGCTGAATACGTTGTTGTTGAATTTTCTCCTGAACCAATGTTACTCTCTGTGCAAGATCTCAGCTTGGGACTACTCGATGTTGTGTTGATGGGTCCAAACATGGTCTGCTATTTCTGATTTGCTGGTTTCCCCTCGCTGTGTTTGTTTCTTGTGCTCGGCAATGCGAACATTCAATGGTCTCTTAGTTTCATCAATATAGTATTTTCCGCACTCACAGGGTATCCGGTAAATACAATTCTTGGAATTGCAGTCCGCGTTTGGTGACGTGGTTTTCGTGAGGCTGCTACGGATAGTGTTATCGGATCTGAAGCAGGTTCTGATGTTGTACTTGGAACCAATTTTTCTTATCCTCTCCGATAATCCTCTGATGTAGGGAAGTGCAAGCACTGGTTGTGACAGCTTCTCTTCCTTGCGAGGCTCTCGCTGTCTTTTAGCCAAGGTCTTTTACTGCAGTGGAATCCTCCAGTTTCCTTATTGACTAGACCGTGGCAGGAGATTTCAGTTGAAGAACAGCTGGATCGAGAACCAGTTTCAACATCTAACATCAGCAATGAAGAACGTAAAGCTCTGAACGGCCTACGTAGAGACAACACCATCAAGATCCTACCTGCAAATGAAGGAAACGCTACTGTGGTAATGGATATCGTTCTCTACGAACAGAAGATCGAAGAGGTCCTTCAAAAGGGACGATACCCGAATATCGTACGGGACCCTACTGCATCAATCGAAAGGAAGTAGTACTAGATTTTGAAAAAACACCAAGTCTATTTTTCGGACAAGGAAAGATCATCGCTAACACCCCACCACAGTAAGCCCCCTCACTTGTATGGACTGCCCAAAATCCACAAGAAGGACGTTCCACTTAGACCGATCATCAGCTCCAGAGATTCGGCTACTCAAAACTTGTCTAGATTTGTACTTCCCTTAATACAACCATTACAAGGAAAAACATCGTCTTTTGTGAAAAATTCAAGACATTTTGTCGAACTACTAGGGTCAATTGAGGTCACACAGGAAGATAAGCTAATTAGTTTTGACGTGGAAAGCCTTTACACCAACGTTCCGGTCGAAGAAGCACTCCAACTCCTACAAAGAAAGCTATCCGAAGACGGCAACCTGAAAGAGAGAATGAATCTACCTATAGAAGTAATTATGGAATTACTAGAGTTCTGTGTACGATACTGTTATTTCCAACTGAAGGACGAATTCTTTACACAAGATGACGGACTGCCAATGGGATCGCCACTTTCACCAGTCATAGCCAACATATATATGGAGTGTTTTGAAACTTTGTCCTTTGAAGAAGCCCACAAGAAACCTCGAGTCTGGTTGAGATATGTTGACGACACCTCCATAATATGGAACCATGGGAACACTGAACTAGACGCCTTCCTGAAACACATCAACAGCGTGAGACCTTCCATCACTTCCACAATGGAGAAGGAAATCCACAACGAATTGCCATTCTTAGACGTTTTGGTGAAGAGGACCGACACTAAGTGGAAAACATATGTATATCGAAAACCCACTCATACGGGACAGTATCTGAACTACAAATCCAACCACCATCAATCAACTGAAAGAGGAATCATCAAGAGTCTATTAGACCGTGCTTTCGGGCTCTGTAACACAAAGGAAGGTCTCGAGAAGGAACTAGACATCATCAAAAATGATCTTCAACGGAATGGCTACTCCAAAGCGATGGTAGAAAAAACCTTGGCTAAAAGACAGCGGGAGCCTCGCAAGGAAGAGAAGCTGCCACAACCAGTGCTTGCACTTCCCTACATCAGAGGATTATCGGAGAGGATAAGAAGAATTGGTTCCAAGTACAACATCAGAACCTGCTTCAGATCCGGTAACACTATCCGTAGCAGCCTCACAAAAACCCGGCCACCAAACGCGGACTGCGATTCCAAGAATTGCATTTACCGGATACCCTGTGAGTGCGGAAAATCCTATATTGGTGAAACTAAGAGGCCATTGAATGTTAACATTGCCGAGCACAAGAAATACACACAGCGAGCGGAAACCAGCAAATCAGGAATAGCAGACCATGTTTGGACCCAGCAACACAACATCGAGTAGTCCCAAGCTGAGATCTTGCACAGAGAGGAACATTGATTGGTTTAGGATAAAATTCAAGGAAGCCGCATACATGTTGTCCAACAACGTATTCAGCCAGGCCAGCGTAGAAATACGCAACATATGGAAACCCATCATCAAGCGAAAAATGGCCAACTCCTGCCAAACGGTCATCTCCCACGGAACCAGTGAAGTGGAAAATGGAAAGCGGGGATAAGTGAAAGTACTTGAACGACCTAAAAATAGTCATCTCTCGGAGGAATCAGTCCAGTCATCACCCGAAGACGATTGTAGGTACTAACAATCGAAACGTCGTGAACTAACGTGACTTGAAATCTCTTAACTTTTTATTTTTATTTTATTTTTTCATTTCTTTATTTTTGTTCAATTGTTCTATTTTACTTGTATTTTATTTCACTATCATTTCATTTCAGGTTTATTTTGGTTAATATAATTGTTATTTTCAGCTATTCATTTTTAATTCTTCTTTTTTAGTTGTTTCTGGGATTTCAAATCATTTTTTATATAGTAGACAATGGAAGGCCGAACTAGTGAAATTCTATACATTGATATTGTTCATTTTTTCCAAGGTTTGATTTTTGCCTCTTTTCAACTCATTGCTGTTAGATATCGCAGAGCAATTTTTGGCCAATTTTTCTAAACGAATTCGAATTGTCCAGAATCGAAGCTGAATTATAAGCTCACACCCAAAAACCTGTTAATGGCAGAATTTCGTGAATGAATAATGGTGTTTTTTTATAATATAGATCGAATATCAATGCAGATTTGAATCAACTCTACGCCAGCATCAGTTGAGTCTAGATTCAAGTATAAGAAATATTCTATACGAAGAGAGTTTGGCAAAGGGCTTCTCTAAGTTTCTTTCACCTCAAAATCAGGTCAGCCCAGAAATGGGCTACATGTCTACATGAATTTTCTCTCGAGCCTTGATATTCAGTTCCGAAGAATATTAAAGAATTTACTTCAATTTTACACATCAGAGAATTGATTATCTATATCTTACGTTGAAGTTCGGTTCCACGAATCCAATTGCGCTTATCTCGAAACTCACGAGAACTGACTGGAAAAGATTACTATTGGAATTGTATAAAAGAAATTCTACGAAGATACAACGAGTGAATTTATCGAGCCAATTGTTGCGAAAAATATAGTTGGTGTTGATCAAGGAATTCTTCATGGTGCGGCCTAGAGTTGAAACGTAACCACCGCCAGGATAAGTAGCGAACTTTCCTGAAACAAAAGTAATAACTTTATTTCACTATGTCGAAGCTATTTCACGAGTATTTTGGCCGTAATCTGTAGGTTTTCATGCCTGACATTTAGTTACAACGCAGAAACGCATAAACTATACAGGGTGTAACTAAATAGGTGTAAAACATTCAGGGAGGTGATTCCTCATCAAAAAAAAGATAGGATCTTTGATATAAAGAAATTTCATTGTAGCATCCCTTGTTAAGATACATCCCCTTAAAGGGGGTACAAAAAATTTGTATAACAATTTTTTTCACAATCACTAAAAAAGTTACAATATTGAAAATAATCTGACGTTTTGTACTACCAAACAGAAACTTAGCCAGGAATTTATTTGGTTTACCCCATGGTTGTAAGGAGTGGAAAACGCAACCTCTAAAATTCATTTCCAATATAACTTTTTGTCTTATTATTTGTTTACCATTTAAAAATGTATTTCCGATAGCCTGTTTCATTTTAAACAAAAAGTTTCCCTTGGGTTTTTTGCCCAATATAAACCAGTTCGCAGCAAAAAATTATTTTAGGAACAACTACAGAGATACATCGTCATAAATGCAAAAATACGAAACTAATCTATCTAGTAGGTCGCTATCAGCGATAGTGACAATTAAATTGGTATGACGCTGTCAGTTTGTTAATTTTCGAAATTGAATTAATACTAATTGTCTGTTATTGTTCTGTTCTTAATTTGTTACTTTGAAAATTCACTTGTTATTAAAATGGCATACACAAATGAGGAAATGGCTGATATGCATTACGTTTACGGTCTGTAGCAGGGGAATGGGTTAGAAGCTTCTAGAAGAAATGCTGAAATGTATCCTCAACGGCAGTATCCTTCACAACGATTTTTTACAACGACTTCATCAACGATTACGAGAATATGGTTCATTCGACAAAAGAACGCAGGATTGTGGTCGCCATCGAGAAGTACGAACACTACAGCTTGAGGAAGCAGTACTCAATTTGATTGAAGAACAACCTACTACCAGTACTAGAGAGATTGCTTTCCAGCTAAATGTTGATCATATGACGGTATTTCGAATTTTAAAGGAACAACTCTTATACCCTTACCATCTGCAACGAGTACAGGCACTGTTACCGCGAGACTTTCCGAACCGTCTTGAATGGTCTTATGGTATTATAGGTTCGGGAGGTATTAGGTATACCCACCTGAGATGTCTGGATATTTTACATAAAAAAATATCTGAAAATTTTGTTAAAGGTAGAACGTTCTCCAGTGACCTCTTTTTTGAAGAAAGTAATGTCCAAGATACACGGCAGCTATACTGCCAAAAGATTATTCTGGAAGTCGTCGAGAACAAAATAAAAATAAAACCAATGGAACACATGTATAATAGCCGTAGAAAAAAATTCAATTCTAGCTCCTAGATGCCAAACATTGGTAGGTCAAAGACACTGTAATTATCTTGGCCCAAAGATCTGGAGCATAGTACCGGAAAAAATACAACTCAATAATAAACAAAATAAATCCAAATTTCAGGAAGAACTGAAAAATTGCCTCTGAAATTCTGATCGAACTCTGTTTTATCAAATTATTAACAGCAACCTTTCTAAAAAATAAAAACCCCTGTAGAATGAACTCAATAAAAAATACTTAATTTCAATCCCATCATGTCCTTATGTGTTTTATATTATCTATATAGTTTTATATGCTAATTCCTTTTCATCAGTTTATATCTATTCATTGTATTGTATTCAATTCATTATAGTTAACACTTTATATCTATTCATTGTATATAATACTCTTAGATACATAATTTTTAGTTTAGTTATAGTTTCGAATTTGGCAATATCACGCACAAGGAACATTTTTTCGAAAATGTTGCTTCTGTGATGCCTACGTTTATTTACCAAATCTTTGTTATATACATGTGGTGAATAAACATTTTTTTTCAATTATTATTCTGGCATCGACTACTGAGGTCATTAGCCATTTTGTAGTATACGATAAATGTTTATATTTTGTTGAAAAGGTCTGTTGCTTTCAGAAAGTTCAAAATATTTCTTATAGCTTTGGTACTGAGGCAAGTTCTGATATTATCCGGTAAGTTATATCGTTGTAGATCGGCTTCATATTGGTGGCATTCTGAGAGAAGGTGTTTAACCGTCGTCATAGTTTGGAAATTTTTCACAGTATGGTTGTCTTTGTCTTCTCAGTATATAAGAGGATGTTAAGTCCGTATGTCCTATCCTAAGTCGTGTTATTATGACTTGTTCTCTTCTCGTTAGCCCTTGTGGGGCTAACGGTTTGATACCTTCCAATTTTGAATCGTTGTTTGTCCATTCGTGTTGCCATGTGTTGAGTATTGAGTTTTTTATGAATATTTTTGTGTCATTTGGACTCACAGGTATATTCAGATCGACATTAATCTCAGTAGCAGCTCTTGCTGCAGCGTCAGCTTTCTCATTACCATCAATTCACATATGACTAGGAACCCAAACAAATATGATCGATTTTCCTTTGGACTGGAGACAACTCATCAGTGTTAAGATTCTTTGTACCAACAGATGTTTACTGAAAGAGTTTTCAATTGCTTGAATAAAACTTAGAGAGTCTGTGCAAATAATAATAAACATTATTATTATTATTATTATTTTTTCACCGTAGTGTGCGCTGGTCAGGCCCTATCCCCCGAAGCCCCGATACATTTGGGAGGGCGCGACAGCATTATCAACCAATGACCACTCTCCACACCGTGGAGTAAGTGATCATTGGGTCCGAGATTTATTATTATCATTATTATTACTATTTTCACCGTAGTGTGTGCTGGTCAGGCTCTATCCCCCGAAGTCCCGATACATTCACGAGGGCGCCCCAGCATTATCAACCAATGACCACTCCCCACACCGTGAGGTAAGTGATAATTGGGTCCGAGAATCATGTGCTCTGAGCAAGCGGAATGTGTCAAGAATGACAGTCTTCTGCATCTGCGCGGCTAAGATTACTGCCTTAGTGCGGCAAGCCGGTATGATTTTAAGATTCGAGAGTAGAGAGGACATTATTCCACCAAGGACTCCAATAATCAGAACAACCATCTTGACCGAGTGATTATTATTAATATTATTATTATTTTCTGATAAAAATGGCTTTATTGTTTTTCGAAATTTTCCCCTTGATTCCAAACAGTGCATCATAATTCCCCTTGATGATCAATACACTTTTACATTCATTCAAACCATATGTCAAAGCAATTTTTCCATTTCTACTGAGACACCTTCAAAACATGGTTTTTGAACGCTTCAACTGCTTCTTCGACGCTAGTAATTCGTGGACTACGCAGTTTATCTTTGATATTCGGGAACAAAAAGAAGTCATTGGGTGCCAAATCAGGACTGTACGGAAGATAAACCATCAATTCGATGACTTCCGGCAAACAAATAGTTGTGTAGTATCACTCAGAATTGACCATTCTATGAAAACTATAAGAGAAAGTCTAAGGTCATCTAAGGACCCCAGAGAACCTTTAGTAACATCCGGGGTATACCAGATTCATTATAGCTGCGGGTCGGTCTAAATTGGAACATCTGAACACAAGAGAAATCGTCGGCTCGGACAAACCATACAAATCAGCTGTAGCCGTACATGCTGCCACATAATATCATTCAAAGATATAGTAATACTTGATAAAACTCAAAATTACTAACCAAGAGTATAGTGTGCAAAACCCAAATGGAATAAATTCATTATTTTGGTTACGGTACATATTTAAACAAAATCCGGAAACATATTGAATTTAAATTGTAATTTGACATACCTCAACGGAAGAATGTTACCCCTACCTTCAACCCCCGTTGAATGACAGGTACAACCCCCAATTTTTTAAATGAGGAGCATAGGTTTGTGATATATCGTTCGAAAGATCTCTTCATTGTCGGTTCCGAAATGTTATCGTTTTCGGATTTATTGTAATAATTAAGATAAAATAAATTAAAACCATGTGGTTACTGAAATTCGATAAAGTAAAATCGAAACTTATTGCAATATAGGTACTCAAAACCTATTTCATGTTGAGGTATTGATAATAAGGAAGTAAAAAATAAAAAAAAACATCAATCAATACAGTTATTGTATTATTTTCACTATAAGGGTTTTACAAAAACCGCAAAACGTGTTTCACTATACAATAGCTTCTTCAACCATAACTTCAAACAGTTATACTTGAAGAAGCTATTGTATAGCGAAACACGTGTCGCGGTTTTTGTAAAACCCTTATAGTGAAAATCATACAAATTTCGACTTCTGAGGGTTGTCGTTTGTAAAAGTTCGACAGCTGGTTGACTGAAAAACATATTTTGAACAGAAATGATTGACTTGTTGGTGGATAACAATATCAACCATAACAATATCATCCAATATCGTCCAATAATTTTATTGGACCCCACGGTACATATTTCGGTGTATCCTGTCCGAAGCTCTGGTCTATCGGACGTATTCCTCACAGTCGTAGGGGGCTGTCGAAAATCAATCATTCCTCAGAGCCGCAGCGGACTGTGTGGCATGGTTAAGTTGTTAGAAACGCAAGTTTCTAAATGCATAAAATGAATATCATCCATTAGGAGACGTTATGTTTTCTGATGAGTGTGATTTGTCTCTCACCGGTCATGCTAATCGGCAAAATTGCCGCTACTGGTCAACGAAAAATCCTCACTGGATGAGAGAAGAACACAAGCAATACCCTCAAAAGGTTAATGTTTGGGCAGGGATTGTAGGAAACCATATCATTAATACCTTTTTCATTGAGGGCAACTTGAATGGCGATAATTATTTGGCACTACTTCAAAATGATGTCATCCCAAGTTTAGCAAATCTATATCTTGATCCAGGAAATCCTCAAGTTGCAGTGAATTACAATATGGTTTCAGCAGGATGGAGCATCACCACATTACCAAGTTAATGCCCGGCAATACCTCGATACAACACTTCCCAATGGGTGGATACGGTGGCGAGGATCGATTGAATGGCCAGCGCGATCACCTTATCTTTCATTGATAGAAATTTTTCATGGGGAAATGTAAAGAGCCATGCTACGAAACTAAACTTTCAGAACTAATAACGCTTGCGATTAGATCGGTCACGCCTGATATGTTAAATAATGTTAGAATACAGTTTTATTTTGAAAGCGATAACATTTTTGAACCAAGAATGAAGAGACCTTTCAAACGATATATCACAAACCTTTACTTCCATATTTAAAATATGTATGGTAACCGAAATGATGAATTTATTCCATTTGGCTTTCACACACTGCATAAAGAGGCAATAGGAATTGAAAAACTCAGGGATAATTTCAAAATAAAAGAAGATGCGATTGACATCAATAAAATCTGGCTATCTGCCCTGCTTGTCTGGCTATCAGTGGTGCCATCGGTACCACACCGTCAGCGGTCATGGTGATCCTTCTAGATCTACCTCCTCTCCACATTTTTCTGGAAAGAGAGGCTAGATGGACTGCATACAGACTTGTGCACACTGCCAATTGCACAAATCAATTCAATGCAGAGTGCAACAGACTGTTGGTTGACATTGGAAGTCACAGCATTCTGGAAATGACCTCTGACTTTATGCCTCCAACTGTCAACTATGAACTGCCTTATAAAGTACTATTCCCGAGTAGAGAGGACTGGATCCTGCGGGAGAAGGAAATATTAAGAGCAGATATTTGTTGGTACACATATGGATCAAAAACACCTTCCGGTTCTGGTGCAGGTGTTTTCAGTCGCAGACCCAGCACAGAGTTATCTACCTGCCTGGGATCTTATGCGACTGTATTTCTTAGAAACGAAGCAACCCCGGACATATGTTCATGAGAACTTTTTTCTTGAAACGACCTAACGAATTACCCTCTGAAGTTTTGTATCGTAATTAAGAAACACCCTGCATATTGACAAAATAGTTATTTTTTTTTCAAAAACTGTAGTTCCAATTTCATTCTCACCAATATAACTCAAGCTGCCAGTTGCATAGTAACTATTGTAGTTCCAAACTGAGTCCATTCTTGCAAACTCATCAGAGTTCGAGTCATATCCCCATCCTTCGCTGAAATCACGATATTCCGGTCCGTTAGAAAATTGGTGTATGCAGCTGTTGGTGAGGAATTCCATCGGTGGTACCACTATACAACTGAAATATTCGAAAGCAAAGCGGTCGTGAATGCATTTCCAAAATAATAATCGAATTGAAAGGGATAGAGAGACAGAGAGAGAGAGACAGAGAGAGAGAGAGAATATACTTTATTGTCATGAGAGTAATCTTGTGGAAAAAGTTTCACTTAATCTTTAATACAGTTTTTATGTAGGAACAAAGTGCATTTAAATTGATCAATTTTCATTTAATACATAAAATCAGTTTGTATATACAGTGTCATCCCCAAAGTATGCACCATATGGGAAACTTATTTGTTGAGGGTTTTTCGACAAAATGTTATTCTTGATAAAAGTTTGTGCACCCCCAAAAACCAAACATGCACCAGCAAAATACAATGAAGCAAACGTAATATATGAGAAGCCTTCAAATATTTGATTTTGAGACAAGTGTAAAGTACTATTATTTTAAAAAATCTCGGGAAATGTTATTCGAAAAAGTTGTTCAGCATAAAAAAATACATCTGGATTTGAAGTCATGGTCATCCAAGTGAAGTTTTATTTTTTTACGGACATTTTTTTTGAGGACTGGGAAAGAAAAATTTGTAAAAACGATAAATAGACATCATCCTGTATACGATGGTTTATTCTGGAAGCCTATTATATTACGAATTACACAACTATGTTGTTAGCCACGTTTTTGGTGCAAACTTATATTTATCTTTTGTTAAGACAGAAAATTACTCAAAATTATACAGTACTGTAACAAGAACTTGATATTCAATAATATCAAATCGCAAAACATCAAAATAAAATACGTATTTCGGAACAAACTCGTTGATTTTCTAGAGATTTTCTTGTCCAAAATAATTCTCCAAAATAATCTCCAGAATATTAATGAGTTTGTTCCAATACACCTATTTTATTTTGATGTTTTGTGATTTGATATCATTGAATATTAGGTTCTTGTTACAAAACTGTATAATTTTGAATAATTTTCGGTGTTAACAAAAAATAAAAATAACTTTGCACCATAAACTTTGAAAATTATTTTATTCTTCAAAAAAATTGACCGTGGTTGACACCATAGTAGTATAATTTGTAATATTGCATGCTTTTAAAATAAAAAGTGGTATACAAGATGATGTCTATTTATCGTATTAGCAAATGTTTCTTTTCGTAGTCCCCATTTTAAAAAAATAGGTAAAAAAAATAAAACTTCACTTAGATGGCCATGAATACAAATCTAGATGTATTTTTTAATGATGAACAACTTTTCTGAATAACATTTCCCGAAATCATGGTCTCAAAATCAATATTTGAAAGCTTCTCGTATACTACGTGTGTTTTACTGTATTCTGTTGATGCATATTTAGTTTTAAGGGATGCACAAACTTTCATCAGGGGAATAACTTTTTGTCGAAAAACCCTCAATAAACCCATAGACATAGACATATTTATTCAGACATATTTACAAGATGATTTTATGCTTTGTACTAGGTGCATTATCTAAGCCAATGGCTTGTATTACAACTCACCTTGTGCTAGAGAGTCATTTTTCAAAATATAAAAAAAAATCTTAAATTACATTTAAATGATTGAATACCTAATAATAACATTGGTTGGTAGATACAATCAAAAAAGAAAAAGAAGGGAAAGAAGAAACTACGATCATAGAGAGTGAGAGAGAGAAAATTGTTGTTGCAAATACTACATGTGGTGATAACGACCTGTTTTTCACAGTGATTTAATGCATACATGTATATCAGTAAACAATGTTTCCAAGCTTGACATAATTCTCTTCAATGAATTCTTTCAATTCTATAGAGAGTTTAAGTTTCGATTTGATATTTCGTATGTACTCGGGAACCATGTTGAGAAGTTTTGGGCCAAAATAAGTTATGAATCTTTGTGGTAGAGACTTTTTATAAAATGGAACAGACACTAGATTATTAGAAATAGACCTCGTATTGTAGGAATGACTAGTATATGTGTAGGTTTTGGTTTTCATCATCCAATGTATACATTGGTATATATAAATTTGTTTAAGATTCAGTAAGTTAGCTTCACGATATAATTCATTTGTGGAAAATAGTTTTGATTTTTCAAGTATGATCTTTATTATTGTGTTTTGAGTAGTTTCTAAGTCACATAAGGCTGTTTTGTACATACCCCCCCAAATAATGACACAGTAACGTATAATGGACTCTGCTAGTGCAGTATACACCATCATAATGGTTCTCCTGCTTAAAATATCTCTCAGCTGATAAAATTTACGTATAAGTTTGCGAAGTCTCAGAGTTGTATACGATACATGCTCAGACCATCGAAGGTGTTGGTCTAAGATTACACCCAGGTATTTGATTTTATCAATTTTTTTTATAGTTCGACATGTACAGTGTATATGGTCACAAGTTCCTTTTTTTACTGTGATTCCCTCAAACTCTGGTTGGTCTCTAATATCAGCACTGAATGTGATAAATTTTGTTTTATCGGTATTTATGGTTAAAAGACTGCCATCAATGTAATCGAAATATATACTTAACTCTCGTTCGGCTTGTTCGTACACTTTTGTCCAAGAATCTCCAAAAAACATGATCGCTGTGTCATCAGCATATGAGATTACTGAGCTTTCGGTGTTTCTCAGTACTCCAATATTGTTAATAAAAATTAGGAAGAGTATGGGCTCCATTACTGTTCCTTGCGGTACGCCTATGGTGATTGGAAGGAGGTTGCTATGACAGTTTTTGATTTTCACTCTCTGAGTTCTATCCTGGAGATAATTTTCAAATGAGTTAAGTACTGTGCCTCTTATCCCCGATCTTTCCAATCTCTGTAATAATATTTTGTGATCCACGGTGTCGAATGCCTTGGCCAGGTCTAGAAATATTGTTAGGCACTCATTATTATCATTAAGATAATAATAAGATAATAATTGGAATATAGCCTGTTCTGTGGAAAAGCCTTCACGGAAACCAAATTGCAAACTCAATAAAATATTATTGGATTCTAGGAATCGCATGAGGCGGACTTTCAACACTTTCTCGAATATTTTTGCAAAGTTATTTATAACTGTAATAGGCCGATAATTCGTAGCAAGTTTCCTATTACCTGCTTTGAAAATTGGCGTAGTTATTGATTCTTTCCAAGCACCAGGTATAACACTGGTTAGGAAGCATAAATTTATTATATGTGATAACGGATTCGATAGGTGTTTGTTGAATTTTTTCATCAAATAAACCGAGATACGATCAGGACCTGCCGATACGATCAGGATCTGCCATATGGTGCATACTTTGAAGATGACACTGTATAAAAACAGACGGTACTGGCAAATAATAAATTAAAAAAAACCAGTTTGTGTATATAAAACATATATCATACGGGATACTGAAAAATAAATGTGTAATTTTTTTTTGTTAGTATATATAAAAACATATGAGTCGTTCAGGATGCTGGTAAATAATGAACAAATAAGATATTTTTTTTTAATTATCATTACAAAATTCTTGTATATTATGGTGTGGTCTATCACTTAAAAAACCTTTCACAGCCTTCCTAAAGCATTGTAAAGACTTTATTTCTGTTACATTATTTGGCAAGTGGTTGAACATTTTACAACCATTATAGACAATGGAATCCCGCGTTCCAGCGAACTCAAGCCGCCCATAAAAACGCCCGTGTACTACACGTACACGAGCGTTCACAAAAGTCAAAACGGACGTCTGCAGTCAACTTGCTGCTGATCTCCGCCGAAATGTCATTGTGGCATCCGCCGTACACTAACCACAAACTTGCAGTCGTACCCAACCGCGTACATCGTGGTGTACTTTTATTGCAAATGTGGTTTATATGACCGCAAGTCGACCACAAAAATGTGGTTGGGTCAACTGCGAAGTGCAGTCAACGTGGTCACAATGTTGTGGTTGCCTCAACTGTAAATATGTGGTCCGTGTTCGGCCGGACTTAGAGCGCCCGTACACGAGCCACATTTTACGGTCGGATAGACCACAACATTGCAGTCGCGTTCCAGCGAACTTAAGCCGCCCATAAGAAATACTGTACTACACGTACACGGGCGTTCACAAAAGTCAAAATGGGCGTCTGCAGTCAACTTGCTACCGCGAAGTGCAGTCAACGTGGCCACAATGTTGTGGTTGCCTCAACGGCAAATATATGGTCCGTGTACGGCCGGACTAAGAGCGCCCGTACACGCGCCACATTTTGCGATCGAATCGACCACAAAATTGCAGTCGCGTTCCAGCGAACTCAAGCCGCCCATAAGAAATACTGTACTACACGTACACGGGCGTTCACAAGAGTCAAAATGGGCATCTGCAGTCAACTTGCCGCTGATCTCCGCCGAGATGTCATCGCGGCATCCGCCGTACACTAACCACAAACTTGCAGTCGTACCCAACCGCGTACACGTGGTGTACTTTTTCTCATATTGGTCTCACAGCATTCAATTTTTAATGTCGGTTGCCTCAACTGCAAGTGCGGTTTATATGACCGCAAAAATGTGGTTGGGTCAACCGCGAAGTGTAGTCAACGTGACCACAATGTTATGGTCCGTGTACGGCCGGACTTAGAGACAGGTGATTTGAATCACATCAACTCTTTACTTCCATCATATCGATGGATATGATTTTAGTTAAATCATTTGCATTGTCCGATTGCCAAAAAATGGTAGTATATTCTAAATGAACTGTTTACAAAGATGTATATTATAAAACTCCCCCAAAAATAAACTCCTTTAAATTCTACCAATGAAATGATACTGACAAAAATAATATTACCTGATATTGTTAGATCTCAACTGTCGAAGTCGAGCAATGCCAATATACTTATTATTTTGGTCAATGGTCATACCGGGCTCTTTGGTCACATATCTGCCATACCATTGGAGAGATTGCATGGAGAAAACCACTGTGTTTGTGATGTACTCCTCAATTCTGGAATAGAGGGTTTCAAAATCAATCAAAATTGACATAAATATATTTACAATAAAACTAATTTTCGAAACACACTAGGTTCTGGTATTTCAATTGAGATATTGAAATTTCTGGATATCTTATACAGGGTGTTCCAAATTAAGTTGGTACCATTGCCAACTCCGTTATCATTGATGATAAGAATTCGGTTAAATGGGAAAACTAAAGCATTTTAATGGCTTTTTCGATGCTAAAAAAAATAACATCCTCGTTTTTTAAATTTTTCATGAAATGATATTTTTTGAAATGTAACACCCTATATTTCATCATACATTTGGATTCGTAATAACATTCTCAACAATAAAGTTCATATCACCTTTTTTCCTGAAGTTGAAAATGAGAGACTTATGTGAAAATATATTTATTTCTTTCTCGAGTACAAACATTTTTTTGTGTTGGCAAATAAAATCTCATGATTGTCCAATATTTTGTTAGTAACAGCAAAAAAAATGCGCTGAGATTTGAACTCGTGAAATCCGTGATCATCATGTAGTACCTCTCACTTGACACCACTGAGCTATTTGGTATTGATATGGTTAGGTTAGGTTAGGTCCAAAGTGAGTGGGTCTATTCGACCCTCCACCGCAACCCGCAAGGGTTTATTGTGGCTCACACCAATTCACACTCACAAATAACCCCAGCTTCTTAACGAAGCCGATTAGTTTGTATGGTGAGTGGTCTTTTAGGTCAGATGGTATGAGTACGGCTCTGCCGAACTCTAAAGACCTGATTCGGTCCCCAGCGGGGCAGGCACAAAGTATATGCTCTGTTAATGTGGTAGTCGGATAGTCAAGTTGCAAGATTTCCACCTTGATACCCACGACAACCTTCCCATATGAGGGTTTTTGCATCAGCTGACCTGACAATGCCTTAGATTCAGCCGTGAATCATCACTTGAGCGCAAACGGTTATTCATCCGCTCATGGGGGGTTTGTTCCCCCACCTGAGACAGATTCTGCGTACGCCGCTCAAGAATTTGGTGCAAGGCGGTTTTATAAGGTACCCCGCTCTTGAGGAGACGACTCAGTCGTTTCCTGGCTGCACCACTGAATATTTTTTAAGGTTCAGTTATTGGATCAGGAGTTGGGGAGTTGAGAAGCTCTCGCTCCTGAACAAAATTTACAGGGAGGTCTGTTGGAGTCGTAAACTCGACATCCATCTCTTCTGTAGACTCGCTCCTGAATTAGATTTACAGGAAGGTCAGTAGGAGTCGTAAACTCGACATCCATCTCGTCTATAGACTCTGTCTGGGAAAGAAGGTCAATCACAGCCCCGCATTAACGTGACAAGTGGAAGCTACGAAGAGAGGGTGCCCGGTACCTCGAAGGTTCCGTAGAGACAGCTGATAGGCTCAGTGTCATTCATCTTCTTGGCACGGATACACACACCTTAGGATTAAGCCATCGTTGGGATGCCATTCAGTTAGGGAATTCCTGTATCCAGCGGGGCTACGTGGAAGCAGGCATCCGATGGCCGGTTTGCTCAACCCCCACATCCCAAGCCAATGCACTTGTCAAAAACAGTTTGCACAGTGGTTCAGGCAGAGTCAGGATGAACATAGACAGTCAACCTGCCTGGTAACAATTTACAAAACAATAATTTCCATCTTAATGCCATTCCACTGGCCGTATTTATTGTGTGAATCAAGAAATCAGAATATGTCTGCTATAATCATAACCTTGCAGCCGTTTTTGTACAGAACAGAAAATTACCGTACGTCATATTAATGCGGCTGGAGAAAAATGTTTTTGATTCGATAAAACAGAATTATTATGAGTAATCAGGTTGCCTTGAATCTTTGTTGAAATACTGTTTGACAAATATTCTTAAGTAAATCATGACAATGTCATAAATTAATATAACCGTCAACTACTGTTCGAATATTTTTCGAACTGCCGTTTTCTCATCAAGAAAAATGTGGTATATTAGAAGCCTACTTTATTTGCCAGAAAAATAGCGTAAGATCATTCCAACACCACAGTAATTCGTTCGCCGATCGTGAGTTACCTAATCGGCGTTTTTTTGCTGTGCTTCATTGTCGATTCAGGAGCAATGAAAAAGTTTTTGGGAAAACGATAACTTAAAAACGTTTTGTAGTATCTGAAGATACAGAAATTGACGTTTTAGCCTAGTTTGAGGTAAATCCAAATAATTCCATCAGAGATTCATCTAGAGATATAGCTGTTCCACCGTCTGTTATTCAACGAATTCCGAAGAAACATAGGATTTCACCTCATAAGTGAAAACCAGTGCAAACACTAGAACTTGTGACCCTGAGAGACGATTGGGTTTTTGTCGGTGATCTACGAAAAAATGCAGGCAAGATCCAAACTTCTATAGAAATATTATATGGATCGATGATGTTAACTTTTCAAATTGTGGGATAAATAATAGAAAGAATTTTCATTATTGGAGGTGATAGAATCCATTTCTAGTCCATCCACACAATCCGCAAAAACGATTTAGGATTAACGTATAGTCTGCCTATTTATAGGCAGAATTATAGGTTCATTTTCTACCATGGTTCTTTGAACGGACCCCGTTACAATAATTCATTAACAAGAGTGATGGAAGAGTTTTTCGATGATCTTGATCTGGAGGCTCGTCAGATGATCTATTTTCAGCAGGATGGATCATCAGCACCAAATTTCAGTGGCGAGAAAAGAATGTTGCGAGACTTTTTTGGAAACAGATGAATTGCTACAAATGGTCCTGTTAAGTGGCCTCCTCGTTAAACAGACATAATACCTCTAGATTTTTATTTTTGTGGATTTCTGAAAAATGAGGTGTACAAAATAAAACATAATGTGAATGAACTGAAATATTATATTGAAATTATCATTAATAGAATTGATGGCCCAATTGTGTTGAAAGCAACACGTAGTATCAAGATAAGGGCCCAAATATGTGTTCAACAAGAAGGCGGAGTTTTTGAATATTTACTCGATATTTTATAGCTCTTTATTCGCCAAAACAAATAGATTTTTGTACTAGTGAAATAAATATTTCTACATAAATCGCTCATTCAAACTTTAGGGAGAAAAGTAATTTGAGCTTTGTTGTTGAGAATGTTGTTACGAATCGAAATGAATAATAAAATATGCATTTCATGAAATATTTTGGAAACGCGAATGTCATTTTTGTTTAATTTCGGTATCGAGAAAGCGATAAAAAATGCTACTAATTTGCTCATTTAACCGAATTCGTAGCATCAATAATAATGGAGTAGGCATTGGTGCTGACTCAATTTGGAACACTCTGTATATATTGGTAGTCAAGGTGGAGTTTGTTGTCATATTGAGTTGGGGTCTAGTCAATATCATAATCAAATCTAAAAGAATGAACTTTAAACATTTAAGCCAGTCTCGAATATACCTACACAGTAGGTTGAATGGACTGACGCCTATCAGAACTACTCCCCTGGCTAATACCACGCAGGGCGTTGAATTATATCCGACAGGCGTCAGTGCAGAAATCTTCACAGAAAATTTCCTGCATATGCAATTGGCAATGCAACTGAAAGAGTTAACTTTCAATTTTAGAACGGGCACACTTGCAGACCGGTTTCGGGCTCATTACCCACTCGTCAGTGCAAGATAGTGGCCATCATCGACCTTAAGTCAATGATATTCCATAATTGAAAATCGGAATTCTTTCAGAGTATTTCATTCCTCTTCCTAAGTTGGAGCGAACAACATGATGTCACTCCATCCAGTGGATGAGGTACTAACCAACTGCATATCCGAAATTTGCTAATGAGCCCAAAATCGGTCTGCAAGTGTGCCCGTTCCAAAATTGAAGGTCGACTCTTTCAGTTATATTGCTAATTGCATATGCAGGAATAAACTTCTGTGAAGAATCCTGCACTGACACCTGTCGGATATAATTCAACGCCCTGCGTGGTATTAGCCAGGGGAGTAGATGTTTTCTGATAGGCGTCAGTCCATTCAACCTACTGTGTAGGTATATTCGAGACTAACTTGAACGTTTAAAGTTCATTTCTTTAGATTTGTTTACTGCCTGTCTTCAAGCATATCACACTGATTAATAAGAAACTATCATAATCATAATATTAAGTTGAACCTGTGAGTTCCTGCAGGAACATTTATGTGAAGTTTCAATATTTAGTCACAATCATTTGTGCAAAATGAGAAATAACACTTTTTATGTTTTTACCACTTTCATTTGTAACTAATGTTAGTTACTAAAGTTTCGTCCGATGGGGACATTTTCATACTAACACAATAAACTCAACGTTAATTACGGATAAAAATGGATGGTAAAGAACATAGAAAGTATTATTTCTCATTTTTGATGAGGATCTCCTACCACGTATTAACGGCTACATCCATCAATTTATTGGAACAATCATATTTGTATATTCGATTTCCTTCATTCAATTTGATGAGAACAGTGACAGTGATTGAAATTGTGATAATGATGGAGGCCCTGATGATTCGAAAATAATGACACCCAGATGTTAATTTCATAGCTGTCAGTTTCGTCACTCTTATAAAGAAGTGTTTTGTTGCTGTAAATATCTTGACCTAGCTCTCATTTCTCTCATCCTTTTATCAGTTTGAAGAGAATAATCACCATTATACAAAACGAACTTACTCTTTTCTATTGGAAATTGCATGCTTTTTAGGCATCGTCCTGGAATGTCTACCAATAACCAGATCCTCAGCTTCCTTATTGCTCAGATAACTCATAGCATCTCTATCCTTCAAAATTACCGTGTATAATAGCAACACATATACAGTTATCATGACCAGATCTTCTACAATTTCTATTATACTTTCCTTCACAAGAGCCCAATGTTTTTGTTCCTGAAATTAACTCTCTCGTTAACTAAAGTGTTTTTCATAGTACTCGCAGTAGGAGAACGGATACTCAAGATGTTCTCTAGTAGAGCAATTAGTATCATTGTAGAAGACATCAGAGTGAGAGTACTGATCATCAGGGGAGGTTCACAGGGAGGGGTCTTATCACTTCTTCTTCGGAACATAGTTCTGGATACCCACAACAATAGTGGATTCTACACAATTGCATAGTTATCTTGCAGACCGTCAAATTTGTGAACACACTGTGCGATAGAGCGGAGGATGGCCTCAAATTAATAGTTATATAGTAAAGAACACTCACTGTCGATCAACCCCAAGAAGACTGAACCCTTTTCACAAGGAAAAGAAGTTTATCGGGCTTGAAACCTCCAGAAATCCTCAAAAGCAAACTAAACTTCTCTGAAGAGGTGAATACCTTGGGGCTATCTTCGACAGGAAGCTAACATGGAACTCTAACCCCGTGTGGACACCTGGATCTACACTGCAATAATAAGACCTATGTTAACGTACGGAGCCATTCCATGGGGACCGAAAGTTCTACAAGCAACGGACATCCAAAAATTATATCGAATACAGCGATTGGCTTGTTTTAACATCACAGGAGCCATGAGAGCAACACCAACCGCAGCAATGGAATTAATTACTGGTCTGACCCCTCTGGACCTGTACGTTGAGGAGGTTGCGTTAATGGCCATGTTACGATTGCGCACGACTGGTGTTGAAAAAATACCAGCCTGGTTTAAACAGAACTGGCTGGCATCTCAATCGTCATAAAAGAAATAACCAGAAAAGGAATTTCTGGCAAAAACATAACAATCTGCACTGATAGCAGACAAGCCCTATTAGCCTTGAACAGACAACGTGTTACCTCAGGGCTAGTACTAGAGTACCACCAAGATTTAGCCAAAGCCTCGGTAGAATAACAATATCTTGAGGTGGGTTAGAGGACACGACAGAAGTAAAGGTAATCACATTGCCGCCTCTTTAGCCGAAGAAACGGCTGGACTAAGAATTTTACGACCCAGTGGCACCTACGGCCTGATGACTACGACAATTGTGGAACTAGCCAAACTTTACACCCATGCTCAATCCCTAAAGAGATGTGAGGAAATCAAAGGACGCAATCTTGCCAGAATTACCCTGGGCGACCCTGGGAAGCTGGCGCTGAAAAAATTTTTGGCCATGACCAGGAAAAATCTACGCTTAACAGTGAGGTTTATGACTGGCCACTGTCAACTAAGGAAACACCTCCATAATATAAGACTAGTGGACACACCTCTATGCAGGATGTGTGAACAGGAAGATGAAACTGTCAGGCATGTCCTATGCGAGTATCCGGAGTTATCGTCAATGAGAGAGTGTGTGTTCGGCCAGTCTTGACCTACACCTGCCGATATAAAGGAGATGTCTCCCAGTGAAGTGTCCACCTTCCTGGAAAGGACAAGATGGACGATGATCTAGGAGGACAACTCCTTGGGAGAATGTACAATGGGTCACATGTGGTCTCATGTGCCTACAGATACAGAAAGCACTCGCAGTGGTATAATTCAATTCACATTATAAATTATTATGAATAGTAAAAATAGGAGTTTTCTATCGAATTTTTTGGATGTTTTCACCATCCACAATCTGAGAATGAATACAAATTATAATGGAAAACTTTACACATTCTGAAACTGAAAAGAAGACTTCAAGAATCAATACATTTTCATGTGATTCTGAAGACTTAGACATATTTAGCCCTCCAAAACGTATAGTTTCTCAGCTCTTTTTTCGATAGGCAATATTATTATTTAATTAGTTAATATTTTTAAAATGAGTCCTTCCTTTCTTTGGAAGATTCCCACATTTTTTGTATCAAAATAGAGTAGTAGAAAGCCAAAAACTCTTTCCCTAAAAATAATCTCTCCTTAAAAAATATACCGTTTCAAGTTTAACAAGATTCCTATGGCTGGGTTTCAATCAAATAAGCGAATGAATGTTACGTACTGTCATCGATGAAATGGGTGGATTCGACCCATTCCGGGACAAAAAGTCGTAGTTATGAACGAATTGAGTATTTTTCCTTATAATGTTATCCGTATTTGCTACTGAAGAGCCGATAAGGCAAGTGTCTTACTGCGAAACATCAGATGTCTACCATTGAAGATGACAGTGTTTCATGTGAAAAAAATTTTAGTTCTTTCTTTCATTAATTATATTGTGTAGAAATCCTGTGAATGATATCTGATTTGATTCCATTATTATTGATTGGAATACAAACGGAATGGGGAAAAGTGTTTTTCGTATAGTTCAGCGTACATATACAAGTATTTGTTTTTTTTCTTTAGTGGAATTCAATGTTTATATGAAAAAAGCTGTTTCGAGTGGGCTTTTTCTTCCAGTTTGTATCTGAAAGTTACTTCTTTGCTTGATCTACACATCTTTGTAGATTATACTCTGAAGGAATTCGATTTTCAGTTATCAGAAATCATTGACTTTATGTTGATGCACTGACGAGTGGCCACACAGCCCGAAATCTGTCTGCAAGTGTGTTCCATTAATTGAAAATCTATTGCGGCAGTTGTATCGCCAACAGCATATCCATGAATAACTTCAGTGAAGAATTCTGCACTGACAACTGTCGAATATAATTCAACGCCCTTCGTGGTAATAGCCAGGGGAGTAGTTGTTTTCCGATAGGTGTCAGCCCATTAACCTACAATGTAGGTAGTTGAGACTGCCCTGAACGAATTGTTTTTTTAGATGATTTAAGATATTGATTCATCATAATAATAACAATAATAATAGTGTTCATTGCCCAACAGTTTCCCATTTACAGAGCAAAACTAACATACTTGAAGGATTAATACTATTTGATATAAAAAAACATAAATGACTTATAGGTACGCACGAGACTCATTTTTGATTTCACAAATACTGCAATAAAAAATATCCATGTTAGTAGAGAGCTTGTTCCTATTACGACCAATCAGAATGATTGGTGATTTCAACATTGAGTTAGTTTGTGCCCTTTTGCATAAAAAAGTATTGATGTGCCTAGAAGATATTCTTGGAACAAAGATATCAATTTGCCATTCAATAGGTTATATAGAAATAAAACAGATGCCTGATTTCTTCTTTTTTCTAAGGCTACAAAGGCAAATCTGCACAGCAGATCAGGATAATCACAGTTTCTTGGAGGATAAGTTCCGGTCATTCTAAAAATAAGAAATTTAAAAACTTCTTTTGGACTCTATCAATTGCTGATTTGTATTGATGGTATATGGGATTCCATATAACAGATCCATATTCTAGTTTTGGCCTCACCAGACTGAAATACAGAGAGGTGAAGATTAGCATATTATGAAAATTTTCGCTGTTCCTCATTATAAAACCGTATGTGCGGTAAGCTGAATTTATAATATGATTATAATGGTAGTTGAAAGTTAGTTGATGATCAAAATAGATTCCCTAATATTCTCAGCTCTTTCCAATATAATGTTGTCGATGTGGTAAGAAAATTCTAGTGTATTAAGTTTTCTACTGAATGTAACAATTTTACATTTAGATATATTCAAATGGATGCGATTCTTGAGACTTTTTGCATAATGTCACAATCATATAAACTGTTTATAGATGTATACAGTTTCAAATCATCAGCAAACATTAATTCATTGCAAGTTATTGAGTTGCACAGATCATTAATGAATAGTAAAAACAATAAGAGACCAATATTGGATCCTTGCGGGACTCCGCTGGTTGCTAAATACACATCTGAAGAAAAGCCACGATAATATACGTATTGATTACGTCCGTTAAGATTCCAAAAGTTTACAATAAATTTCATTGAAACCCATGCAAGAAAGTTTACAAATCAGTAACTTATGACTGACCCTATCGAATGCTTTAGAGAAGTCCGTGTACACCATATCTACTTGCCCTCTACAGTCTGACGATTCACATAAATATTGATCAAAAACAGCTAAATTACTGATGGTGGATCTATAGTTCACAAAACCATGTTAGTCATCAGATATTATATGTCGAGAGGACATATGAGGATTGATCATGACTAAATTATATTTTATAAAACGATTATTGAAGAAATAGAAAAATGTAAAACTGCTTTCAAATTCGAGATTCAATTGAAATATCATTCAACGAATTAAATTGAAAATACAAGATTATACAGTGCATTTCTTTAATGTCCCCCCTTTTATTTTTTTTAACTCAAAAAATTTAAATTTGATAACTGCCTATCCGATATTTCATGCCAAATAATTTCAAACACAGTAACATCAATATTTCTACAAATATTTATTTTTCTCTGCCGTATATCCAATATTGAGGCAGGTTTACTTTCGTACACGTTTCGCTTCAAATAGTCCTATAAAAAAGTCCAAAGGTATCAAATATGGCGAGTGGGCTGGTCATTCTGTAAGACCTCGTCGGCTAATCCAAAGACCGGGAAAAGTAGTAACCAAATAGTTTGTTACTTGTCTGAAGTAATGTGGTAGTTGTGCTCCATTTTGTTGGAATACAATATCTATATTGAATTCATTAGGATTCGCTTCGACGATTTCAGTGATGAGAGGGTTAACAGTATTTTTCAGCATATCCAAATACAGTTCCCCTGTTGAATTTTAATGAATGAATAGGGGTCCTACAATATGGTTTCCCAATAATCCTGCCCAAACGTTAATTTTTTCCGGATATTGGGTATGTGTTTCCCGGAAAACGTAAGGGTTGGTGACACTCCAATAACGGCAATTTTGTCTGTGAATATTGCCATTTGAAAAAAATATACATTCGTCACTAAAACAAATATTGTGGAGATGGATAGGATGCCTTACAATGGTTTCCGTCATGATTTCGCAGAATTCTGTTCTTCGATGAAGGTCATCTTCATTTAATTGGTGTACCATTTTAATTTTGTATGGATGATACCTATTCCTCTTCAAAAGTCTCCACACAGTAGAAGGAGACACCTCACAAACAATCGCAGCGGAATAAGTAGACTGTTTAGGATTTACTACCATCTCACCAATTATTTGCACTTGCTGTTCTTCCGGAATGAACGGATGATCTGGGAGGATTTTGTTGTGTACACTACCGGTAGTTGTGAATTTTGATGCAAGTTTCCTCAAATATTTTCTACAGATATGACGATTCGGAAAAAATTCATTGAAAATCCTTTCGGTCTCGTAAAAGTTACACGTCGCATCGTAAATAATAATCGCTTCAATTTTTTTTTCCAATGGACGAGAAGAGATTGTTCACGTGGTACCTACCTTTCTACTAGTAAAACAGAAAACTAAATGAGAATATTTCAACTGAACAATGATGTTCATTGTCGTACTGACATTTTTTATCGTTTTTATAAACAAAAAATAATTTAACAAACCTTACCGGGAATATTTCTAGAAATATCGATATTAATGTGTTTGTCTTCAGGGAATTATTAAATGTTCCGCCATTTTGTAGTAGGTGAAGATATTGACATATTCTAGTGTTGTGAAGTATTAGTCAGGAACTTCAAAATGATGTATCATATGGCCCCCCTTTCCATTAATTTTTTTCCCAGATGGCACCCAGTTGCCATCTTGAAAGTTTCATCTGTCAATTTCACTTCAAAATGCATTAATTTCATTATCATTATCACCTTCAACATACACGTTAGTCGTACAGTAAATGCAGTATATCGTGCATACGGCTTAATTGTAAGAAATTGTAGAACTTTCACAAATTTGTCTGCTCTAACAAAAATGTATTTCTATTTTGTCCGATCAAAACTAGAATATGGATCTCTAATATGGAACCACATATATGGACAATATATTTCTATCGTGGAGAAGGCACAAACAAAATTTCTGAAATTTTTGAGCTTTAAAATTGATGGAATATAGGTACGTACCCACGTAGAGGCCAAAACTATGTTTCTTTATTACAAAGATTTGACTTTATATCCTTAGAAAAACGCAGGGCGCAGACTTCCCAAATATTTCTGTACAATCTTTTGAACAATAAAATTGAGTCCTGTGAATTATTATCTTACATCAACATATCTGTAGCCCGGCAAACATCTCGAAAAAGCTGCACTTTTATGTGTAAACGAGCGCAAAGTAACCTTATGCTTAAGGCACCAATCTATGTAATGTGCACGAACTATAACAAAATTTTTGAATATTGTGATATTTTTTCCTGTTCTTCTTTCGAATTAAAAACAAAAATAAGTCTAGAGCGTATATCATATCTTAAATTGCTCTGTAAATGGTTGTTACTGTTGGGCAATAAATGCTTTATTATTATTATTATCTCAAATTTGAATTTTTTGAGTTGACTCGTTCAAAAAATAAAGGGGGTGACATTACAGAAATGCACTGTATGATTTTTCATATAGCCAGGATCATCTAAATATTTTTATAATGAATATGGATAATTACACATTTGAACAGAATCGAACTTGGTCTGTGCTTCATCATGATATCGTTTTTTCTGAATTGAAGATTCAGATTCATTGTTAACTTTTGATTCAACATATAGTAAATGGTGTTCAATTTTTCTGATCTCATAACTTTCACAATATTAACACTAATATTGATTATTGTTGAGGGGTTTTTCACCTACCTTAATTCTTGAAGGACCCATTGGTTTGTAAAGGTGTCTGTAGTAGGGTCGTAAAGATATTTGTCCAAATTTTGTATAAACGAGCGACCTTTGACCTTCTATGTAAGCCAGTGCAGGTTTTATTCGACGAAGAATATGAATCAGCTATAAGCAAAGGTACAGTTATATGTCCTAGTTAAAAAAAATGAGAAAAGAAGATAGAATATTACTGGAGTTTTTTCCCAACACCAAACCGTTATTTTAACACCTCGACACGTGTTTCGATCACCAAGTGATCATTTTCAAGAGGAAGATCAAACTGATCTTCTTGAAGGTTCTAAACAGTGCACCACAAAAAAAGTTAGGCTGATGGAAAAATACTCCAGTTGTTTTCTAACTGGGGGAGAAATAGCACATTTAATAATCTGTTGTTTTTCATTTAACTCACTCTCCTTGCCCTATTTAGGATGAAGTTATAGACAATCCTCACACAGTTTTCAAGTATACAAATATAAATCAGCAAGCTCACTATCGTTGAAGTCAACCATAGTAAGGCTGTTACATGGGGCACCCAGAATCCCATAATGATCAAGGTCGTCATACATGCAATCACGATAAGTATCAGTGAACACCTGAAAAATTGGAATTCGAATGTTTGTGATTAAATTCCAGAATAACTTGTTGAAGGTGGTCAGACGAAAGAAAACGAAAAGAGAGGTAAAGATGGGGAGGCAGGCAGTAAAGCAAGTTGAAGTAAGGTAATGAGGTGAGTCAAAGTAACGCAGGGTAGGGGAAAGCAAGCTAGTGAAGAAGAGTAGAATACAGGAAAGGCAATGCGAGTTAAGAGAAGAAGAAAAAAGAAGAGATGAAGGGGAAGGATGAGATGGAGGAGGAGTATCGTGATAGAAGAGAAGAGTTGATCATTGATGAGAGAATGAAGAAGAGCAAGGGAAAGAAATGGGAAAGGAAAGAAATTATAGAACGGAAAGATATTCAGATCGATGAAATGAATTTTATATTTTGGAAAAATTTTCAAACCATCATGGAATTCACAGAATGAAGCCATGAAATGCATTTATCATCCACCTTTCTTAGAACCAACCGAAAATCTATACAAACCATAGCATTTAATCGAAATTTATTACAATTATGGATTGGAAGTATGCACCTTTTTGCAGTCTGTTCTGAAGAATTGAACGCATTTCACTATGAAATTTATAGAACATAGAGATGTACATGATCTCAAACAAGACAGCTCAAATCTGCATTTTCCAGAAAATATATATTTCAGAAGAAATACATGCATATAATGAGTCACCAAATGATGTTGAACAATCTCCTAGCACAGAATAATTTGAAAAAGGACTGAAAAACTATTGTTTCATTATTCACAATATCATATTTGTTTAGTTCTTGTTAAAATGAATATCACTGGAGTTTTTTCCAACACCAAATCGCTATTTTTAACACTTCGACACGTGTTTCGATCACAAAGTGATCATCTTCAAGAGAAAGAATAAACTAGAAACTATCGCGAAGCTAACGCTATTTATGATATATAGATATATCCTACAGGTAAACCCTACAAGTGTACCACCCATACATGTATACCACCCTAAATTAATTTTACAATTACTCCTAATCTATTATTTTACGATATGTGTTTAAATGTTATAGCTGTATATAAAACAATTTTCAGCTATATAAAAATTAATTTCACAATATTGCCTATCTAAATTTATTTTTGCAATGTGTCCTTATGCAGTAATCAGTAAACCCAACAATATTATTTTAACAAGCTATATAGGTATAGGTCCGTCATCGTTATTCATATTATTATTGTGTTTACTTATTTCCACACTCATAGTAGCTCTAGTAGCCTGTTATTGCTATGTGTTCCTTATATCTTACTTTGATAGATCTTTTTGTCTGTCCATAATATTTTGCATCGCAGTCCTTACATTCAATTTCATAAATTTCAGACTTTTCCGAAATCTCGACTTTGTCTTTTGGACTTCCCAAAAGGCTCTGTTTTAAAAACCACCTCTATACCTAGTTCCTTGAAAATCTTTCCAAAGTTCTTCGTATATTGGTGGTATGGAATTGGGATGTATTTATCTTGGTTTTTGTCCTTTCTGAAAGTCGAGATTTCGTTCATTCTTAACCTAAACTTTTTCTTTCTTATTATGTCATCTACAATACCCCTCGGGAAACCGTTAGTGGCTGCTTTTTCCTGTATTGAACGTCTTTCTTTTGTGAACCTATCATGTGTTAGAGAGAAAGTCAAAAGACGATGCACTAAAAAATTCAACCCACCACGTTTGTGCTGTTCCCAAGGATGTGAACTGTCAGGAATATACCTGTACGTGCTTGTTTCTTTTCTAAATATATCGTGTTCTAACCCTCCATATTGGCTCCTCATTACCAAAACGTCAAGAAATGGTAGTTGTCCCTTATTTTCTAACTCATACGTGAATTTTATTGATGGGCATCTATTATTTAATACCAAAAAATTGAATATTGAAGACTTTGTTTCCTTTTTAATTAATAGATGTCCATCAATAAAATTCACGTATGAGTTAGAGAATAAGGAAATACTACCATTTCTGGACGTTTTGGTAATGAGGAGCCAATATGAAGGTTAGAATACGATATATTTAAAAAAAAAACAAGCACGTACAGGCATATTCAATGACAGTTCTTATCATCGTGGACAGCACAAACGAGCTGGGTTGAATTTTTTAGTGCATCGTCTTTTGACTTTCCCTCCAACACATGATAGGTTCACAAAATAAAAACGTACAATACAGAAAATAGCAGCCACTAATGGTTTCTTGAGGGGTCTTGTAGATGATATAATAAGAAAGAAAAAGTTTAGGTTAAAAATGAACGAAATCTTGACATAGGATAGCATAAATAGCGTTAGCTTCGCGATAGTTTCTAGTTTGATCTTCCTCTTGAAGATGATCACTTGGTGATCGAAACACGTGTCAAGGTGTTAAAAATAGCGATTTGGTGTTGGGAAAAAACTCCAGTAATATTCATTACCACACCAAACGTTCCAAACAGTGCATCATTGGTTCTTGTTATTAAAAGCTTTCTTTGGAGTTATATACTTATATATGAATATTTCTCGTATAAGTAATTTCCTATATGAACTATTGTAGTTTTTGAGAATAAATTAACGTTCAATATATTTATGAAAACGTGAAAGTTTCTCAAAAAATTCAAATTGGAAAATGATAGTTCCATGAGATGATAGTACTTCATTTGTCAGTAAAGAGAAAGAAAAAAAAAGAATATGTGAAGGTTCAGGTATTTTATATCTGAATGAAATGAAAACTAGAAATATTGATGGTGTATGATTCTCATATTGATTTTGGTTATCCAATAACAGATCTTCCGTCCAGAAATTTTATTATGTTCGTAGCTTCACTAACCAACAGATTAGATTCAGGTGGGGTAGGTATTTTCCAACTAATCCAGTTCTACTCTCAGCCGCAATTTCTTCGTGATGAAATCTGAAAAAATAATTGTGTTTCGTTGACACACAATAGTATTTCAAAGCTTCATTTTGTATATATCACATTATTTTTAACCAAGTTTGCGCTGGTTAGGCTCCATCCCCAAAACTCCGATACATTCAGAAGGGCGCGCCAGCATTATCAACCAATGACCACTCATCACACCGTGGGGTAAGTGATCATTGGATCCGAGAATCACGTGCCCTGAACAAGCGCATTATTATTATACAATTATTATCATACGTGCATGAAAACAGCTTAATGACTTATCACTTCTCACCATTGAACAAAAAATTAAGAAAGTAATGAAGCTTTTTTCCTATAAAACCAAGCATTTCTGAAAATATTCCGCTTTCAATTTGCCATATAATAATAATAATAATGATTTATTTTTCCAAGAAACATACAAGCTTAAAGTAGGGAAAAACAATAATTCATAACTATATACACATATCAAGGGTGAATTAAAAAATCAATAGTGAAAAAATAAACAAATACATGAATTTACAATATGTGATAAAATAAATGATAGTTCATTTGAAATAGTTATATAATTATTTTTTTTTCAGGCAGCTTATCAATTATATAAGGAAATATTTACATTTTTTTTCCATATATTTTTTCACTCCATTACAAAATATATCTCTATTTATTTTTTGTATCGTTCTCATGTTTTTGAATGTTTATTTCAAGTTCATGCATGTGAATCAAAGATTATTGAAATTCTGTGAGATGCTATCATCCATTTTGAGCCTATCTGAGGAAAATGTCACACCACCACATTCTCAGATTATCGAGATAGTGTGAAGCAGTGTATGAAAAATTATCGATGGCGGCATCAATTATAACTGAAGAAGATTATTCGTAAAACTGATTCTGGTTGCTGAACATTCAAATTCTATCCCAACCAGAAGTGAGAGCTCTTGATTGATGAGCAAAATCTGCAAAAAATGGAAAAAATCTATATTCAAAGGTTCACATCTCGAAAACTGTACAATACTGAGCTTTGGCTGTGGACACTTTCAATCAGCACATCAAGAACTACAACATATCAAAATTTCGGTGAAATTCAAGGCAATCCATTCCTCATAAGAAATGTGCGGGGTCCTTTATTTAAATATTGAGGAAACATTTTACCATCCGAAACAAAATTAATCTTTATACTCATTGCAACACCGAAACAATTGTTAATTTTTAAAGAAAAAATCGCACTCGGTGAACAGGTAGAATTTAGATTATTTTACCTACTTGCTGAATTGTTGTCTGAAATCATTTGAAGGGATTGAATTACATTAGTTTCATTGAATCATACGGTGCCCTGAAATCACCATGGAAAGAAAACAGTTGCTCAATGATATTTACTGTCAACCTGACAATATTGTTGAAAGATCTTGTTGTATTAACCCCAAGACCAGTTTTCATTGCATTTGTTGTTTCTAGTATTGTTGTTCTTTGAATCACCGTTATTTTGTTCCCATTGTGTTTTTTGTTCCTGTATTTGTGTTGGATATTGTTCCTGTGTTCCATTTGTTTTCTGTTCGTGAGTTCCTGTTCATATTTTAATATTTCTGAAGTTCCCATTTTAATTGGTATCAGCTCATTTTGATTGACAAAGTTCAACATGGCACGTCTGTCACCTCAAGCAAAAATTGAAATTGTTTTAATTGTTGGTGAAGGGATGAGGTCTTATCGTGAAGCGGCCGCTGAATTTAATAGAAGACACCCGCTATAGGCGGCTCATCAAGCTAATCCTAGAATTAGTTTGAGAAACTTATCGCTTCAACTCAATATGAGCCGCAGTAAAATATGAAGGTGTTTAAAGAGGCATAAAATGCATGCCTTCAAACCCAAATTTTTACATACTTTGCACTAAGGAGATGAAATCTGCATACACACTCCTAGAAACAGTAAACCTAGAGAAGATCCAACACCTGATGTGATCCAAATACAGGCAAATTTACCTAAAGTACCTGGAATACCTACATTGTACCTTCTGTCAGTGTTTTAGCCACCGCGTGAATTTGTTTTGAGTGGTGGCGTGAATTTGCGTTCAGGTACCTATTCGTGTACCGTCCGGCTTTTTCATAATCAGCACATCCATAAATTTAACAGTCTTAAATCACTTATCGAGAAACAAGTACAAATCAAAACACAACCAGACCTTACATTCAATATATCATACAAAACCATACACCTTCCTAGAGAAGATTTAACACAAAGAATAGTACCTGATGCAGTACAAATAAAGACAAATTTACCTAAAGTACCTAAAATACCTGAGTTGAGACGTTCGGTCCGTATAAAGAGGCAGACGACAGGATGACAAGTTCAGTTTGAGGAGTGCCTAGAAGATGACAGTACGGCCAGCTTTTTGTGAAATCTAATATTAAAATACTGAAAATAAAGGAAAATTAGCTGCATCATTCACAAAAACACACTTTTTTCACGCAAACATACGTAAATCTCCTAACTTTTATTTTTTTGGTAGCTTTTTTGAAAAACTAAAATGTTAACTAGCTAACTTCAGGGACATCCTCTCCGACAGAGGATGGTTGTGCCAATAACGACCGTCCTCAAAAATGACACGCGGATGTCGTGGTCGGAGTGGAGCTCAAAAGTGAGGTGTTTCTCAAAAAAAGATTCAATTTCGAATAAATATTGAAGTGAAAGACATTTTGAGAAGACTGGCGGCCCCCTACGCAAGTATCTAGGCTGGATGTTGACAGATTTGACGAGATCGTCAGTGCAATAATGTGTTATTAGTGAGAGTTATATTGAGAGGACTGGCAGCCCCCAATTAAAAAATTAAGTATTTCAAAAAAAGAAAATGTGAATGAGAACATTGCCTCAAGTAAGACAGCTGCATCCCCGAACGAAGCTTCTGTTCACTAAAGACAGGAGGAGTCTGGCCAAATGCTCTCGACTAAGAAGCACGACCATATAAATTAAAGAAGAAGAAGCTAACTTCAGGGTTGGAGTTTCGTTACGATGTGCGGTGGCATCGTAAAAATTCACTCTCGTTATTTTATCCCTAACGCGACAAAAGGAGTATAACTTCAAAACAAATTACTTCCACTCACTTTGATGGTAACGAACAATTCATTCATCAATATTTCATGATTACCATTTCTGAAGAGACCTATATATGAAAGTGATTTCTTACCTGAAGAAGTGTACAATAGGCATATGTATCAGGACTGTTATCGCAAAACCCCAACATGTAGTCCATAATAACTGTACGTTGAAACCATACTCAGAATACTGACCCAAACTGTCACTATTTTGTAGTTTCGGAATATCATACAAAAACATAATTACGGTGTATGTAGTCATGAAAATAGACAGCATCATTGTTAGTCTCTTGGTTCTTGAAATAGCATCTTCATCGTCGCTTAAAATGAAAATATGATTATTAGGTCTATGAATTAGTTTCGCTTCTATTACCAATCTACAATTAAGAAATTATTTCTTCACATCTTTTAATCCACAGAAAGAAATGTAACAATTCAGTGACAGGAGAATCACCTAATGAGGTAAAAAGTGATTTTTCCTCGCTGCCTGTTTCATTTATTGAAGAAAGTGAGTGTAGTACAAATCCATAATAGTAGACACTGAATTCTAAGGAATATTATTGCATTGAAACGAAAACATTGTTGTCAAGGTTGTGATTCTATTTATATTTCATTATCATCTTATATCTTATATATTTACTATAATTTCCTTACGCCACTGCAAGAGACATATTAAGGCAAAAACGTCATTTCTGAGAATTGAGTGCCTACTATTTTGGAATTATAGTATAGTAGATGAAATTAGACGGGAAAAGATTCAGCCTAATCAAATAGTTTCTTTTCTAGAAGAACCTATACAAGAAATGGCTACTTAAACTTGCAAACTTGTTTCAGAACATTTAAATATGAGTTCACGAGCGATATAGAAATTTTCTTCAATTTAAAAAAATATATAATATAGTTCAAGTAGACGATATAGTGCAACCTGCCTTCCAACAGCCCCCCTTTAACTAATTTCGTTGTTCAATAATCATTTCTGATTATATAAGAATCACAATAACTATATAATGTATAATAAAAATGTATATAATGATATATATAATGAATATTTCGTTTATATAGGTGAGTGGGAAAGTAGGGATTCAAATAACAGGGTGCTAATTGAAAATACTTCTGAATTCTACTTACTCACATATATATATACACGAAAGAGAGATTTTATATATATATATATATAACTGGTTAGAACATCAATTGTTATAACAAAGGATGTTAAATGATCGTGAATACACGATCATTCCACGATCAATATTATCGAAATGAACTCGAAGATATGGAGGCCATTGTTTTATAAAATAGATTGAGATATAATGTCGTTATTTTGAGTCAACAAGTAACTTAATTTAGATACCACATTAAAATTTTTCTCACGAAGTTATATGTCATTCACAAAAACTTATAACATAGTTCCATCAATAATTTAACAATATTTATCACCTAAAGACGCCAACTTGGTTGGTGAAATACGCGTCTAAAAGAGTGTTTCTGTCCTGGTGTTCAGGAACAGCGCTTGTTTTGGACCTTTCTACGATGATTGGTTGTTATCTAACTCGTACAAGGCGAAAAAATAATTTGTCCCAGCGTTTTCATTATCAACTTACCGAAATATATTCCACATGTGACATCCGTGCAATGAGATTTTGTTTAAAAAAAATCTTGGATTCGTCTTTCTAACTGATTGCCTCTCTGGGGTAGCAGAAAAATAATAATTTTCCTTATCGCATATCTCAAATCTGAATTTAATATTGAACCACCAATATTTGTTCATTTGCAAGTCGACAACTTCTATCTCTGAGCAGTACCTAGAAGAGATCGATAACATAAATAATTGCACGATTGTTTCTTGCAAGCACTAATGAACGTTTGTCGCGATTGAGTAAATGTTCAATAATAGAATCAATATTTTATATTCTTTCGTGCATTAGAAAAATGACGAATGAAAACTATTAAGCCTCTTACCACGAAGGTCTGAAACCCAAGGAATCGAACCAAATTTCAATTCTATCAATATCTCCCAAGTAAAATTCAGTTGCCAAGAAGAACCAATCTTCCTGGTTCTGTTGTAGAATCCTTTTTTCTGGATCGGGAAAGTTCAGAACATGTTCCTGAAATATATTTGCGCAGAAGGATTTATTTTTAAATTGAAAATGGTGTCTTTAGAAGAGGTTGAATTTTTGGAAAAGGAAGGGTTTGGCTTTCTACTTCTTCATCTTTTTTTATTCAAGAACAAAACACAAGCACTACAGAAAAATATTTGAAGTGCTCTAAGAGCGATGCCTGTGAGTAAGTAGTGATTCACAATGAGCTTGAATCGCTGGCGATTGATGTCCTGTAGGTCTCCACTCTTGAATTTATGAGTTTAACAACCCCTATAATCTTCAGTGTTGAATTTTGAATTTGGCACCCTGGTTCGTTTAACTACCTGTCGTTCAACTACCTGTCCTTCCAACTTCACATTTTAGTTTTGTACTCGTTCCAGACTATTAAGGTTGCAAGAGATGCTCGTGTTTCTGGATGCAATTTAATAGCTTCAGGGTATGTTTAGGAACGAAAATTCATACACCAGAACAATACTCCAAAGAAGGTGAGATCTGAGCTTTTTAGAGCATCAAAAGTTGCTTTCATCCCAATTCGAAATCACCTCAAGATCCTTATTAAAATATGCAACCTTCTACTGCCGGTGAAGATGTGCATCCGCAGCCGATGAGCTGGAATCTAAATGGAGTAACGAGAGACGTGTGCTGTCATCAGCAAAGCAGTATATTGAATTCTTCGTTTTTTCCAATAAGTCGTTGATATGCAATAAAAAGACGGTTGGTGACAATATGGATCCCTGGAGAACACCAGCGTTGATCGTAAAAGTATTCGAGAGATAGCCACTTGCAGGAACTGTTTTCTCAGGAAGCTGGAAAGCCATAATCAAAAATGATCCGACAAGCCTAGCATCGAAGTTTGGCCAGCAAACTCTCACGCTATCACACACGGTCAAAGCCCTTATAAATATAAAGCGCAACAGCTCTTGACTGTTTGAAGGTGATTGACAATGTTTCGTGGTGTATTTCATCAGTTCAGACTTCCATTGTCTGATATAATATAAATTGATTTGAAATTCCTGAAAAAATATTAAAAAGATTAACCGAAAATAATAATTTTATTTGAACAAAAAACTGAAATTACGAAGAAATAACATAAAACCAAAACACAACCAAAAAATAAAAATTGAAATAATAATAAAAGCTGAAAATTGAAAATTATTATTAACGCGGCTTCTTTGAATTTTCCCTAAACCATTGTTCCTCTTTGTGGATGATTTCAGCTTGAGCCCACTTGATATTATGTTGATGAGCCTAAACATGCTCTGCTATTCCGGTTTTGCTGGTTTCTCCTCGCTGTGTATGTTTCTTGTGCTCAGCAATGCGAACTTTCAATGGCCTCTTAGTTTCACCGATGTAGGATTCTCCGCACTTGCAGGGTATCCGGTAAATGCAATCCTTGGAATCGCAATCCGCGTTTGGTGGCCTGGTTTTCCTGAGGCTGCTACGGATAGTGTTCCCAGATCTGAAGCAGGTCCTGATGTTATACTTGGACCCAATCCTTCGTATCCTTTCCGATAATCCTCTGATGTAGGAAAGTACAGGTACTAGTTGTTGTGGAAACTTCTCTTCCTTGTGGAGCTGTTGCTGTCTTCTAGCTAAAGTCTGTTCTACCATCACTCTGGAGTAACCATTCCGTTGAAGGTCGTTTTTTATGATGCCTAGTTCCCTTTCGAGACCTCCCTTTGTGTTACAGAGCCCGAAGGCACGGTCTAGTAGAGTCTTGATGATTCCTCTCTTAGTCGATTGATGGTGGTTGGATTTCTGGTTCAGATACTGTCCTGTGTGAGTAGAATTTCGATATACAGATGTTTCCCATATTTCCCATGTTTCCCATTTAGTGTCGGTCCTCTTCACCAATACGTCTAAGAAAGGCAATTCGTTGTGGACTTCTTTTTCCATTGTGAAAGTGATGGAAGGACTAACGTTGTTGATGTGCTTCAGAAAAGTGTCTACTTCTGCATTCCCATGCTTCCATATTATGAAGGTGTCGTTAACGTATCTCAACCAGACTCGGGGCTTCTTGTGGTCTTCTTCAATGGCCAGAGTTTCAAACCACTCCATATATATATATTAGCTATAACCGGTGAAAGTGGCGATCCCATTGGCAGTCCCTCATCTTGCGTAAAGAATTCGTCCTTCAGTTGGAAGTAGCAGTTTCGTACACAGCATCCTAGTAATTCCATGATTACTTGTATTGGTAAGTTTGTTCTATCTTTCAGGTTCCCATCTTCGAATAGTTTCTTCTGTATGATTTGAAGTGCTTCTTCGACAGGAACGTTGGTATAGAGGCTTTCCACGTCGAAACTGATCAGTTGATCCTGCTTATCCGTAGCAGCCTCACGAAAACCAGGCCACCAAACGTGGACTGCGATTCCAAGAATTGCATTTACCGGATACCCTGCGAGTGCGAAGAAACATACATAGGTGAAACTAAGAGACCATTGAAAGTTCGCATTGCTGAGAACAAGTAACACACGCAGCGAGGAGAAACCAGCAAATCCGGAATAGCAGAGCATGTTTGGGCTCATCAACATAATATCAAGTGGGTTCAAGCTGAAATCATCCACAAAGAGCAACAATGGTTTAGGAGAAAATTCAAAGAAGCCGCATGTATGTTGTCCAACAACGCATTTAGTCAAGCTAGCGTAGAGATACGTAATATATGGAAACCTCTGATCAAACGAAAAACGACCAACTCCCGCTAAAAACCAATGAAGCGAAGAGAGAGAGAGAGGAGGGGATAGGTGAAAGCACTCGAATGCTCTATAAATAGTCGGATCTCGGAGGGATAATTCCAGTTATCACCCGAAGACGATTGTGGATACTAACAATCGAAACGTCGTGACATAACTTGGTTTGAAATCTTTTAATTTTTATTTTTATTTTTCATTTTTTGTTAATAATAATTTTTAATTTTCAGCTTCTATTAATATTTCAATTTTTATTTTTTGGTTGTGGTTAGGTTTTATGTTATTTCTTTATAATTTCACTTTTTTTGTTCAAATAAAATTATTATTTTCGGTTAATCTTTTTAATATTTTTTCAGGAATTTCAAATCAATTTATATTATATTAGACAACTGATGAAATAGTTCTTGATTACCCATGTTTCTCGATTGCATCATTCCGAATATGGTTGACATACGATCTTTGTTTCCGAAAGCCGATATCGATGATCGCTCAAAATGTTAAAGCCTTCTAAATATTCAAGGATATGGTGGTTTATGGCGAGTGGTCTAAAGAAAATATATTTTTTTTACCTTTTTGGGAACAGGCTGAAGGCCAACAAGAAGGAAAAGCCTCTTCCTTGTAAGACAGGTTGAGAAGTCTGCAAAATACTGGTGTGAGTTCATTTCCACACTTTCCAAGTATGATGACGGACACTTCATCAGGACCAGACGCCTTGTTGATATTGAGCTGTTTCAAAATTCGCTTGACTAGACGTTGTCGAAAAGTAATTTCCGGCATTACGGATTCTAGTGTGGGATACAAAAACATCTGAGAATCTTCCAAAGAAAGGAAGGAAATTATCAATTTCAAATAAGTAATTCTTTACAAAGATATGTAAATCATGCAAAGAAGTAATTTTTAGACACAAACTGAAAGGAAAAACCTTCTCGAATCAAAGAGTGAAAAATCGGATGTCTATCAGTGTGGATGACAGTGTTCCATGTAAGTGAAATTTCACCTCTTTCATCAACTATATTGTGTAGGAATCCTGTGAATGATATCTGATGAATGTTTGCAATGCGAACTGAATGAAGAAAAATGCTTTTTGTATAATTCAATGTTCATATAAGAGTATTTGTGTCTGAAAGTTACTTTTTGCATGATCTACACATCTTTGTGAGGAATTACTCTTTTAAAATCATTGCTTTCTTTCTTTCTGTGGAAGATTCCCACATGTTTTTATATCAAGACCGAGAAGTAGACAGCCAAAACCTTGCTTTCCCAAGAAGACTTATTTTCAATTCTCCGGCTATTGCTTTACCTTACTTTCTGCACTCAATCCATATAATTTAATGATAACATTTGATGTCGTTCCTGCATCAGATTTATTTCCAGTTTTCACAATAATAAGATATCCAAATCGATAGGAACTAGGTATGTCGCTCAGGAAGTATATACTCTTCTCAGAAATCTGCCAAATAAGGAATAATAATGCAACTCTATAACATAAAATTGACAGCTCAAATTTTCTGGTCTATGCTTCTTTCTACATGTTAATAAAACTCCAGATGATATTGAAAATTAATCTCATAAAATCCAATGAAAGAAAAGTTGAAGACCGATGAAAGTAATGAAATGCTTCAAGCATTGTATTGTATTGCTAGTATTATCCCTACAAATATCAAATAGGAATTATGAAGTGAAAATACAAATCTGAAAAATGGTGAGATTCACTAGAACAAGAAAACACAAGTCAAACAAATGATATTAACAGTCCGAAGTGAAGTTATCCAGAATTAACATAAAAAACGTTTATCGATGGCGTACAAAAAATTTGTCAAATCCGCTGAACAGAACATCAAAGACAATCCAAATAAATTCTGGGCATATATAAATAACAAAAAAGGTTCTACCAGCATTTCGGACAGAATGTCCTATGAAGGACAATCTTTAGATACTCCTATAGATATTCTTAATAACTTTGCTGATTTTTTCTTAAAATCATATATCACCAGCTATCCAACCGAATTGAGCGATGACCATCCATATTCACAAGTCTTGAATATTCAATACTTCGAAGAAAATGAAGTGTTGGCTGCTTTGAAACAGATAAAACCGAAAAGGTCCCGACAGCATCCCTGCACTGATTGTCAGAGATTGTGCATATGTTTTGGCTCGTCCTTTGACAATATTGATAAATATCTGCATCAAAACTAGTACCATCTCAGATCTATGGAAATTATCTAAAGTTCGGCCAATTTATAGAAAAGGGAACAAGTTTGGAGACGGTAATTATAGACCCATATCAACAATATGCAACTTCGCCAAAGTTTTTGAAATCGTCATCTATAGCAGGTTATATCCTCATTCGAGCAATCAAATTACACCACTTCAACATGGTTTTATGAAAGGTCGCTCGACAATCACTAACCTTTTCAATGTAACCCAATATATTTCTGAAACCATTGATAGGATATCCCAAACTGATGTCATATATACGGGTTTCTCTAAGGTGTTAGACAGACTTGATCACGGATTACTGCTATCGAAATTATACAGGTACGACTTTTCTCTGACCCTGATCCAACTTTTCATATCATACTCCAGTGACAGGTGTCAGTATGTTATATTCAATGGCTTCAAGTCCACACATTGAAGCCATTCTGTCTGCTGCAAACAGAATGTATGGATTTATTGCACGAATCCCCAGAGATTACTTGTATCCATCTATATCGAAAACTCTATATTATGCTTTCGTCAGATCAGAATTAGAATATGCATCCATAATCTGGAATTCATCTCATTAGTTGTATACAGAGAAAGTTGAGTCGGTACAACGTCGTTTCCTAAAACTTCTCTCCTATAGTTCAGATAATATCTATCCACCAATTGGATTTCCCCATGATGCATTGTTGGCTAGACATGCTATGAATAGCTTGAGTTGCCGTCGTGATTGTCACTCCACAATTTTTCTTTTTAAACTGAATAATAATTTAATTATTGGCCAACATATTCTGCAAAAACTTAATTTCTATGTACCTAGACCAACCTCTAGAGTGGTTAATTATTTTTATCTGCCAACGCCACGTACAAATATTCTGAAACGTTCACCTCTGCATAACTTATGTGTCAAATGCAATTCTGTAAGTTGTCAGCTCAATATTTTTTTCTGTTCCATCTCTGAGAGTAGGTCTTTCCACTTCAGCTAATTCTATTTGTATTGTTTTTATCTTATAACTTATTGTAATTGTATTGTATTGTGATTTGACTTATATCCCTGATCTGTAGTTGGATGTAACCTGTAGAACAGTATATGAATAAATAAATGAATGATCAAATGAATTTGTAAACCTACCAACTACAGAAATAGAAATTTTCCAGGAGGCCAAAAAAATTACCCCAATTGTTCAAAGGATCCCGCAAAATCCTCATGGAATTCGGGTACCTATCGGTGGATTATTTTGAATTTTTTGTATGATGCAGTCCATGTAATTCTCAACCAATGTTACCATTGCGCCAACCCCAAAAGTGTTCATCAATTTTTGTAACGAATAACTTTCAAAAGTTTTATTTTTAATATGTACATACTACGAAATTGTTCGTTAATTCTTACCTTGTGACCCTCTATACCAAAATGTGAATGTTTTAAGTATAAGATGATGTTAATAGTTTTAAATTCACATACCACAAATGTATTATAAACGGAATTGATCGAACTATGAACTTTGTCGACAAAATGTAAAATTTCAGACAGTAAAGCTTATCTTATCTCATCTATTACTGTTTTTCTCTATTTCATATTTGATATTTCTGATTTATTCGTCATTATATGTATGAAACAGTAATATTTTTCAATTTTCACAGTGTGTTCATATCTAATGAGTCATTCGGCTTTCAAAAATTGATGATTCCAAAAACTAAACCTAAAAAAAAATTTTTGGTAGTACAGCCAGGAAACGACTGAGTCGTTTCCTCAAGAGCGGGGTACCTTATAAAACCGCCTTGCACCAAATTCGTGAGCGGCGTACGGAGAATCTGTCTCAGGTGGACGAACAAACCCCCCATGAGCAGGTTAGCAAACGTTTGCGTTCAAGTAATGATTACCAAAACCAGAGGCGAAATAGCCCTGCACGGTTGAATCTAAGGCATCGTCAGGTGTAGCTGACGTGCAAAAACCCTCATATGGAAAGGTTGTCGCGGGTATCCAGGTGGGAATCTGGCACCTCGACTCATTAACGATGAAACATCAGAGCATATACTTTGTGCCTGCCCCGCTGGAGATCGCGTCAGGTTTTTAGAGTTCGGCAGAGCCGTAGTCTCACCATCTGACCTGAAATTCCACTCACGTTACAAACTAATCGGCTTCGTTGAGAAGCTGGGTTTATTTGGTCGAGTGTGAATAGGTGTGAGCCACAATAAACTCTTATGGGTTGCGGTGGAGGGTCTAATAGACCCACTCACTTTGGACCTAACCTAACCTAACCTACACAAAATGATTGTAGGATGAGAGTACAATAATTAGTATAATATGCATCTCTCTAAAGTAGTGGAATCGATTCTGAAAAATCAGATTAATGAGTACGTCAATGAAAATCATATTATAACATCTGTACAATCAGGATTCAGACCTCAGCATAGTACCACCACGGTTCTTCTGTCAATTACTGACGATATTTTTCAAGCTGCAGATGAACAAAATTTGACCTGTTCAATACTCATAGATTACAGCAAGGCATTTGACACTCTAGATCATGTGATATTGTGTGACAAACTTGTCTACTTCGGTTTTTCTTGGAAAGCAGTGTCTCTCTTTCTATCCTTGGGCCCTTGCTTTTTAGCTTGTATATTTGTGACTTTTATCTGTCCGTGAAAAAATGCCATATACATCACTATGCAGACGACACGCATTATTATTATTTATCAGTTCTATTTTTTGAGATTCCAAAAGTTTTTTATAGTTTATTGAATCACTACCAACAATTATTGAATTGAATTGTGAAAACGCTGACCCATTAATACAGCATTTTCACAAAAAGACGTTTTTTGCTACACGGTAGCTTCATCAGTAAGACAAGTGTCCACCAGTCTGTCCGTCCACCAGACTGGTGACACCAGTCTAACTGGTTTACTCGTAGTGCAAAACTAGAAACCCACCTTTTTTGTCGTTAAAGTTACGTAGATCAGTAGGACACAATAAAGAAAAAACGCCACCGCTACAGAAATGAAAATAATCACAGTCGTCTGCAACTCCAATTCATTCATAAGTATTCTTGTTTTTTCCTCTCTGATATTGTTGTTTTTTATTCTTCCACATAGAACTGATGAATGGTAACAGAGACACTCGAATCGCTCAAAAGTAGAAGTTTCGTCTGACTGAAAAATAATGACAAATGAATCATTGTATTGTATATGTGTATCACTTTTTAATACGCGAGGATTTTCCACATAACTATCATCATTTATACTTTACTGGTCAGGATGAAAACTCTTTGAAAAACTGATATGCATTAAAATTCAGAAGGAATTATGCAAAATGCGTTATATTACAATGTAGAAATGTTTGAATCTGAAATCTAGTCGTTCAATAAATATTGGGTGAAATGAAAAATGTATATTCATAATAATAATAATAAAGTAAACACTGATAGCCACTAACACCTGAGCCCTTTGGTGAGTTGTACCACCGCTCACACGAGCAACTGGTGCAAAACCGTACCAGCAGCCCAGACGCAGCCGAGAGAGAACACTACTATCGTTCAGGCCGTGGGTCTACAAGGCTAACCACCAGGTACACCTAAAACTTGGTTCCTGGTAATCAAGGAAGATGCCCCTACATTAGACCCGCTCGGTGGGGTCAAAGGCAAGGTGGTGGGGCCTATTATAAGAGATAGCCTAATGCATTACTACGAGAGTAGTGAGCCAAACCTTACGTATTTCTCATCTTATCTTCGGTTGCAGAGCTATATAACTCCTCCTCCGCCTGCTAACGAAGTGGTGACAGTGACAGTTCTACCACCTATTGGCACGGCTGGAGAGGAAACTCGCATCGTGTCATCGTGGAGTTGATTGAAACACACAGGGCGCTTCACAGGATTAGGCCCCTGAAGCCTAATCCTTACAGAAGAGGCTGACATCTGGCAAATTAAAACCGCCGTGTATAGCGACGTTCAATCTCTTTCCGAATCGAAAGGAGTGAATCCCTGCCGTGCGGTTTGGAAGATTCAACGGCGGGTACACAGAATGGAGACTCAAATCACGTCGACGAGACAACACGTGTCTCGTATCCAACGTGTGATGGATTACAGGGCGGCCAATAAGCCTTTCACGCCCGCAGTGCGGCGAATAGCCGCCAAACTACGATGTATCCATCACACTTTGAGTCACGGCGTGCTACTGACCACCAAACAGCACTGCCTTGATAGGATACGAATGCTAATGGCTGCAAAGAAGTCACTAGTGAGGCGAGCGAGAAGTATCACGAAAAACATCAGGTTCAGCGTGAAACGTTTTTGCTTATTCGAAGAACCTCCGCGTGTTCTGGATAATCTGCCGACCGCTGATCAGGTGGAATCCTTCTGAAAGGACACCCGCAGCTCAACTCAGACACTCCAGCCCTAGCGCAGCCAGGATGACTTTCAAAGAGCCCTTGCAGATTCCAAGAACTTTGTTGCTTCATGCCCAGATGGGCTAAATACTTATTGGTGGAAAAAATTACCAAGCACCCACCACCACCTGGCCAGAGTTTTGAACCCAAGGCTGGTTTCTGGAAGAGCGAACCATTGTCATCCCCGAAATACTCATCGCAGTCGACCGAGTGTTTGAACGGATATATGAGCAGAGAGGGTCGAAGAGACGAGTCGCTGGATGTAAAGAGAACCTGTTCACCGATACATGTATAAGGCAGGACTTGAAGCAGTATGAGCGTAACCTCTATATGGCCTGGATCGATTACCGCGAGGCATTTGATACAAAATCGCATGAAATCATCTTCATTTGCTCAGATGCTTCGCGATACACGGAAAATAGTGAGATGCCTTGAACAACTTTTACCACTCTTGCGGACTCGCTTCACCATAAACTCTGGTTAGGCTAGAATCCAAAAAGGGTGGGTTACTCTCAGAAGAGGTGTCTTTCAGGGCGACTCCATCAGACCCTTTTTTTCTGCATGTCACTATTGCCATTATCCGTGGCGCTCAGGAGTACTCGAGGGTATAACTGTGGTACCCCCAGTTATAAACCATTGGTAGAAAGATCCTAATCAGTCTTTGAGGGTGGTGACAGAGTTGACGCATGCTATTGTTATGAAATTCAGGATAGATGAATGTGCAACCGTCCATCTTGAAAGAGGACGATGCGGGGATCACGAAGAGGCTGTGCAGCTAATAGATGGAATCATCCTGCACCATCTGGATGTCGGAGAAACGTATATCTACCTCGGGGTTGAACAATGCCACTCGCAAGAGTTAACAGCAGTGGAAAACTCTGTCCGCGGCAAGTACCAGCACATACTACGACATATTTGGTCATCGAAACAAAGTTGCTGCCGTTTCGAACTCACTCTACTCGTTTGAAGCAACGGTGGGAGGAACTATATCAAGTCGACGTAAGCACCCGAAAAATTATGCACCTCCATAGGAGTTTGTATCTCAAATCGGTATCCACGGTGGCTGCGACAACTGGGTGGCTGCGGAGTTTTGAGTTTGGAGTGTCTACATGACAGAATGGTACTAGATGCAGCCTGTTAAGTCATCAGGAGTCCGGATCCCTTTCTCTGCATGGTCCGCGATAGTTTTCGACACTGAACATGGTCATCACAACTCAGTCGCCGAGTTGGAACCCGTTTAGTAAAATGCCCATTTTAAAGCCGCAGAAATCACTTCGTTCTTGAGGCAACGCAAGGATAAGCTAATGCATGGGGTCTTCTTCATCGAATTTGATGATATTGGCTCATTAAAGCACCTCACCTTCGTTTTCCTCATGTCGAATGGGTTTTTAGTGGAAAACAATCTATTTTTATATTTGCGGCTGTGGACTAAATAACATATCATTTGTATTATGACACTTTTGAAAAAAAGTAATACAAATCATGAAATTATGCAACAAAAATAAATTGGCACTCCGGGATGACATGAATAATTCCAGTGGCGCATTTGCTTTTCCAGCTGCAGGAAAACCCGGAAAAACCTGCAGCACCACACCATCTGAAGATCATGATCTGCCAGTGTTCTCTCTTTCATAGAATGAAATGTAGCGTGTCTCCAGAAGCTCCAATGAATTCAAGATATTGCCAGAATATTTAGTGACACGACTATCGTCAAACTCAAACCAGTCCGCTTCGTCTTTGACCAATGCCGAATAATGACCAGATTCATCACCAGAACCACAGTGAACACTGACTCTATACAGATAGTATCAGTGGTCTGCTAGATTTCGAGTTTGGTGCTTCCGTCAGAGGTTGAGTCATGTTTGAAGATCATCTGTGTTATTATTAGATTGACTGGTGCCTCAGCTATACTTGTTGTCTTATAATAGTCAGTTAGTTTTGCGCGTGTTTGGCAATGCAGTTGGTCATCATCCGTTAAAAGTTCTATTTTCAGATGTTTCAACAGTAAGCTTTGCACGGACTGGTTATCAGTCATATTAGGAAACGCTAGTTGAAGTTCTAGAGAGTCATATACGTTTTTGCTACCTTTTGCACATGTAGTGCGAAGTAAATTAGTGAGGATTTTACCTGCAAAAGATCAACAAAAACAGCGTGGCACGCCGTTTTACTTTCTATTGGTATTTTGTAAAAATGAATTGTTTTAATTGTCGCTTTTAGGTGATACGTTAATTAAATTGGTTGTTGATAATTTTTATTCGGCGCTGCGGTCAGACGGAATATTGTGTTACTATCACCACAGATTAAATATTCAATCTGTGCTATTACTAGAATATCATGTTGCCAGATTTGAAAATTCAGCTTCTGCAAGAATCCGCTCGACGCTAGCGTCGAATTAAAATGATCAACAATCGTTTTAATTCATGTAACTATGATTATCAACAAACAATTTTATTCATGTTTCACAGAAAGTGTAGTAAATTATTCGATAGTTACAAAAAAAGTATATCTGACAAACATTTACTTCCAGAAATTTCAAACAATGAATCTATATTGTAACTGTTCGCAACTTTTCATCAAACAAATTAATTCATGTAACATTTTAAATCAAGGGTCATTCAAAATAGAACAAATTTTGCGAACAATCGTTTTTAATGTATCGAACAAATATGCATGAATCAATTAAATTCAAACAAATACATTGTTAGTTGAATAAATTGAGTAATGAATATTTGTGGAAATAAAAAGTAAAACGGCGTTCCATTGAATTATGTTTCTTTCATAGATTATTTTCATCATCACTTGTTGAACACCACTATCAGTAAACTCTGAGTTGAATTAATATTACTTACCCCACAAGCAAACTCCCAATTTCTAACTGATGCTACCCACTGGTAACAAGACATCGTGTATACTCTGAACTTGAACTCCAGATTTTGTTGATTCTACAATTCAAAAGTGGTTTCAAGCGACAAGGCTCAATATTTTTCAAAAAACTCACCTCTGATGCAGGCAAAACACATAAATAATGCCAAACATCGAAATCATTGTCATGTGGAATAAAAAGTATGTTATTGTCCTGAGTGATCAATTTTGATTTATTTTGGAATTCCTTGGGAGTGGGTTTCATGAAATCAGAAACATGAACCTTAAGGAAAAAAAGGTTGAGGTACATTTTATATAGTTTTTCAATCTCATACTCACCTTGAAACTATCATTCGCTGTCAACTCCTCAAACTCAATGATATATCCTTGTTTCCTGAAGACGTCTATCCGAAACATTGTGATTCGTTCGAAATCATAAATTTCCGAAGCCAGTGAAGAATTTGCTTTGCTGGGCGTTCTGCTTGTATGTAATAACAGTACACTCTTGTTGGCATTGTTTTTGAATGATATTGAGAATGGTTCAACAAAGTTGGAAATAACTTTTTCTTCGAGGGCGAAAGTTAACATTGCTATTGTGGTTGGAATTCTTTCTTTCAAAATCCACCAGTAGGGGTTTTTGGTCATTGTACACAACTGAAACGATATTTTAAATAAAAAAAATAAATTGATAAATTGATGCAAAACATATCTGTCACTTACTAGAACATATACATCGGATTCCTCGTATTCCACGAAATCTTCTGAAGCTAGCAAGTCCACACTTCGAGACGATATAAGAATATATGGAATTTCAGATCCCCATTTTTTTGTAGCTGTGATTTCGTAATTGTCAGTGGTAACAAATCTGGTTCCTTCCCAGTTTATCATGGATATAGCCACAGTTTTCGAGTTTATGTAGCACTGGTAGACCAAGTTTTCGCTGGCAGTTTCATACTGAAAAAAATATGGAACTAGAAATAACACAAACACCGATTCATTCAATCAATCAACCATGATCTCAAGAAACATTAATGTATATAACAACTAAGTTTATGGAACGAATCATTGGGCTACCCGTCTTTTCATCTCAGAAATAATATTTTGGACAATAATACTACATGGGATGAAAAGTCTTGGACCTAACACAAACAGAGTGGTACAACGAAAAGTAAGCACCTTGCTTTTCTCCTTTTCTTGTAACTTAACGCAAAAATGCTCGGACAGGTCAATTTTGCTTTTGAAGGGGACACATTTTAGATGTATTTTTCTACCTGTACCTTCAATCCTCTAGCGAGGGTGAGTAAAAATCCTAAAATTTCAAATAGAAAGTGAGGTCGAGTAATACATCATTTGAAAGGGCACAAAATTATCTTTCCAATGATACCTAATTTGTTGTATTTCACTCAAACATGTAGGTATTATGAAGAAAAACAACTACAACCCAGTACTCAACTACAACCCAGTACTTTGAAATGTGTAATTGACTTAGTAGAATCCTACTTCAGCAAGTGCTGAAAATGTGACCCATTTGCTTTCATACAATAATACAGATTTTGTTCAAATCTATTCCTAACATTCTGTAGCATATCAGGTGTTTATACTTCTGCACTCTGCTGTAATTCGTTGGCGAAGATCTTCTATGGACTCGGGCTGCGTAGCAAAACATTTATTTTTCAAGTGTCTCCAAAGGAAAGAGTCTAAAGGCGATAAATCAGGTGACCCGGCAGGCCATTCGATGGGGCCTCTCCTTCCAATCCACCGTCCAGGAAACCGGTCATCTAAAAACTCTCTTACCGGAGCAACATAGTGAGGAGGTACTCCATCTTGCTGGAAATGAAGCCGATCATCATTATGATTTTGGTCATTTTCAATTATTTTTGTTATGAGAGGATCAATTGTATCTTCAAGCATGTTCAAGTAGACCTCACCAGTTAAATTCCCAGGAATAAAAAGTGGCCCTACGATATGACTACCTAATATGCCACACCAGACATTGATTTTTTGAGGGTACTGGGTATGGACCTCTCGGAATAAGTGTGGGTTACTGTCATCCCAGTAACGGCAATTATGCCTATTCACAGCTCCATTAAAAAAAATGTACTCTCATCGGAAAAGCACGTGTTGAATGATAGGTGCGGATCATCAATTAGTAGCTGTCTCAGTTGTTCACAAAATTGCAGCCTTCTATCAGGATCATCTTCATTGAGTTCCTGTACTAATTTAATTTTGTACGGATGAAATTTATAGGTTTTTAATATATGTATTATGGACGAACGGGAGACACCTGAGGCTGCAGCAACCTGACGGGTACTTTGAGTATGATCCAATTCAACGTGTCCCAAAACCGCGATTTCCACTGCTTCATTTCTGATCGGTTTCCGTGGCTGGTGTTTCACATTACAGACAGATCCGGTATCGACAAACTTTTGGACTAACTTGGCGACGTACGAATCATTCACATTTTTCCCGGGATGACTGTTATTGAAGAGGCGAACAGTAAGTCTAGCACAACTATTATTTTATGCATTAGTGCTACTAAATTTAAGCGTTATAGGCTCTCTTGGGTAATCTGTTGAATCTTCCAACACTTGAGAGGAAGGTTGAATGAGGTCAAGTATAGACAGAATTGATTGTACTCGAACTGATCCAACAAAAGCTTCTGAGGTAATACCATTGAGCATATGATAAAATTGACTCCAGATAATACTTTCTGAATACTTGGAGTTGGAATAAAATACTGTGTCATTAAATTCAATATTTTCTTCTCCCTTTCATTTATAGTCACTTTTTAAATAATTTCTAGTCTAGTCTTGGAAGAGTGGAAGGATTGTAGTTCTTTCTTTTCAATACTTTCACCCATTTTATCCTTTGGGAACCTAAACTCATTATATGAAATAACTCATCTATAAACCAATGCGCTTTCTGTTTTCTTGAGCGTTTCCGCACAATTAAAATCAGCACAAGAATGCACCATATTAATATTCAAATATATCTGTGAAACACTTTTAAAAGACGCACAAACTAAACTCGATAAAAAAACGAATTGTTCCTACGCGAGCTGCCAGCTAAAAAAAAGTTGAAACTCAATGTTGCAAAAATAAGCAGAGTGGATCCGATATGACATACATTGTGATATGGGTACTCCATTTTCCTAAGAAAATGAACGATCAATTAAAATTTTCTGTAATTATTCATTCAATTTTTTCAAAAATGAAGTCAGCAGACAAATAAATATACAATAATAAGATCGCTCGAATCCACGAATTAAGCATAAAAATGAACAATAATATTTGCCTTGATAACTGATGTAGAACAAGTAGAACGTCTTTTGAAGCACCACGGTTGAACTTTTTAACCATTTCCTTACATCACTTGGAGCAAGCCTTCTTTGAATACTTAATGAATAGAACATTTTTTTTTCATAACTAAGTGTTCATGCAAATTCAGATGTGTTGAATAGTCTAATCAACAAGTTCAGAAACATGGAAAGCTATCGCTCATATTTTTAGGACCTTTATTTTGAAGGATTTTGGTGCAGGTAAAAAATTGCAATTGTTATTAACAAAAGATAAAAAAATGGTATTTAGATTCTCATTAATAACTCAAAAAATATAATTATTTAAGCAATTTCGAAAAAACCTCGTTGAAGAGGAGGAAATTTCCATTAAAAAGTCCTGACTTCCGAAACTCTATCTCTATTATTTATAATGTTAATTTGACGTTGAAAATAGGGTACCGGGCGGCATGCGCGCGCTGCCGCTAAAGAGAGTTCATCAAAAGAAATAATTTTTTCATAACATAAAATGTCATTTTAAAAATTTTAAAAAAATCTAGTATCTTTTTAACACTTGAATGAATCGAGTCC